CAGGCATCCACAAGCAGGGCCTTTTTTCTCCACAGAACTGGATCAGGGCAGCCTAGTAAGTGGCAATGTGTGTGAAGTTTAGGTACTAGAGTGTATATAAATGTAAGGGTCAGAAAGTATGTGTTTGTGGACATATATCAAAGTGTGATTTGTGTTTAGAGAAGGAAGGTTGGAGTGCATAGAGGATACTGGCTTTGGGGAAGCAGAGAGGGTAAATCCTGCCCTAGCTATTCAATGGCCAATGGGATGGGAATGGCACATGCAGATTAAAGGTACCATAGGCATGTAGTGGTTATGATGGTACCTACACTGCACTCCTTTAAGTAGCTGTGAAAAAATATATATAATGAACATAATAGTAGGAATACCCTATACAACGTTGTTTCTAGTGCACATATCACTTCTACAAATTCATGGTCAACATATATAGGGATAAAACTGGCCATATTTTCTAGTACACATTATCATTTTTACAAATTGATGAGCAACATATGGAAAGTGCAGCCCTGCAGTATGTAGAAGTCACATGCTGCAGGTAGTAAATCATCTGATAAATCAACGAGGAATCCTGCAGCACACACATTATCCTTAAGAGGGCATCATTTTCATGCACTGCCAAACAACATGACAAAATGTGTCCAGGCGAATATGGTGGATATGATAATCCAGAACATAGAAAATGCAGTCCTGTAGTATTTTGATTCAAATAGTGCTGGTAGTAAATCAGGTGATAGTAATCAGGAATCCTGCAGCATATAAGTTATACATAATACAGGGTAGCATTTTCATGTACTGCAAATCAACATGATAAAATTGTATATGTTCAGATGGTATGGCAAAGCTGTATAATAGCTACATAAGATAAAAATAAATAATGATGCGTTGCATTGCTCCATGATACAGTCAGCCATACCAAACATTCCAAGTTCTTGGAAGTGAATTTCAATTTCAGAGAGATTCTGTCCTAAGGAAGTGTCACCTGGGAAGTGAAAACTATAGCACTCTGCATCAAAGAAATGCACTATAAACGAGCCCTTAGACATCCAGTCATATGTTAATGGAGTTAAAAACACCACTTTTGTTATGTTTTAAGGCTAAGCCCTAATCAAAATTTGATGGTAGGGTGAAAATGTCATGCCTATTGTTCTCAAGCCATTTTGGCTGTATTGTTTTAAATTAATCTGTGTAATATGTGATGTAGTAGATGTTTTTCTACTATCTGAAACACCAAATCATGTATATTCAATAAATTCAAATCCGAAGACAACAGACAAGGGAAGTAAGAAAATATATGCCAAATGTTTTGACCTAAATACGTGTATATTAGCTAAAATTCCAGTTAGTGGAGAAATAAGGGAATTGCTATTAATAAATCCCAAAGTTTTAGTTTAGTGAATAAATCTCATTGTTTAATGAAAGTGTTTTTTTCCCCCCAAAGGATAACGTATGTCCACACTGGATATGTCTTTTTGTAAAGACCCACAAAGTAAGGACATAAGAGGAGTGAATTAATCTTTTTCAACCCATTTCTATATTACCAGTTCAACAAATCGCAGAACAATAAAGATTATTCTTAAAAAAAGATAAAAATTGCCCAGGTGCTTTGGCAATTTTGTGTTACTTGAGAGAGAACTTTAAGTGGTTTTCCCCCTACCTTGAATTCACACAATCCCTATTTTGGATCTAGGGATTTTCCAATAAAGTTCTATTGATGCAATTTAAAAATATAAAATAAAGACACTCCCATCATAACAGTGAAAGACAGTAAAAAGGATATAATCGAGGATGTTTAAATAACAGAGGACCAAGGGTTCCAGGGATGTATGTATGCATCCTTATTCTATACAATGATCTATGCAGAAACAATCAGCATTCAAGATTATAATTTATTTCTGGGAATCTCTTGGCAGGAGACTGCTTAAATAATGAGGGTTCGGGTGAATTGAAATAACAGATTATGGGAAGAGGTGGAGGATACTATGCCTGAAGACCAATAGAGGCCTGATCCGATTCTTGCTACAAGTAATTGTTTAACTCCCAGAAGTTATACAGCAAATAGCTCTAAGAAAAAATGCATTTATATTTTTCTTTTTTTAAATTCAGCTTTTACATTTTTACAACTGGTCAATGCATTTTTGAAGTAATTTCCACTGTAGATGTTCTATTGTTTTAGACTAAAATTCCTTTCAGGGCCATCCATGTGGTGCCTGCAGGTAATGACACAGACACAGGTAACGAAGATATGAATGGGGGAATCATATGTGATGTATGACTCTTAGTATATTGCCATGACAATTTTAGAAGACTGTTTTGTGGAAAAAATTGACTACACAGTACAAAATTGTTACAAACAAACCAAAACAACCTGGAAATATAAATAATGTCCTAAAATGTGACCTTTTCAGCAGATGTAGACTGCTCGAGGCAGTTTTGAAACATGAAAGGTACTGGACACATCTTCAAGTTGCAGCTTTCATATTTACTGCATTACAGACATTTTGATAGCAATGTTTTGACCTAATGCAGGGTCTTTCTAAGCCTACATTGTTAAAACATTATAACTGGTTTTAAGGTCCAATAAATTCTAAAACCCTGTATTATTTCAAACAAAAATACACAGGGAAGTTTTGTAAATGTGGAGCTAGGGATAGGCTGAGAGCATCAACTGTGGGCAGCGCCCAGTCCATGACTTCCTCATTGAAGTCTCGCACCATCTCCAGAAAGACTGGGACATAACTGACGGGAGAAGTCCTTGAAACTTTGGGGTTCATTTGCTTGTAAACTGTTTAAATCCCATAATAGATAATTGAGAGGAAGTTATTTTGGTGCCCAAAGTGTACCTTTATTAATGATGTTGCAGATAAGACAACAACATTGCAAGTAAACAATGTTTCTAAATATCTGTAATTTACTCCTACAAATTCTATAATTCTCTCACATGTTCTCATAATGTTCTTATAGTATCCCATGTATATTGTATATGCTGACACAAATATACAACACTGCAGCCAAGTTGTTCTTTAGACACTTATACATGCATATTCATTTACACACACAAACGTGCACATACACACACCTCCCTGACAGTGTGTATGTATATGCCTGATAGCAGGTCTGTGTGTATCCAAAATTAATACGCATCTGCTGGTGTGTGTGTGTGTGTGTGGTCTATGTTTCTGTGACCAGCCTCTCCATACATTATAGCATTGACAAAAACCCAAAACAAAAAAAAAATTGCCTTTTCTGGCCCACAACTTCGTATCTAACCACCAGCCCATGAAGTGGCAGGGAGAGCACCAATCACATACAAAATAAACATCACTTGCAATTCTGAAAATCATGTATTCGTTAATCAAGGATATGGGAGCTTACATTGAAAGTAATGTAAACATGATTTTGGTAGTAAAAGACTTAAACAAGGTCTATAATTGAGACAACCAGTTTGATCCAACTGTTCCTGTTTTCTTGAGAGTAATGTTTTAAATGTGATCATTATTTTGATATCTCCAATTCAATCAATTAACCCTCATCATACATTTCGCACAATTTGTTCTCAGCCAACTTTGGATTTCTAATAGGTTCATGATTTGAGATTAATTTCTATGGTAATAGGAAAGTTAAAAAAATATTTTATTTGCGCCATATAAACAAAATATTGGAATGCAGAATGTCAGCTATTGCTGGGGGTGACTTTTTTTTTTAATTTCAGACGCAAACCTGCCTTGTGTAAGTTTTGATGATACTTATTCAGGCCTTGGTACTGTGTCATCATCAATATCATAAATATGTCAAATATATATTGCAATTCTTAGAATCCTACTAAACCCTCCCACCCGGGTCCCATCCTTCCCCTATTAATTAGTTCCTAATATAGGGGAGAGGGAGGGAGAGAGAGCGCGAGAGAGAGCGCGAGAGAGAGAGCGAGCCTCTTATCGGAAATAGTCTCAATATTTTGTTATTCTCTTTATCTTTTGGGATTCTATTCTTTTTTTCTTCTCCCTTCATTTGATCTAATACTTCCCTTCCCTGAAGCAGAGCATGCGCTCTCTCTCTATTGGTTATTCCGATTAAATTCTGTTATGTTCTCCATTTTGTTTATCCATGTGTCCCAGTCTATTTGCTTAGATCTGTTTCCTAAATTCACCAGGATACCCCTTTCCATTCTTGCTTGCCATATAACTTGTTTTATTAGTTCATTAATTCATGGAATTTTCCCCGTTTTCCAATTTTGTGCTAAGAGTAATTTAGCTGCCGTGATTATATGTAGTATTAACATTAAATTTTTTTGTCATATTTGGCCAGTTCATATTTAATAGGACCACTTCAGGGTTGAGAAGTAGTTTTATTTCTGTTATTTGATATATTAACAGAATTACTTCTTTCCAAAATTTATTTATGAATGTGCACTACCACCAGCTGTGGATCAAATTACCTTAATCGATATTACATTTCCAACATCTGATAACTCTGGGTAAATTTTCTTTAAATGTTTCGTTGTTAAATACCATTGATTTACTTAAATTGAGTTTCTGTAAGGTTTAGACAGTGCATATCTTTATTTAGTTTGTTTAAGGAATCTATCCATTCTACTTCTATATGCATTTGAAGTTCTTTTCCCCATTTGTTGATCAATGCTATCGGTTTATCATGTCTCCATTCATATACAACTTTGGCACATTTTTCCAGTAAATTTTTATATGTTACCACCTGATGCTTTTTTAAGGGAAAAAGAAGTTCAAAGCATTCAAATGGAAAGCTTAACAAGATGTTCATATTTCAAGTAGAAAGAGTAAAAGAATAAAATCTATTTATTTTCCACTTCAATAACACAAAACTTGAAGAAGAAATAACCCCTCCCCCCACCCACCAAACAAAAACCCCAAAAAAACAAACAGTTGACAAAGAAACAACTGCATTTTTAATTTCCGTTGGAAAAAAGCACTAGCTTGCTTCTGGAGTAGCCCAGTGATGTGAAAATGTTTAGGAGATGTCCAAAAGGATTAAATTCCATCACCGAATCGGATATGTTTGCTGGCCTCTTGTGTAAGCCGCATCTTTTCGGCTTTGGCAACCAACTGAAAAATAAAGGGCTCAAGTTAGAAAAAGAAAAACTCTCAGGTACTGTGTACCACAATGATTCATTAAGTCTAAAATAAATATAAATGATTTCTGTAAGCATCAATCCATAATATTTACTATTCAGGCACACATATAGGACTGCCAGAAATAACTTGCCAGGGACATAGTATAGGTGGCAGATTGACAGGGCATGTATTTGGGATGGGAAAGAACTGGGCTTTGAAGAGGAAAAATAATTTGCTCATTTGCAGTTCTTTATGGCAATTAGGTCAGCTCATTTGTAAATTCATTGCATGGCACAACCTCTGTCAAAACTGGATAACACTTTACAAAGAAACAACTCTTTGGCTAGATAGAGGGAAACACAAACTATCTCAATAGCTTCAAGAACATAATCAGAATACATTAAAGTTCCATATTTTGGATTAAAGAGTTCGACCATGTCTATTCGCATATTGAAATAAAACATTCTGATGAAAACAAAATTGCATTCTTCACAGTTCCATAACTTCTCTAAAGTAACAAAATATATTCATAATGGGTTTTAAAAATTATCTAATTTTGGATTCATAGTGTAATTTGCATATACAGGCTATATAGTAGTAGAAAACCTTAAAGGAGCACTATAGTGCCAGGAAAACAAACTTGTTTTCCTGGCACAATAGGGTCATTAGGTCACCCTTCCCCCCACCCTCAGGGACCCCTCCCACTGGGCTGAAGGGGTTAAAAGCCCCTCAGCCACTTACCTTTCACCAGCGCCGGGCTTCCTCAGTGCTGGGGAACTCTCCACTCCACTGTGATTTTCACAGTGAGAATCGCGGAAGCGCCTCTAGCTGCAGTCAGTGAGACAGTCACTAGAGGCTGGATTAACTCTCAGTGAAACAAAGCAGTTTCTCTGAAACTATGTTTTCAGCTGCAGGGTTTAAACTAGAGGAACCTGGCACCCAGACCACTTCATTGAGCTGAAGTGGTCTGGGTGCCTATAGTGGTCCTATAACATAAAGGTTATCTACATTGCCCTTTCATGTGCTCAACCATTAGGCTCTCCCCACCATGCCAATTCAATTAAACTGAAATATCAGGCAATGGTTTAACTTATTAAAGCGGCATTAGTAATCCACCCTCACCACACCACTTCTAGGTAGGTGTCAAAGTAACATCCACATGAATGCCAGGACCCAAGGTTTACCAGCAGAAAATTTCCCAGAGCATGACACGGACTTTCTGCCTTCTTCCCATAAAGCATGTAGGGACTACATTGTCTCAGTATTTTTCTACACCCAACACTTCTTGACACTGGGCGGAGCTACCGCCATCAAGATGTGTTAATCCCTCAGCCATCACCAGTGAAATCTGCAAGGAAATTGGCTCTATTTATGGAGGATCCGGCTGTGTCCTCCATACACCTCTGCTGTACTCTTGAAATAAATCAGTGGTGACGTGGGCTCCTGGCAACTGTAGCTCCAACATCAGAAGAGGACCAGCGCCCACGAGGGACAGGTTCAGGTAAATAGAACTCACTCCTCCCCCCTCCCCCCAAAAAAAACCCAGATTGTTGTAAATCATGCAAAGTCCCCAGACTGTGAGAGTGCCAATTTAAACTAAAGTTGGGACAATATTTGCAAGGAAGAAAAGGGTGCTTAAATTGTACAACTGAAGGTTAAAAAACCCCATAAGAACTGGAAAAATACTCAAAATATAATTTTTATAACGTTCACTGGAAGATAAATGTTACCTTGAGTGTTCCGCGTTTCTTTTCACGGGGACGGTTAAGTTTTGCTTGCCTGTCCACTAAGATCTTCTGCCAATACCGCTGTTCACCATCTCCTGCAAGGAAAACAAAGTCAAACAAAGAATGCAAAAGTTATTGTAATTAGTTTATAATGGATAATGTCCTGCTTTATGACTGCGAGATGGATAATGATATACTTTAAGTTACCATGGCAGATTACATGTACAACATTTAAAGGGGCACTTTGGACCCTTAAGGCACTTTAGTTTTGCTGAAATGCTTTACATGTGAAGAGTCTATTTTTTCCATTTTACAAAAAGTGCAGATTTCAATGAAAATTGGCACTTCTAAGAATTAACCTTCTTACACACCTCCTGGATTTCAAGCAAACATCATACAACATTAAAGCAACCTGCCGAATATTTCTCCCTCATTTTGACAAAACAGCACTGATGCATCAAGGCATGGGCCCTACAAGACCTCTGATTGTGTCCTGGTATCTGGCAACAAGACAATAGCAGGAGATACTTTAAATCTTGAAGTTGTGAGGTGGGGTCTCCATGGATCTGATTTGCTGTTCCAGCACATCCCACAGATTCTCAAACAGTTTGAGATCTGGGGAATTTGGAGGCCAAAGCAACACTGTCATGTTCCTCAAACCCGGAGTAATTTTTGCATTGTGGTGTGATAGAATTTACTTTGATTCCAAGGTTCAAGCTTATAGGTTTCATATTAGATATCCTATATTAAAATTGGCTAACTTGGACTCAGGAAATGTTTAATGCTTAAAACGACACTTAAGACCATACATGTCTAGTTCCGGTAGCAGATAGCCCCCACCTGAGCTGTCTCTTCTCAGTCTGTTCTTTCTCTTAACCTGTTATATGTAAAAGTAAAGGCGGTGGTGTAAGTTTTCTGCTTTCACCCCAAAGCTCTTTTAAAACTCTGCCCACCCCCCCTTTCTTTCCCATCATTTGGAACTCATTCAATTCGCCTCTTCAAACCCTTCTCTGCTAACATTGCCGTTATTTATCGTCCCCCTGGTTCCCCTCTCCTCTTCCTTGATCACTTTGCTGCCTGGCTAACCTTTTCCTCTCTTCTAATATTCCATCCCTAATTCTTGGTGACTTCAATATTCCCATTAACCCATCTTTGACCTCAGCAGCCTCTAAACTACTTTCAATTACTTCCTCCCTCAGGCTATTGTAGCTGGCAATACCCTCGACCTCATCTTCTCTTATGCATGTACAGCATCTAATATCTGCAACATTCTATTTCCTCTCTCTGATCACCAGCTCCTGTTTGCTCTCGAGTACCCACTCACCCAACAACCTCAGCCTAACCCCCCTCAACTCAGGAGGAACCTTAATTCTATTGACCTCCAGCAGCTGTCAGCTGATATTGATTCACAACCGCTTTCCATCCTCTCCCTCTCCTGTCCCTCACTGGCCATCTCCATATATAAAACACTACCCTCACCTCTGCCTTTAACACTGCAGCCCTACTCCAAACATGCACCTCGAAGAGAACACGCCCCCAACCGTGGCATACTAAATCAACACACTATCTGCAAAGTTGCTCCCATTGTGCTGAACGCTCCTGGAGGAAGTCTAGCACCCAGTCAGACTTTCTCCATTATAGATTCATATTGTGTTCTTACAGCACAGCCCTTGCCCTTGCCAAACAGTCATACTTTTCCTCTCTCATTAGTTCATGTTCTCGCAATCCCAGGCATCTCTGACACCTTCTTTGCCCTGCTGTGACCACCCCCCCCAAACTAACCTTACAGCCGATAGCTTTGCATGCTATTTTACCGACAAGATTGAACAGTTAATGAAAGAATTCTCCCTACCTCTCTCTCAACCACACATTAAATCATGCCTTTCCTACACTTCAGACTTTCTTCCCGGCTACTGAACAAGAGGTGGCTGCGTTTCTCCTTTCCGCTCGCCCCACCACTTGCCGCTCGATCCTATCCCATGTCACCTCATCAGATCTCTTTCCCCCAGTCTTGTACCTTCCTTAACACACAGCTTCAACTGCTCTCTCTTCTGGCATTGTCTCTGCTGACCTTAAACATATAATCAATACCAACTCTCTCCTTGACCCTCTTCAGTCTGGCTTCCGCCCTCTCCACTCTACTGAGACTGCTCTTATCAAAGTTACTAACGACCTAACCACAGATAAATCCAAAGGCCACTAGTCCATACTAATTCTTCTTGACCTCTCTGCTACCTTTGACACAGTTGATCATGCTCTCCTTCTTCAAACTCTTCAATCGCTCGGCCTCTGTGACTCTGTCCTCTCGTGGTTTTCATCTTATCTCTCCCAACGCTCATTCAGTGTCTCCTTTTCCAAGGATACCTCCTCCCCTCATCCTCTCTCGGTTGGAGTCCCCCAAGGCTCTGTCCTTGGTCCCCTTCTATTTTCTCTTTATACTGCCTCTCTTGGCAAACTTATTGCCCCTTTTGGATTCCACTACCACCTGTATGCTGATGAGACCCAGATAGATCTCTCCTCCGCAGACCTCTCCCTTGCCGTCCTGCAACGTGTCACTGCTTGCCTTTCTTCTATCTCTGACTGGATGTCCTCCCGCTTTCTGAAACTCAATTTCTCTAAAACTGAACTCCTTGTCTTTCCTCCTCCTAATACTGATCTTCCTCGCTCACTCTCCCTTTAGATCAGCGTTACCACATAAGTTCATCCTTACAAGCGTGCAGTCTTGGCGTCATACTTGATTGTGGCCTCACCTTTGAGCCTCACATCTAGCATGTTGCCAAATCTTGTAGATTCCAACTCAAAACATAGCCCGCATCTGCTCCTTTCTTACAAAAGAAGCTACTAAGGAGCTTGTCCATGCTCTAGTAATTTCCCGCATGGATTATTGTAACCCTCTCCTGAAGGGTCTTCCCAAAAGCCGTATTACCCCGCTACTGTCTAATGAATTCTGCTGCCAGACTGATATTCCTCTCTAGTCGGTCCTCCCACACCTCACCCCTCTGTCATTCCTTTCATTGGCTTCCTGTATCCTATAGGAGTCAATTCATTTTGCTAACCCATAACTATAAAGCACTGAACAATTCTAGCCCCTCTTATAGCTCTTCACAGATCCATAGGTATGCCCCTTCTCAGTCCCTCCGCTCTGCCCATAACCTTCTCCTGTCCACTGCTCGCACTCTTACGGCCAACTCGTGCTTCCAGGACTTCTTGAGGGTGGCTCCCTTCCTATGGAATAGCCTGCCTACCCCCTATGGCCTCAAAACCCATAAGAAAGCTTATGGCCTCCCAGAGTAATCTCTACCTCACATACCCGTCTCTTGCTCTCTCCTCCAGCTCTGCTTCACTCCCACCTTATTTGATTGATATTTCCTTTAAGCTCGTTTGAGCAGGGTCCTCTTCAACCTATTGTTCCTGTAAGTTTTCTTGTAATTGTCCTATTTATAGTTAAATCCCCCCTCTCATAATATTGTAAAGCGCTACGGAATCTGTTGGCGCTATATACATGATGTTCATCTCTATATTTTATCTGTACTCCTTTCACCCCCTTCCTACTACTGTCCTAGGAGTATTTGCACGTAAGCACTTACTTTTTAATATATAAAAACAACTGACAAAATAAAGGTCAGAGGCTTATTTTGAATACCAACAGTTGTCTGGTTTCTGAATTAACGCTCCTCCAAGTGCAATTGAAATAAGAATTTGGGATTCCTCTGAATATAACAAAGCTCAATATTTGGATCTATATCAGTGGTAGGATGCATTATCCTAAAGAAAGAGACCACTGCCATCAGGGAACATCATTGCCATGAAGGGGCGTATGTTGTCTCCAACAATCTCTAGTTAGGTGGTACGTGTCAAAGTAACATCCACATGAATGTCATGACTCAAGGATTCCCAGCAGAGCATAACACTGCCTCCACCTTTCTTCTTCCCATAGTGAGTCCTCCTGCCATCTCTTGCCCAGCTAAACTACGCACATGCACCTGACCATCCACCTGATCTAAAAGAACCTTTTTCCATTGCTCCACGGTCCAGTTCTGACGCTCACATCCCCTGTCCACCATGTCGGCAGTGGACAGGGTTTATCAGGGACACTGACTGGTCTGCAGCTATGCAGCAAAGTGTAATGCATTTTGTGTTCTGACTCCTTTCTATTATGGCCAGCATTCTTCTGCTTCGCTCCCCACGTGCATCAATGAGCCTTGGGTGCCCGTTACCTTCTGTGAACCACTTTTGGTAGGTACTCACCACTGCACACTAGGAACACCCCACAAGACTTGCCGTTTTGGAGATGCTCTGACTCAGTTTTCTAGCCATCACTATTTGTCCCTTGTCAAAGTCACTTAGATCTTTTCACTTGCCTCCAACACATGAAAATTCAAGAACAGACTGTTCACTTGCTGCCTAATATATCACACTCCTTCACAGGTGGCATTGTAACAATATAATCAATGTTAGCATGCCAGACACAGAAGAGAGTGTGGCGGCAGAGAAGGAAGCCAGCTACACAATCACACTGAGCGGCAAGTGTCCTCCAGAGAACAAGAAACAGAGACCTGAGGAGTTGGATCCGGTTGGAGGAGCACCCAGGGCTGTGAATTTCAACATTTATTATATTGCTTTTAACAATTTCTTGTTTGTAATAAAAGCTGCTGAAGAAAGGTTTTAGCTGGTGGTGAGTCCCTGCCTGGAAGGATTGTAGATCCCACGTACTTGGGATTGATCCTCCCAGAGCCACAGTCACAAGTGGAGCTTTATCTACTCTCTTCATGTGAGTTTTTTTTTTTTTTATTGAAGAAGTGCTATTTCTCTTATTATAATTTACAGTGTTGCACTAGGTTTCTCATTTTGGTGTGCTTTTTTCCCCCCCCCAAGACTTACGTCTGCTGGATCTCCTTGTATAGTTCTTAAGCAAGTATTTAAGCGTTTGAGCATTGCTTTGATAAGAAGTTTTGATGATATTAACATTAATGTATGTATAACATTAAAATACTGGAACACCTTTTATGCACAGTATTGAATTATTGTGTAGTGTATATTTAAAACATTTGATATAAATTGGAAAAGGGTTAAGAGAAAAGATTTTAAATTTTATATTTAATCTCATGGATTGTTGTGCACACCATTGTTTTAGTATTTGATTGGATCGGTTACATGGGTTTGGATAGTTTCTGCACTAATGATTAAAATTTCACTACACTTATACATCACTATATATTAATAGCACTGCACCACATTTATCCATTTTTCATGTTTTTAGTACTTAGAAAATATAGTTTGAAATAGGCATTCACAACATCTTGACTAGTACTGTAAATACCGGTATATGCAAATTATAAGTATATATCATTGTTTTACACACTACAAACTGGTCTGTGTGTGCACAAAATGAATGTGTAAATATACACACACACACACATATATAATATATATATATACATATACACACACACACATATAAATATACACATACATACATATATACATACATATATATATATACACACACACACACACACACACACACACACACACACAAAGTACCAACATTTTCCAGAGATTTATGAAACAGCAAAACACACACTACAAGAAAAAAAATATGCACGCATCTTGTTGGCAAACAGTTACAGTTACTGATGGAAACTTCACAAAGACACAGACCCACGTGCTTGGGCACTCTTCATTAACATTCCTCCTCACCCACCTTCCTTCACGTTAAACTATCCTCAGGCTGTCAATTGAATGGGAAACCTTGTGGTGAGGGCAGCATTGAGAGGCTATTTTTCTTTTCAGTTTTTTGTTATTACAATCTTCTATTTAGTGTTGCAGTAGGTAACACAAAGAGGGCATAGAGGTATGATGTTTGATGAAGTTCACTAATTGTGAGCACAATATAATTATGTAGGGTACTGAAATTTAGAATATGTTAGACTGGATAAATGTGCGCACAGCCAAGTATCACATGAAATCTAAACACTTACAGTGTAAATGTCAGCTTTAAAAATTGTAATCCCTTACCAGTGACAATATGAAGCTTCCAGCTGTATTTGCTTTGCAGTTCTGTCCACCCTTGCAGTATGGCTTGGGCATCTTCGGGAGTTTTAAAACGAACATGGCACTCTGTATCACCTTCCAGCATATCCACATACACCACCTCACGTATGCTTGACAAGGCGTCCTAGAAGAGTATATATGCAGTCAGGATAAGCATAGACATAAACATAGTTTTCTTTAAGAACATGTGTAGATAGATATCAGAGAAAAATAGAGCAGATTTCACCACAATCACTAGACGGGTAATGTAATTTACTGTGAGTGAAAAAAAAAAAAAAAAAAAGAAAAAACTAAAAACAAATAAAAGCTTAGAAATAAAAAAAATTGCATAAAACACGCCCCAGTAAGTTTCTGCATGGAATCCCCACTGTTCAAGCAGAGCGAACTTGGCGCTTAAGCGAATCGGTGCTACTAGAGGTTGATGTAGTCACGACAATTCAAGAATCCCTCGCTCAATACTTCTCCAATAATGTCAACCCGGAGACGCCCCCAATGGTAGTCAGGGAGGCGCACAATAGTGTGGTGAGGGGTGAAGCATCGAAATTGGCGCTGCTAAATAAAGAAAAGGCCAGATCGTAGCAGCTACGATCACTGATAACCACGATCAGGACACTAGAGCAGAGACATAAACCAACATTGACTTCAAACTCATGCTGGAAGCCAGGAAAGAACTGAAGATCTTACTTAACCAGCAACAGTTCCTCACGTTCCAGAAATCTAGACGTTTCTTTGGCAAACATTCCAACAAATATGGGAGTCTACTGACGAAGATGCTGAAGAGAAAGCAAGAGGGTTTTCATATACCAAATATATGGGTGGAGACCCAAAAGATCACTGAGCACCCTACGGAGATGGCGGACGCGTTTCACAAATATTACAACACCCTATATAATATAACAGAGGCGAAGCCCCCACAGGACGCAACAACACGCCACACCACCATGGGCACATATGTCGACTCATATGTCAAGAAGAAACTGCCCGCGGAGTGCTCCGCAGTATTAGACAGGGAAATATCACTGGAGTATCTACAGGTGGTTCTTAAAACAACCAAAAACGGGCAGAGCACAGAGTTTGGACGGCTTTCCCCTGCGGTACTATAAAAAAAATGCAGAGAAGATCTACTACCAAACATGCAGACGGCATTCAATTCCCTCCTGCAGGGGGATAAACTAGGGATGGAATCGCTCATGGCACACATCACTATTCTTCCGAAAGAGTGTAACGATCCAGAGCAATGCACTAGTTACAGGCCGATTTCCCTGCTGAATTGTGACTGCAAATTACTTGCAGCACACTTGAAACCGGCTCTACCGTCTTTGATTGACCTGGACCAAAGTGGCTTTGTCTCTGGGAAATAGGCTAAAGAAAACGCCATCTGGATTTTGAACATCATGCAGCTGGCGACCTCCGCGTGTTGTTCCCTGGTTGTCCTCTCCACGGACGTGGAGAAGGCCTTTGACCGGGTGGACTGGCAGTTCATGCTCCTGACACTAGAGAAAATGGGCTTCGGTGGGACCTTCTGTAAACGGATAAGAGCTCTATATTCGACACCCCCTGCTAGGGTGCGTGTCAATGGAGGTCTTTCCCCTAACAGCAGACATGAAAGCCTGGATGGCCCCATATTTTTAATTGATGGGCGTATAAACGCTGTCAAAATGAATGTGCTTTCAAGGATGCTCTACCTATTTCTGATGCTACCTAGGACTCTCCCACCAGCCTTCTTTAAAGTCCCTGAACTCAGCGTTGGTGGCCTTCGTCTGGAAGGGACATAGACCTCGGCTACCTATGATGCAGTTGATGACCTCTAAAACGTGAAGGAGGCCTGGGACTACCATTGTTCCTGAACTACTATTGAGCAACCCATTTGTCAAGGACAGTGGAATGGCATAATTCTGCTTTGCAGAAGATGTGGTCGAATCTTGATGACTGGAATGAGCATTCCAGCGGTGGTGTGGCTCCCTGATGTGGCTTCCAGAGGTCTAATCACCAAACAGGCATTTATAGGAGCTACAGTGAAAGTCTGGAACCAAATCAGTTTCAGGTACACCAACACGACAGCTAATGGCCCAATGCTCCCTATTTCGAACAACTCCGATTTTCCGGCTGGGCGAGGCAGGCGGGCATGGGAATTTCTTGGAAAGTGTCCATATATCCGCCTCAGAGACCTATGCCAGGGAGACAACTTACTTCCTCTGCAAACACTAGTAGGGAACATATCATCAGCTGCGCCACTACCATTCCACAATCGCAAACCAAATACAACTGCACAGACCGCCCTACCCGTTCGAGGAGCTCTGCGCAAAGCAGACAGCCTTATGCCGAGGTATTTCTGTACTCTACACATTACTGGCGTCAGTGGATAGGGAGAATATTGTGTTTGAATGAAATAGCAAAACTATAGTTTATTCATATTGTACACTATTCTACATACATACTAATCAAGAGTCCAAAAAGTCCAAAAGAGTCTATGCCTGATAAATACAGCAAAAAGTCAGGCATAGACTCTTTTGGACTCTTGATTATTATTCATTATCCATATTTCCAACTTTGTTTTTTTTTATCTTGTATGTATTTTCTTATATAGCATCTTGTATAGTTTATAATCAGTGTTTTTTCTTCACCTGTGGCACCGCCTTCCCCTTCACTTTTTCCCCCCTACCCTATAGGGCCTGTGAGGGAGCCCTATTTTTTTTAGATGTGTTGCCTTATATTTATCTCTGTAAGGTCTAGTATATTAGCGCCGATCCTTTGTACATATCTATATAACAACATGCTCACATTCAAATGCACAAACACTGCACACAAATACAGCCCTGCAAGAATGGCCAAATGGTAGATCCCCAGCTGGCATTGAGGGAATTGTGCAACTGATAAGGATCTATATTCTCCACTCCAACGCTAGAGGGGAGGCCCCCAAAAAAATGTCTTGCACCAGGGTCCTCTCTACATTAGTTCTGCCACTGTATTATGATGGAGGGCGTGATTGCAAGTCAGGGAGTGGAAGTGTGTGGGGGGAAGGGCATGATCAAGGGGGGCCCAAGGTACAATCAATGCTAAAGACGGCCCTCATATCGGTTGATCCCTATTTCAGTGTACATGTTGAAAAAGTGTAGAGTTTCATAAAGGGGGGTGGACCTCTTAAACAAAACAAACATATTTGCAGTCTTTAAAGAGGAGATGAGAGAGAAAACTACAACACTGCAAGATCATAAGGGGAATGTACATTATTTGGACAGTTGAAAGCTGATAAAATTACACAGCAGTTGCAAAAAAATCATGATGCTTTTAGGTTTATACTTCAAGTTTGATTATAATAACAAGAAATGCGATTTTTAATGAAGACCTTCTACAAGAAAAAAAAAAAATCAAAAGATAATTAACTCTTGTTGTAAAAAAAAAGGTGTAATCTCTACCTTTTTAAAATCCTGTGAAAAGTCACCAATTATATAATTATTCTAGAAATGTCACGCTATAAAACATTTTATTCCATAATAGACACAGCAATAAGCTAAGGACACTCTGTGATTGTGATGTTAGTTGTGTGAAGTAGCATCTAATGCAGAGGGATTCTGCAAAGAAGCACCACAAGGATTGTGAATTAAGTGACATCTATAGCACACAAGACATCAAAATAGGAATAGGTATCTTAGTTACATAAGAATGAAAAAGAGTGTAATTAGGTATCTGCCAAGCACACTACAGTGAGCTCTCGGATTAGCACACCACTGACATCCGTCTTCGTACTTACGTAGAATGACTATATTTACACCACCTATATCAAATTGAATCCTTTACCAATAAAAACGAACTTCACTTACAGGTACACCTCCTTACAAATCATGCTCATAATTGTTTGAGGAAATGCCAATTCTCTTTTAACCATTTTGTACAAATAATTTTTGTAAAAGCAAGAGATGGTATTTTCACAATTTGAAACTATGTGAGCTCAGCTCAACAGAAAGCACATCTCTATGAATGGAAAAGTCTTTCACAACTAATGTTAGACCACTTGCAAAGATACAGCACAAATATTTGTTGATAGCTTTGCATTTGTCATATATCCAATGTCTGTTCTGGAATCATTTCACTCAATAAGTGCTAGTGTGTTTGGCGATACAATAGAAAGTGAAGTACAGCACAATCTTCTGGTACTCATAAGGTTAAGTTGATCATGTCATGACCGTGTGGATTCTACATTTTTTATCTCTCTGAAATTGATAGTTTATAACATTCAAAACCAATACCTGCAGAAAAATAAATGAAAGGAAAACAAAAAGTATTTTCTGTGAGTTGGGATAACCCACTTCGGCAGCAAACTACCCATTAGTGGTAACATGATTGCACATAAATGAGGGATACAAATGTATAGATACTCAGGGCACACAGCTTTACTATTGTATTTTGTCGAAGTTAATTGTTTGCAAGAGTGGTTTGGAAAGGTGAAATTGTCCTCAAAATGGAAGCCCAAAATTTAACAAGTCCCCTTAAGAGAGAAATACATTAAAGGGTCACTATAGGCACCCATACCAATTCAGAGGTACAGAGCTAGGAAAACAACTTTTTCCCTTTAAGGCTGGAATAAAATAGAACATAAAATGACATCATGGTGGTATTGCAGGACACCACTTATGCAAGTTATGTATAGTGACCACTCCTATGTGGTGAGGTGTGATCAGCACACTGGGACTATTTTGCAGATCTGGTGGAGTTAGTGGCTGTTTAACCCCTTAAGGACCAAGCTTCTGGAATAAAAGGGAATCATGATATGTCACACATGTCGTGTGTCCTTAAGGGGTTAAACCCCTCTGGAAAGGAACTTGTTGCTGATTATGCTATCTGATGAATCCCTTTACATACTGCAGTACTATTCAACCGTATCACGCTCCCGATTTTCTTTCATGAAAATTCTTAAACACACATTGAATGCAGCCAAATCCCTGGCCCAGGTACTCTGGAAGAGCAGAAGTTCTCCATCACTCCAACAGAGCAAAGGAACCACATAGGGGCTTATGGCCTCATAGTGCCATAAATATGGTAAGCATGTCTCAATTTTCTCTCACCACCAAACATTGGCAAGCAAAACACCATGGAAGCAGAAATTCACCCCTGGTAAGTATGACGTAGATCAGGGGCGCCCAAAAGGTCCTCAGATGTTACAGAAAGGCAACTCCAATAATGACTTTCATGATGCTTTGTCGTTCTAATAGCATGCAAGTTGGAGATCTACCTTTTGGGCACCCCTGATTTATGTCATACTTACTTTTTGGGCATCCCTGACATAGACCCTCCAGGTTTGCAGTGGTGAGAAATATTTAAAGCTTGTCTAGTTGTGTAGGATATGGGATTTTAATCCCTGATGAGAGTATTATGGAGATTAGGGGTTGATTACACCTACAAATATACCACTCCTACCACCTGAACTAACATTGGTGGTTACCAGGCTATCTGGTAGCTCCCCACTCTCCATTCACAGCCCCTCCTGACTTTACTTATACCTCTGTTACTAGATCTCCTCCCCATACCCTTTTAACCTCTACTCTTCCTGACTTCCTTGACTCTTTGTAGCCCCTCGTATAATGTCTTGTTTTGGAGAAGAACCACTGCACCAGTGTTGTCACATAAAAGGTTTATGGAGAAATAAAACTGATTGCACTTATAGTAAACAACATGAAACTGAGCCACAAATATAGGAAGTGCGATTACCTTAACAAGTTTACGACCTGGCAGAGGATCTACACTGGTTATCTTGACAATGACTCCACTGACAAACTGGGGTCCTAGCGACTCGTTCTTTGCAATATCTGCAACAACAAAAAAAGCCGCCAAAAACAAAATTAATGCTGCAGAATAAATGCAAAACTCTTAAAAAGAAACCGAACACCATAACCAATATAGCTTACTTAGTAGTTCCAATGCTGGCAATCTGTGATCCCATGCTTTATGTCAAACACAAATTGGCTTGACCAAAAAATAAAAACAATTAAAACCTAAAAATTATTCAAGCTTTACATGTATGCTGTAACTTGTATATATAAAACCACTCAGTGTAATCAGTTTATGGAAATGGAACAAAAAGATAAACATTCTTAGTAAATTTGGTTTCCTAAAATGGACAGAACATAAATTCCAATTCCCATCTTTCAAAATGTATAAAAGAAAAAGAAAAACAAACAAAAAAAAAAAAAACTCTCAAATTATCACTTTTCCATTTTTTAATACCGTTGCATTTTAAATCCATGTTGGTATAAAATAAGTACCGTATATACTCTAGTATAAGCATTTTTTGTGCTGAAAAAGTCCCTCTCGGCTCGAGTCAAGCCTGGTGGTCCTGTTGGGGGCCGGCGCAAGCTGTTACTTACCTGTGCAGCAGCTCCGTTCAGCTCCCTTCTCCTCCGTTCCAGTCAGCTCACAGTGTCAGAGCATTGCTACTGGTTACCATGGCAACGCTCCGCCCGGCACGCAGACCACGAGATTTACACTGTGAGCTGACCGGAACGGAGGAGAAGGGAGCTGAACGGAGCTGCTGCACAGGTAAGTAATAAGAATAGGAATAGCAAAAAGAAGAAATCCAATTGCTGCAACTGGGAGATAGTTACTCACTAACAGTATTGTTCTATTAAGCCAGCAGGGAAAACTAGCCGATGGGAGCACACACACACACAGTAAATAAATATTAAATTAATGTAATTTTATTGGGATCTAATTTTATTTAGAAATTTACCAGTAGCTGCTGCATTTCCCACCCTAGGCTTATACTCGAGTCAATAAGTTTTCCCAGTTTTTTGGGGTAAAATTAGGGGCCTCGGCTTATATTCGGGTCGACTTATACTCGAGTATATACGGTATTGGATATACAACACCTTAATTTCCCCAATAACCATATTGTACATACATAATTTTACAAAACACAATGTGAATGATGTAAGTACCTTTCTCATTGTTCATTTTTGGATCCTGAACCACCGACTCTGTTTCCATTTCCCCAGTCGAGGCAGAAATTGTTTCATGCATAGCTCTCTTAAGGGAGGACATGCTGGCCCTCTGTAGTGCCAAGTACTCCGACTTGAGCTCTAACCATGTTTTCCTGTAAAGAGAAGTACAGCATATTTATATAAGAAACAAACTCCTTGGATATAGAAATCCTGACTTAAAAATAAGTGTACTCAAAGAACGACTCATATGCAGAATTTATTTTTTTTATTTTTTTTATTTTTATTTAACAAAAAGTAAGAAAATATCATAGGTTTAGAGTTAACCAATTACCAAACAAAGCACTAAATAATGAGCAATCACCATGTAAAACAGAAGAATGTTTTTCGAGCAAAGTTTGGCAATTTGCGCTAAAATGCTCCTGTTAACACTTCTATTGCACATTCATTTTGGTGAAATAAAGGACAATTACCAATTATTTTTTCATGTGGAAATCATGTGATCTACACTTCAAGGAACAATTCAAGCAACATAAAACCCAAAGTTCTTTCTTTTCTTCAGTGACCGACTGATACGCTCAGCCAATGAGCTTGCCCTGCACTGTAGAGCTTAAAGGAACACTATAGGGTCAGAAACACAAACCTGTATTCCTGACCCTATAGTGTTTAACCCACCATTTAGGTGGCTTGCTCCCCCCCCCAAAAGCATTTCAAACTCACCTTATTTCCAGCGCCGCGCAGGTCTGCCGACACTAGCTGCGCCCCCTTGGTGAAATCATCAGAATTGCAGATTTGTAGCCAATCCAATGAGGAAAGCATTAGATTGGCTGAAATCAGCAAGGCGGTGGGGCCAAACGCTGTCTTGGCCAATCAGCACCTCTTCATAGAGAAGAAAATTCAGCGCCCCCTTGCAGAACGGCAATGCTGCTTACTATGCAGGACTGAGCCAGGAAGCCCCCCAGTGGCCATCTGAGGAGTGGCCACTTGGAGATGTCCCTAGGGGCAATGTAAACACTGCCTTTTCTCTGAAAAAGCAGGGTTTGCACAAAAATGCCTGAAGGCAATAATTATACTCACCAGAACAACAACATTAAAGGATCACTATAGGGCCCTGAGGGTGCCCCCACCCTCAGGGTCCACCTCCTGTGGCGATGAAGAGGTTAAAACCCCTTCAGCAGCTTACCTTATTCCAGCTCCGGGCTCCCTCGGTGCTGGTGACTTCTCCTACACCGCCGACATCAGCGGAGCCTACCGCGCACACATTCAAGCTGTCAATAGGAAAGCATTTCACAATGCTTTCCTAGGGACGCTCTCTGTGATGGAGGCATAATATGCCTCAAGTGGCTGTCCGGTAGATAGCCACTAGAGGCTGGCTTAACCCTGCAGTGTAAACATAGCAAGTCTCTGAAACTGCTATGTTTGCATCTGCAGGGTTAAAACCTGAGGGACCTGGCACCCAGACCACTTCATTGAGCTGAAGTGGTCTGGGTGACTATAGTGTCCCTTTAAGCTGTAGTTGTTCTGCTAACTATAGTGTCTCTTTAACTCAGTAAAGCTAATGCAAGCTCCAAAGCAGGAGCTCCCAGTTCTCCTGGGCAGAAAGGAGGTGTGGACAGGCACCTGCTGGGTCAAAGGTAAGAGGTCATACGATTAATAAACGGTTTGACTATTTGCACTATAACCACTACATCATGTGATAGTGGTTATGGTGCTTGGAGAGTTTAAATAAATCACTATTTGCTACATTGGTTTTATTATCCCTTCTACTGAATAACTTTCACATACCCATTCACCAAACAATGTCTGTAGCATTACTGAACAAATATCCATCTACTTTTAGGTTTTATTTCTGATGCAGTGCAGTAAGCCTTGTTCATCAAAACACTGCAGGACCGGTTTTGAAGATGCATTACATAGTAAGAGGAGCTGTGTCAGGCATTATTGGCCTCTATGGAAGAGTAAACACTGCACTCATTGCAGGTATTAAACTCCAGTAATATTACCTTTCTAATTAAATCAGTCACTGGCTCCATGTTTTGAGGCAGAAATAAGCAACATAAAAACAAACAAACCCCACCAAAAATAAATAAATAAAAACAACAACATTATTTATACCCTAGTCCAGTGTTATGATTTACTGAACAACACTTACTTCTACTTTTCTTAATTTGTGTGCTGTCTAAAGAATGTATATATCTTTTGCTCACTGCTTAGGTCTGCCACTTTAAAATGAAATCTTGTCATCCATCAATCGCAGAGAAGACAATCTTCAGGTATTATATATTTAATGCAATTGAAATTGCACACAAACCTATCTTTTAAATGGATAGATCAGAATGAATATGGCCCCAACCATTAAGGAGTGCATGGCATCCTACAATTCCCAGAGAGTGGATGCATACTAAGAGTAGGAATCTGCCACAACAGAGGACATTCACAGACACTGTACCAGGTTGCACGAATGTAAAGACAGAAAGGAAAAGAGTGGAGAAGAAAAAAAAGTCACTTGCAAAAAGTGGGGTCAACAAACAAATGACCAACAGGCCCTAGCTTCATCCCATGCGGTGGTGGTGAAGGGCAGAGAGGAATTTAAGAATGGATCTCCACCTAACAAGTATGCCATTCCCAACAAAATGGATACATGGCTTTAAAGGGAAGGGATAGAGAAGGTATATAACCCCATTTCAGTATGATTTAGTGCACTGGGGTATATTAGATAAATTTGGAACTTTAGTCCAGTGTCTAGTAAATACCCAGTCCCACTGTCACTTTGTGTGTCAGGAAATAGGTCTTCCTTTGGTATTCTACTTAACAAGAGAGATATAATGGCCAGAGAACCCCTTGTCCAGTCTTTGGTAAAAGGCTAAGCCTGGTGGCTTACATCCTGCAGCACGTGGGAATAGAGGTGCCACTGCATTGTTCCTTAATCTTAATAGGTAGTCCAATGGGTCTGAAGCAGACATTAAATATTACTGTGATTTTATTGATCTGAATAGGCAAGTGTTCCCTCCAAGTCAATTTTAGTTAATGTGGCATTGCATACATTTTCTTATCTTATTGGGGTTTTGCACTACCTCCCCCCCCCACTCCCAACTTCTGACACTTGGGATGAAAAAATAAAAAGGTAGATGAAACCTGGGCTTCTCCCTCCTTGTTAGGGGTTAACAGATCTCTTTTTAAATATCATCACTTCTGTACTACTGAACCACATTTCAGCTTATGCATTCAAAATGCTGGTTTGAAAAAGAATTCAAGTCAACATATAGTGAGCAAATAACCAAAATTTGACCCAAAATTAACAAATTGGGGGCAGGGCAGGATTAAGAGCATCATGGGCCTAGTGCTTAGGATTTTGCTGGCCTATTTATCAAAATATATACATAATACATAAAATGAAAATGCAAAGCAATTTTTACTAACAAATTTTTAATTACCATTACCACAAGTGCCACAACAGAAACATATTAAAATATGTGTGTGAGGGGTGCAGTGTGTTCTTGTGTGTGGAGGGCAGATTAATACAATATATGTCCCTCTACCTTCTTACGTTTGTCCAGGAAGAGGGGATCTTGCTGCAATCCATGGTGGTCCTAGTGGTGAGTGAACTCTAGCCTGAACCTAGAGTTCACTTGTGCGAGACCAGAGCATTGCTATGGTAACTGCTACAATGCTCCAACCTCGCAAGAGGATGGACCCGCTGGAGCTCCTGGGTCCTCCTCTCTGGTGGCTGCAGCAAAATGCCTTTGGGCCGGTGAGGGAGATATTTGATCTTCCCACTGGCCGGTAATGGATCTGATCTTCCCTGCTCGCCTTGGCCCCTGGCCATTGCTCCCTGCCGGCCTTCTGGGCCTATTCTATGGTAGGGGCAGTAGCTCCATCAGCCCTGATGTAAATTGGGCCCTGATTGGGGGGGAATCTGCATGTTGATAAACAAAACCCTATACTTTGCCACTTTAATTATGTGTAATTTGTGTTGTTGAAAAGTAAACCAAATTTCTATGCAAGTAAAATATCTAAGTTTGTACACAGAATGCATCTTCTAAAATACTCATAATGGATTTGACCTTTTAGCAGTCTTACCCAAATTCTGCAATGGAGTGCTAATTCAGAACTTAGTAAATTGCACCTTTTGTATTACAAGTAACAGACGGCTGTTAAATCATTAACTAGAGGCAGGTCTTGTTTAGCTTGCTATCATCTAGGGTTGTCCAACCAGTCTTTCAGGTGGTCCCACTCACAAATATTTAACATTAACAAACATTTTAACCTTTTGGATATTCCAGATTTAGAAAAAGTAACGGGAAAAAGAAAGAAAGAAAATGTATTTATGAAGCACCAACAAATTCCACAGAGCTGTTAAATGTGAAGGATGCCAGTAAGAATTTGAAGTGACACATTTTTCTATACCCCAAAATTGGAGGAGAAAGGGGTGATATAACTGGTGATATATGTAAAATCAGCTTGCAAAACCTGAAGTTCTCATCTGCTGCCTTTGCAAGCTCTCCCCTTTTAACCCCGTCCAGACTTTTTGTGGCTATCCAATCAGCCCAGTGCAGCACAACGAGAAGTCTTTGTAAGTCAGGTGCTCTGAGCAATTACTGCCTTCTGAGGTCGGCTGCATTGAGCTAACCAAACCAGTTAGTAATATTACCTGTTGTCTACTTGAACGCCCATGGGTGTATCCAGGTTAATTTATAAAAGTGTACATTTTTATTGAAATCTGCACTTTTTATTAGGGGGAGGTAGGGGGCAGGAGCTTCTGGGGTCTGGAGTGTCACTTTAATCCAAGGATGTACCAGGAGATTAAAAAAAAAAGCTAAAATGTTCCTTTACAGGTTAAATTCTCTAGGTCTCCAACAAACCCTTCTAAGAAAAATTAAATATAACTCAAGGAGCTACATTGCTACAGAAATTGATGAATAATTTACAAAAAATGTAAATAGGTGGATTTCTAGATTAATCACAGGCTGATATATATCCGAGGCTGCACCCAACCTAAATGATGAAAATAAATAATTAAGGGTTTATGAATAAAGGATGAGATAAAGCCCGCTCAAACCAACTACATATTTTCTTGATGTGGACATAGTTCACTACAAAAATGGAAAAAATAACTGGAAAACATCCATTATTTGGCTGACCAAAAATAGTGGCGCTCCAGGTTAGTGCCTACTATGCTTTATGAAGAAAATCCTGTCATGATGGAAAAGGAGGCGAAAGAGAACAGAATATCAAACAAAAAGTATCAGGAGCATTGGACGCTTCCACTGATGTAACTAATATGCACCAATAAGCAATCAAGAAATTATCAACATATTCAGTTCATCATTTTTGTCAAATTAAGAAATTTGAACTGTTAATTCTAAAAGTAATTATACAAAAAAAAAGTGGTAAGACATGTACATTTGCAGTCTTGCAGTAATCCAAATGATAAACAAATCAGGCTAGCACCCAACACGCATTATAGAAAATGTATGGTTTCCACAGACACATCATCACAGAGGGTACTGTAAGAAAGTCAGCATGGTGGCTTGACAAGGGCAGCCACTGGGTTGGCTCACAGCAAAAACAATTCAGAATTTACACAAAGATAAAGGTAGCTATTTTCTCTTAAATTTATATAGGTAATTAAAAGATAATCTACCCTAAATGTAAAATTACAAGAGTAGGGCTGGGACCATAACAGATTATCCTCTATATCAGGCATAAGCAACCTCCGGCACTCCAGATGTTTTGGACTACACCTCCCATGTTGCTTTGCCAGCATTATGGGTGTAAGGGCATTATTGGGGATGTAGTCCACAACATCTGGAGTGCCAGAGGTTGCCTACCCCTGCTCTATATCAAGGGTGTCAAAATGTGGTTCCCCGTCGATTTTTAAGTATTTTTCTAAAGAACAACGACTTGATACTGGTCTTATCAGGCAAAGGGCTAGCTTGTTATTGCTTAATAACTTGGGTTAAAATTGCAATTCCTGTATGGGACATTTTCTTGACACTGTACTAAGGCCCAAATACCAAAGAGTGTTGCTATTAGTGTGGTGGGCATGGGATGTGCACCACTACTGAGAACTTATTTGTCTCTTTTGGAGACAGGTTGCCCACCAAATAAGTCAATGGGACCTGATGGAATACACCCAAAGCTATTAAAAGAGCTTAGTGGTGTACTAGCAAAACCATTAACAGATTTATTTAACCAATCATTGTTAACAGGTGTAGTCCCAGAAGATTGGAAGTTAGCGAATGTTGTACCCATTTACAAGAAAGGTAATAGGGAGGAGTCAGGCAACTATAGGACAGTAAGCCTTACTTCAGTAGTGGGGAAAGTGATGGAAACCATGTTAAAGGATAGGATTGATGAACATCTAAAAACACATGGATTTCAAGATCAGAAACAACATGGGTTTACTTCAGGGAGATCATGCCAAACTAATCTTATTGATTTTTTTGATTGAGTAACTAAAATTATAGATCAGGGTGGTGCAGTAGACATTGCTTACCTAGATTTCAGTAAGGCTTTTGACACTGTTGCACATAGAAGGCTTATCAATAAACCGCAATCTTTAAGTTTGGATTCCAATATTGTTGAATGGGTAAGGCAGTGGCTGAGTGACAGGCAACAGAGGGTTGTAGTTAATGGAATATATTCGAAGCTTGGACTTGTCACCAGTGGGGTACCTCAGGGATCTGTACTTGGACCCATTCTCTTTTAATATTTTTATTAGTGATATTGCAGAAGGTCTTGATGGTAAGGTATGTCTTTTTGCGGATGATACTAAGATATGTAACAGGGTTGATGTTCCAGGAGGGATAAGCCAAATGACAAATGATTTAGGTAAACTAGAAAAATGGTCAGAATTGTGGCAACTGACATTTAATGTGGATAAGTGCAAGATAATGCATCTTGGATGTAAAAACCCAAGGGCAGAGTACAGAATATTTGATAGAGTTCTAACCTCAACATATGAGGAAAGGGATTTAGGGTGATTATTTCTGATGACTTAAAGGTAGGCAGACAATGTAATAGAGCAGCAGGAAATGCTTGCAGAATGCTTGGTTGTATAGAGAGAGGTATTAGCAGTAGAAAGAGGGAAGTGCTCATGCCATTGTACAGAACACTGGTGAGACCTCACTTGGAGTATTGTACACAGTACTCGAGACCGTATCTTCAGAAGGATATTGATACCTTAGAGAGGGTTCAGAGAAGGGCTACTAAACTGGTTCATGGATTGCGGGATAAAACTTAACAGGAAAGGTTAAAGGATCTTAACATGTATAGCTTGGAGGAAAGACGAGACAGGGGGGATATGATAGAAACATTTAAATATATAAAGGAATCAACACAGTAAAGGAGGAGACTATATTTAAAAGAAGAAAAACTACCACAACAAGAGGACATAGTCTTAAATTAGAGGGACAAAGGTTTAAAAATAATATCAGGAAGTATTACTTTACTGAGAGGGTAGTGGATGCATGGAACAGCCTTCCAGCTGAAGTGGTAGAGGTTAACACAGTAAAGGAGTTTAAGCATGCGTGGGATAGGCATAAGGCTATCCTAACTATAAGACAAGACTAGGGACTAATTAAAGTATTTAGAAAATTGGGCAGACTAGATGGGCCGAATGGTTCTTATCTGCCGTCACATTCTATGTTTCTATATCGCCTTATATGATTTACACACACAGTCTATACCAGTTCTTTTAAGAGAATAATTCAATACCCCGTATGTCTCTTAAGTGGCCCATTTATTTGTTGCAGGTCTTTTAACATAGTACTAGCTTATACACCATTAACCCCCACGCTGGTTATTTATGCAATTCTCTACACTTTTCATTTTATTTCTTGATTTTTGGAAGTAGTTATAGCTTGGTAACCAATGAATGGTGTTTCTATCCTTTTCTATTTTGCTATGGTGCATCTATCAATTTTGTGTGCGCGCGTGTGTGTTTTCACATATGCGCATACGCCATTTCCACTAAAAATGTATAGTTTTTATACTCAATTAGAAATAACACTGGAGCAAAAAGTAAGAATATAGCTTTTACTTCATTATACTTTATATTACTTCAAACCCGTTTATACTGGTTGGTTTGAAAATTGTAAATAAAATAAGACATTCCTAGAATTTGTGAATTTCTTTTACAAACAGTAGATTTTCTCACTGAAAAAGGATTTGAGGACCTCTCTGATAAAGATTTACAATGACTTATCTAGTTTTACAAAGGGTAGGGGGATATAAAGAAAGATAATTTTAAATTTACCCAGCCCAGTCCACAAGGTAGTATTTAAAACATCACACAATCACACATTCCTGCATACAGTCAATGTGTGGGGGAGGTTATTGTCTTTTACACAAGTGACAATCCCTGAAACTTCCTCTCCTGACCTTCCTCCCAAAGAGATTTTGCAACTTTTAATGTAACTTTGGGGGATTTTGTTTGTATCATTTAACAAGATCTTTTTATTATGCATTTCACACATCTAAAGAAACCACCCACAGTTACAAACAAGCCAAATAAAAGTAATATACATTTTAGGATCATATGGATGTTCAAGCTTCTTCTGCATTGTATGGCTTTAAAAAGGACAGATTGTATAATAAACACTTCCAAATGTGTGTGTTTATCATAAGTCAATTAAAAATACAAGATAAAGCTCAAAATATTTTATTTAATGTATTTAGTGTATAAAGCACCAACGTACACCTTAGTGCAGCACAGGGGTTAAATCAAAGCTGCTTTCTACCTAGCTGATTTCCATTGCAAAAAAATGGGATACTGATCTTTATTATTATTTAAGGATGGGGCTCAAAAGGAGAGGATAGATTATCTGTACCAACAAACATTTAGGGTTCATTATATATCAATAGTCAAGTGTATTTTGCATACACAAACTACTTTACAAGCACATCAAATCCATTTAGACACATATGACTTTGAAATATATTCACAAAATAGCAAACATCAGAAGAGCCAAAAAAAATTTAAATAAAAAAAATAAATAAAGACAAAAACACACAGCTGAAACCAATATGGAAAGAGGACTGATGGATTCAGTCACAAAGAGGTGCTGTTCAACCTAATAAAAGACACCTTTAAAAGGTGTGTATACAAATAAACGTTGTCATATGAAAGGAGTAATAACAGACTGACATTAACAATTCCATCAGTTTTGTTATCTGAAGGAGTAGAAGTATAGTGAAATTCATTTACGTGCCCCTTGTATGTACTGAAAACCACCACTTCAACATTACAGGACACCTAACAATATATACATCCACCTACCTCAAATCATTATAGATTATAATCTTTTTAAACATTCTTTGTCTCGAAATACCCACCTTCTACAATTGTAAACTGCTGTGCACAATGGCACTATAGAAATACTAATAGTATAAGGCAGATTGTAAAAGGGTTAAGATATCCTTATGTATTTGATACAGAGATGTTATAATTACAATAGAGAAACATTAGGAATAAGCAATGTGTAAAAGGACCTAAAATGACAATTCTAAACAAAATGCACTGTGACTTGGAGATGCATTTACCAAACTCATGGGCACAAGTATACAGAGGGAACTAAAGTCTGATTCTGAAAAATAATGTAAATGGAGAGAACCAAAATTAAGAGAGGTTTACAAATAAGTAAAAATGTAATGTGTGATACCTTTGTATGTGCTGCAATGAATGCAATGGTAATACAAGGCAAGCCAATGTCACATTTCATTGGCTGGCTATTTTTAACCCCTTAAGGACCAAACTTCTGGAATAAAAGGGAATCATGACATGTCACACATGTCATGTGTCCTTAAGGGGTTAAACGGCATTTTTAAGTATTATATCAGAAGATGCCATAGTTAAGTTGTCCCTTAAGATTATTAGGTAGGCTTAGGACCTGTTTACAGGCAGACAACAATGTAAAAGCATGCCTTAAAAATAAAAGGCTATTATACAGAATTCTTCTGAATGCAGCACAGTGCCAAGCTCACTATTTTAACTAGGTCACTCCCCATGAAAACTTCATAATGTTGCTACTCATTTGTAAACAAAGGCAGATTACTGGATACATTTACTACAAATTTGCCCAGCACAGAATCAAGGTCATGATTTAAAGTGCTATTTTCATCATGGAAGCACTTCAACTAAACCAGAAACTGCCCAGGGAACTGAAAATGTTAAGCCAAAATAGCAAAGTTGGAAACAGAGTTGGCCAAGATTTCTAATTCACTTTGTTTGACTTACAATTTGCTGGCTTTGTAAATAGCTACCCGCGTTTGTCTTTATGCTAAACTGTGGTCCAATGCACGCACTATAATTGCATCAAAACACAAATTACATACTACAAACATATGTTGGCCAATTTCTGGATGCCTAAAGCGCCTATATTTTCCAAGTCTGCACTCATCTAGAAATTAGGGAATACCCCCTTTAACTGACACAACTGAAATAGGAAGTGTGCGTGCACCCCTCTCTGTCACAGGTGCCTAAATCCAGAGCCCTACTTGAAAGAACACTATTAGTCAGGAACACAAACATGTTTTCTTGACCCTATAGCTTTTAGACCACCATTTCGGGGGCTTGCCAGCCTCTTTAGTCCCCGTAAAAAGGTAATAAAACTTCCCTTATTTTAAGCATTGTGTGGGTTCGCCAACATCCCCGATCCGCCTCCTTCCTCACATCATAATTAAATGATTTCAGCCAATCCAATGCTTTCCCATAGAATTGGCGGAAATCGGCAAGGAGGCAGGCCAAAACACTGGCTTGGCCAATCAGCACCTCCTCTCATATAAAAGATATTGAATAAATACATCTCTAGGAGGAAAGTTCAGGGTCACGAAGCAGAGCGCAAGAAAGCACGTCCAGTGGCCATCCGAGGAGTGGTCATTGGAGGCGTCCCTAGGGGACATATAAACACTACCTTTTCTTACCCAAGTAAGTGGGTTAATATCATGATAGCAGACAGAGGTTTAGGATAGGACCTGCCAAAAACAAGGTACATTGATGTTGTGGCCAGTGGTGTATCCTGGTTTTGTACTGCCCTAGGCAGGACAAAACTCAGGCGCCCCCCTCCCCCCCACCCCACCTTCTAAATATACACACACAGTCAGACACAAACACACACACACAGTCAGACACAAACACAAACACACACAGTCAGACACAAACACACACACACAGTCAGACACAAACACACACACACAGTCAGACACAAACACACACAGTCAGACACAAACACACACACACACAGTCAGACACAAACACACACACACAGTCAGACACAAACACACACACACAGTCAGACACAAACACACACAGTCAGACACAAACACATACACACACAGTCAGACACAAACACATACACACACAGTCAGACACATACACAGACACAAACAGTCACACACAGTCAGACACAAACATACAGTCACACACACAGTCAGACACACACAAACACACACACAGTCAGACACACAGTCAGACACACAGTCAGACACACAGTCAGACACACAGTCAGACACACAGTCAGACACACAGTCAGACACACAGTCAGACACACAGTCAGACACAAACACACACACACACACTAACTTTTTTTTAAATTTAAATCCCCCCCAACCTCCTTACCTTTGGGAGTGCTGGGGGGGGGGGTCTCTATCCCTGGTGGTCCGGTGGCTGCAGGTCAGGCGGGCGGCTGGCGAGGGAGCACTTCCTATGAGCTGACTGCTCAGCTCCCTCGCGCGCTGGCTGCAGAGTGAGGCTGGGAGCCGGAAGATGACGTCATCTTCCGGCTCCCAGTCTCACTCTGCGGCGCGCGAGGGAGCTGAGCAGTCAGCTCATAGGAAGTGCTCCCTTGCCAGCGTCTCCCACTCGGAATGTCAGTTAGCCGCGAGGCTAACTAGGCATTTGCCCTGGGCATTTGGGGGGCGGCGTTTTTTGCCGCCCCCTGAAAAATGCCGCCCAAGGCAAATGCCTTGTTTGCCTCGCGGCTAATACGCCCCTGGTTGTGGCAGGCTTATGCAATGTATGATTATATACTGTAACTAAACCCCCATTGCTTTTGCCTAGATTAGGTGTTTTTAAAAATAAAAAATAAACTATTAAAATCTCTAAGTTTTGAAGTTGCTGTTTAATGGATGAGTGAGTTTCCTGGATCTTGTGTATGTGTATAATACACACACTTAACCTTTATTGCTACTAGTGTTAAAATGTAAATCCACACTGATGGAATTAATAAAAAATTAAAAGAACAAAAGAAAAACTAGTCATATTATATACACAGTTACGCAACTCTGCATTTGTTACACTTCATCAAGTGGCCCTTTAATGCATCTTCCTGGCTCCTAAACGTATCTGTCTAGCTTCTAAAAACAAATTTGTGGGACATTCAAGTCACTATCCAATTGCAATACAACCACCTTCTTTCAATAACATGGTCCCTTTTCTAACATCTGTTGCATAAACACTTCAGATGTTAAAAATTGATGGTCATTGCAAAAGACCTATAAAATGCAAGTTTACAAAGCACAACAATGTTTTCTTTTTTTAAACAGCTAGACTGTTTAGAAGAACAAAACAATCCATTATCTTATGAATATATAACATTCAATTTACATTAATGCCGTTACCATACAATGTTTTCATACAAAGCTGTGCACTGATATGAAACTAGTGGAGAATACATTTTGCTTGTGATATAAAAAAATTTGGTAGTACTGTACTGTATTCCTTTAATGTTTTACTACTGAAAGGATAAACAATTCGTCCACAAGTGTAACTATAAAAGATTTTATGCACCTGGACTGCTTTTAAATGAGGATTCCATAGTAATAAAAGGTTACTCCAAGCATCATAACCATTACAGCCGGTTGCAGTGGTTATGATGCCAAGAATACCCAGGCCCAGGTAATGACTACTTCATCTGTTAATTGATGAAATGCTGCTGAAAGCACAAAAGGCGTCTGCGTTGATCCATCACCTCCCCATGTATGCCCCAGCCATGATGCACACTTTAATTTGAATAAAGGCTATTTTTTCTTTCATTGATGTAGATCGAAGAGTTTTTCTTCCTTTACGGAGATGACCAGGCAGCCAAGCCTAGTTGAGTATTTCAAACTGGCAACAGAACCTGCATATGCCTCTTGCAGGATAAAATTACACCTAAATTTGCTCTGCAACAATATTTAGTGTGTTGTTTTCTTCTCTGGTGACAAATATTTTTTTCAAGGTATTTGAATAGCATAGAGTCAATGTAAATACTGCACTGTATTAATTACATGCCAGCCCCACAATTAAAAATAATAAAAGACCACAAAACACAGTTTATTTTAAGGATTAGTTATATCAGCCACTGATAGCATTGGTTATCAAAACTAAACTAATACCCTCTACACACACACAATCTTTGTTATCAAAATAAATCAATCTCTCTCTCTCTCAACCAAAACTGTGGACAAATACTGCACTCCTGTTTACCAAACCCTGTATGCACGAGTAGAAAGTAGGGGGGAGAAGTTTTAATATAATCTGCTGCAAATGCCTAATGGTACCAATAAAACCAAAAATAAAATAATTGTCAGTCTGTTTATTCCAAAATGTATCTGCCATATATAACTAATAGACTTTAAAAGCCATCACATATTTACACCAATAATTTGGAGATCGGAGGAGACATTGTTTTGGAGTTGTTTGAGGGTTTCTGTGACTTATTCTGCTGTGACTTTTTCCTGGATTCTTTGGTTACAGGTAAATTCAATCTTCCAAGGAGTTTTGGAGGTACTAAACCTAAATATTATACAGCAACCAAATCAAAAGCATCATGCATGTGACGGGTCTATCGGGGTTTCCGATCAAAAAATACCTGGATGCAGACTTGTCAGGAGAAATTAGCAAACTAGAGAAGAAAAAAAATATTGTAATTGTGTAACTACATGAACCCTACTCCAGTATGCACTAGGTGTAGTCGTCAGATACAATTAAATGAAGAAAATAAACTTATCAATTGTATTAGATTATACTGTTGGATGTTAATTTAGTAGAACTGCATTTTTAACCAACACATCTCCATTAAGATTGTGTCCTCTTCTCTGTAAGCTCGCGTTTGAGCAACAAAGGGGAGAATACCCACTGGTGTGCAATTGGATATTTGCCTGAAATCTGTGTTGAAATAAATCTAAAATGACTTAATGGAGGACTCCCCTAAGCAGTTTGCAGGCAGACTAACACTTTGTTGCTCATTACAGCAAGATATATATATATACACACACACACACATAATTATATATATATATATATATACATACATACATACATACATATATATATATATATATATATATACATATATATACATATATATATATACATATACACACACACACACACACACACACACACACACACGTTGAATGTAATTTCTATTTTCAAAAGAAAACACTAAGGATGCAGAAATTACCATTGCCATTTACAGTAGTCCAGAAACATTTGTATTTAAATTAATGAAAAGCACTCCCTGTGCCACTGGAAATGTTTCAATGAGGACTTATTTGTAGGGTATTCTCACTAGCAGAGTACAGCATGTGCAATTCTAGACTAACATTGTAGCTCCAGTAGGATCCTAACCATATACATTAAAGAAAGAAAAAACACAAAACAAATTAAACAAAATTAGTTTAGAGCCAATATCATACCTAAAATAAGTTAAGTAAAAATAAGTTTATTTTCTCTATCAATTTCCATTTGTTGGAAAAAGGGACCAAATGGGCTATGAATCAAACAAAAGGTGCTAAATGGAGCTAATTTTATTCCCAAGATTCACAAAAGGTGAGTACAATTGACATACAGTCTCAAGTTATGCATATGTTTGTAGTGCTGATCCCCCCCCCCCCACTCCACCCACAAAACACAATAGCTTTTAGTGACTGAAAGGCTCTTGGTGTGTACATTTTGCCCAGAGGACAGCAAACTAAGCCATGTGAGCCATGGGGGGTTATTAACCCTTATAGGTGCAAAGAAAAGACATTTATTGGAAGGCATGGCCTTAGATCCAGCTCATGCATACGTGGGGTTAACTGTTGAGATTTCCTCTGGTTAATCCTGATAAATAAGACAACTGGTTTAAGGACTCACCCAGGTTTTTACATTTTGCACACATTTCCATTACAATGAAAAACAGCTCAGAAGGTTCACCAGGATTAGATGCATCCAAGAGATAGTGGTGAGTATAAAGCCAGGGCAGGGACCTACTGCCTATTAATCCAGATCAGGAATTCAGAGAAGGAGATTCAGGTAAGAAACATTCCTGTTACTGTCCATTAATGCCTTGCCCAATGAAACAGTCATAGGGGATACATTTAATGAATAAGTTATGTGAGAGTGCATGCTTTTTCCATAGTCCATCAAGAGAAGACCAAACTTGTCAAAAATCCTGCACCCTGCCACCAATAAACTAGAGTAGAAGAAAGTATCTAACATTAAGTTGATTTTCTTTATTAATACTATTAGTTTATGGTTGGGATTTTCTACTTGTTATTAAGCAGTCCTTTTTTATGTTTTTGTTATAGCCTTGCTCTTTTTATAGTATTCAATGGCAATATAATACAACTAAACAGAATAGAGTTTTTTAAATTTAAGAATAAAGACTAACTCTACTAATTACGTATATTATTGCTATGCTGCATTCTCTACAATATTCAAAAAAATGAATTAAGAAAAAAAAAAAGCTCATAGCTAATTAACTTTTCTTTTATTCTTTCACTAAACAGCTTACTACACATTTGCTGAAATGTTTATTTTTTTTGAATATTAAAATATGTGTGTTGATCTGGGATTTTCATTTTTATATCTAAATATTTTGATGTGCTTTAAAAGAAGAAAAATGTATTCCACCATTTCATAGAAACCTCAACCACCCATAGCTTGCTTAGCCCTCTCATACAGTGATAGACTACTTGTCATATTCTAGATGGGGTAGATGAAGACCACTATCATGCTCACAGGCTGGATGTGCAATGTGAGAGTGGTATAAGAAAAAGCCCTCAATAAAATGTAATATTTCCAAGACCTTTAGTTTTCCTCCTAAACCTATATGGATTCTCATTATGCACTTAAAAGTCCTAACCTGTACAGATTTCTATTTGGGTATGTTATGTAGTTTATGTGTCATTCAGAAAAAACAAAACAAAAAACAACTCCGTATTACTGGAGTTTTCCCTTCTCATTTTCACATTTGTATTGTTTCACTATTAGGTTTCAGTCTGCTATTAAGGCACCAAGCACAGCCCCCAAAGTGTATTATTTCTATGAAAACATTGTCAATATCGAACATTTCTCCTCCTTTTAGGTCACAGGCCAGAAACAGAAACCAAGGATTTATCACATTAAGAGGTACATCCTGGTTAACATTTAAGTACATTTCAATGTCTTTGTAAATTAGACTCTGTGCTAAAGTGGACATTGTTGCAAAGAATGTCAGGTATATATCCATCTCACAAGATGAAAAGGCATGTGGTCATGATAAAAAAAAAAGTTATGGACTGGTCTGAATGTAAAGAATGCAAGGTATTAAGAGGAAAATAGTGTGTCCACATTGAATGATGGCCATGCATTGCTAACTGGTTCAAACGTGTATACTAGGTGTATAGGGCAGAGAATGAATATTTGACATTAAAGTAAAACCTACTGTATTCTATGCATACTATTTTTGTATTTATTAATATTAAATTAAGATTAATAGAAAAAGCATTGAGGGTTTTACTCTCCCACCTTTCAATTCATAAAACATTGGTTTTGGTTAGAGTAACACTTTCATGTGACCTCTGCAATAAATACATTTAACGGAAAAAAAAAAAAGAAAAGAAAAAAAAACACAAAAAAACAACAAAAAAAACAAACAAACAAAAAAAAAAACTAGCTTCTGTCCCATTGCAAACCTGGAACTTTGTCCTGGGCTGGCAAATGACGCTGGAGTTGCACCTCCTGCAGCTAATTGGGTTAATCTCTATATATATAGTTTTTCAAAGTGAAAAACTGCGCATACAGACTCCAGGCACCATGACCACTTCAAATTGCTGAACTGATCACGGTGCTTAGAGTAACCCTTTATATTACAACACTGAAAAAGTGAGTTTTAAATGTAACCTTCCAAAGAAAGAGTTAAGTTTGCTTGTTTTATGTAGTAGTTTAATGTCTATAAGACAGGAAGAAGACCTCCAATATTTTAACAATGGGGTGCTTGACTGGTCCATTAATAAGTAAAGTGCTCTATTGTTTTAGTGATGACATATCCTTAATTCCACTTTCACAACTAAGAGTAATGTCAACTAAACAGAGGGGTCAGGGCTGCCGAGAACATTAGGCACTTACTGTGATAATTGCTTTCAGTCTCTGCATCTGTGTTTTCTGAATGCACAAATTCTAGATAACTGCGCCAAGAATAAAACACATACATACCACAGCAGTGTAGCTGTGCAACTGTGTATATTCTGTGGCAGACACCCACGAATTTCAGTCTAGCAATGGGGGCAAATTTGCAGCCAATAAGCTGGGACTGTAAATTTGTCTACATATTCCAATTGCATTAATACACTTGTGTCTCACATAGGGAAATTACATACATTATTACCTCCATTTAGACTAGTGTCAAGCCATCTTTCCTTTAGTTTAGTTTTTTCCCCCATACCCATTTCCTTCAGCCATCTTTCCATATTCTTGTTTCGATATACAAACATCACTCTCTAAATGTAGAATACTAGATGGATCTGTCTTAACCAAACTATGTTTATTTATTAAGATGTTACATACAGCTCATAATTTTACAATAATTTTTTCTACAACAGACTTTATTTGTAAGCTGCACGGTTTAGTTTTTGACTGGGTTTTGTAATCCATTGCCTTTAACAAAATAAAGATATAAAATTATATACTGAAATATTAAAACGTTAATTGATTACGTGATTGTGATACAATACATAGCCATTAATTTAATGCCATCATGGTGAATGTTGAATCCAATATATCTTCTACAAGAACCTTTAATATACAACAAATGTCTTCCTTTCAGGTTCCAAATTGGCAGATAAACCCCAAGAATGACAATTAAGGTACCTCCTTCTGCTTTGTAGGACATTTCTATGCTTGATGCAGTGCGTGAAAGTAAGCTCTGCACTCAAGTGGACATCACTGCAAAAGATTCTAGGTCTTACTATAGGATAGAAAGCAGGTGCTCACTGAAAAGCAGTCAGGAACTCAGCTGAATGCAGATATTTCTCTGTAAGGGTTATGGTTGTAGAGATCGTGTAAATGTGAAATGGATAATTCAGGCACTACGTCTGCAGAGGATAGAGGCACTTCCTGTAATTAATAAAGTAAGTGCTACTATCCGCTGTATATGTGGTTCCTGATCGCGCAGAATTTATGAAAATGTGCTGTTTTCAAAGTGGCTTCAATATGGAGGTTTTATGTCTACAGAGAAAATTACTTCTTGTGACAAGTGTAATTGGTGCTTTTTATCTGAATATCTGAAGCCAGAATGTAACTGTGTACAAACAATGAAATGGGGCAAAAGATTTTTGTGATGTAAATTCTTAAATTTCTTTAGAAACTTGAAAATTCCTCTGTAAAGGATATGGTTCTAGTGAAAGTGTGTTTTTATGAATGGAACAAGAAGTAAAATGGAGAATACAACACTACGTCTGCAGAGGATAGAGTCACTTGCTGTAATTAATAAAGTAAGTGCACTATCCGCTGTATGTGTGGTTCCTGATGGCGCAGAATCTATGAAAATGTTTTCTAATATTTTTATGATGGTAAACCCTTAATTACACTTTCACAGGGAAGCTCAAAGCAGCTTCAATTTTGAGGTTGAGTGCCTCCATATGCTGAACAGAAGCACTGCCCCAGGAAGTACCTCTAGTGGCCGCCTGAAGAGTGGCCATTAGTTGTTTCTAGGGTGTAATGTAAACACAGTCTTTTCCTTGATGTGTAAATTAAAGTGGATATCACTACAGAAAATTCTAGATCTACTACTATAAGATAGAAAACAGGTGCTCAGTGACAAAAGCAGTCAGGAACTCTGTTGAATGCAGAAATTCCTTTGTAAAAGACATGGTTCTAATAAAAAAGTGTGTTTTTTATGATGAATCCAACAAGAAGTGAAATGGAGAATACAGGCACTAGGTCTGCAGAGGATAGAGCCACTTGCTGTAATTAATAAAGTGCTACTATCCACTGTATGTGTGGTCCCAGTAACGCACAATTTATGAAAATGTATTCTAATGTTTTGAAAGCGGCTTCAATATGGAGGTTTCATGTCTGCAGAGAAAATGTGGTACTTCCTGTGACTACTGTGTAGTAAGTGCTTTTTATCTGCATATCTGAAGCCTGAGTGCAACAGGTGTACAAACAATGAAATGGGGCAAATGTTTGAGATTTAAATCCTTAAACGTGAAAATTTCTCTGTAAAGGATATGGTTCTAGAGCAAGTGTGTTTTTAAATGATGAATCTAACAAAAAGCAGAAATTACTCAGTAAAAGATATTGTTCTAGAAACAGTAAGTGTGATATGGAAAAAAACAGGCACTACGTCTGCAGAGGATAGAGCCACTTGCTGTGAGTAAAAAAGTAAGTGCTACTATCCGCTGTATACGTGGCTCCTAATAGCACAGAACTTATGAAAACGGGCTCTAATGTGTTCCAGGTAGCTTTAACATGTGTGCAGGGAAGATTAGCTACTTCCTGTGACTACTGTAGTAAGTGCTTTTTATCTGAATACGGCAAATGTTTTTTCGTGTGATGGTAAATTCTTAAACTTCCATTAAAATGTGAAATGGAGAACACAGGCACTACGTCTGCAGAGGATAGAGCCACTTGCTGTAATTAATAAAGTAAGTGCTACTATCAGCTGTATGTGTGGTCCAGATAGCGCAGAATCTATTAAAATTTGCTCTAACCTGTTCAAATCTGCTTCAATATGGAGGTTTTATGTATGCAGAGAAAATTAGCTACTTCCTGTGACTACTGTAGTAAGTGCTTTTTATCTGCATATCTGAAGCCTTAGTACAACTGTGCACTAACAATTAAATAGGGCAAAAGGTTTTTTTTTGTGTGATGGTAAATTCTTAAACTTCCATAAAAATGTGAAATGGAGTATACAGCACTACGCCTGCAGAGGACAGAGCCACTTGCTATAATTAATAAAGTGCTACTATCCACGGTATGTGTGGTCCAATAGCGCAAAATCTATGAAAATGTGTTCGAATGTTTTTATGATGCTAAAACCTAAATTACACAACGTTACAGGCAAGTTTAAAATGGCTTTAATTTTTAGGTTCCATGTCTGCAGAGAAAATCAGGTACTTTCTGTGATTAGTGTAGCAAGTGCTTTTTCTCTGCATAAATGGAGCTTAAGCGCAACTGGTGTACCAACAATAAAATGGGGCAAATGTTTTCTTGTGATGGTGAATCCTTAAGCTTCCACAGAAACGGGAAAAGTGAAGAAAATTTAAAAGAGTTCATGACTGCCGAGAAAGCGAGCACTTACTGTAATTTGTGTAGGAAGTGCTTCCTTTTGAAACATTTATAGTTTGTGATAGAAACAAGTCTAGCAAGTACTACCGGAAATAAACTGGTTTAAGGATACTTCAATTATTAAATTTGTAATTTTTTTTTATATATTTATTCTGTTTGTATCATTTTATTTTTACTTACATTTGTTTGATTCAGAAAAAATAAACTTTCAGGATTCTCAAAAAAAATCTAAAATTGACTTGGTGCCACTTGTGTTCAATGATTATACAGCGAATTTCGATGAAGCAAAGGCTCAACTTTTAAAACACATTCCATGTACAAAATTATTATATTCACATTGTATTTTCTCCTTTGTACAATGTTTATTTCTAGCCTAACATTCATTCATTAATAAGATCAAAATATTAACAAAAACACCCAACTGAAAAAGGAAACTTACCCAAACCACTTGCCAACTCCAATACACGCAGACTATTTCTCACTTAAAGGAACACTATAGTCACCTAAATTACTTTAGCTAAATAAAGCAGTTTTAGTGTATAGATCATTCCCCTGCAATTTCACTGCTCAATTCACTGTCATTTAGGAGTTAAATCACTGTTTCTCAATCTCTAAATTGAACTTTAATCACATACAGGAGGCTCTTGCAGGGTCTAGCAAGCTATTACCATAGCTTAACAAAATCTTAAACAGAACTTGCAATAAAGAAAGCCTAAATAGGACTCTCTTTGCAGGAAGTGTTTATGGAAGGCTGTGCAAGTCACATGCAGGGAGGTGTGACTAGGATTCATAAACAAAGGGATTTAACTCCTAAATGGCAGAGGATTGAGCAGGGGCATGTTCTATACACCAAAACTGCTTCATTAAGCTAAAGTTGTTCAGGTGACTATAGTGTCCCTTTAATAATGGCATGTGAAAGTTTAAAGGGTCACTAGTGTCAGGAAAACAAAAGTATTTCTGAAACTATAGTTTTAAAACTACTACTTAGGTGGTTGTCCTCCCTTACCTGAGGTTAGAAAAGCCACACAGGGCTCCTTGAGTCTGGTCCTGCCCCTGATACACCTCCTTGGCTGACATCAGATTTGATGATTTCAGCCAATCCACAGGAAACCATGCAGAGGCTACTGCGCAGCAAAATGCCAAGCTGCGACAATCAGCATCTCTTCACACTGTGCAGCACTGCCCCAGGAGGCAGTGTTTACATTAAAAAGCCTGCAGGGACAAGCTATACTCACAAGAATAACTAAATCAAACTGTAGTTGTTCTGGTGACTGTAGTGTCCCTTTAAAGCGAGAAAATGTTTGAGGATCCATCTCTGCTAAGAACATAAAGCACTTTCAGTTATTAATGTAGTAAGTGCTTTCTGTACTGGCATTGCGGCTTCAGATTAAGCCTCTTCCAAAAGATTTTAGAAAGTTAAGAGAAAAATTCTACAGCTGAGTTGCTACCAGTTTGCACACTTAAAATCATTAGGTAACAAATAAAAAATGTAAAGAGAAAGAAGTTACATTGAGATTAGGCATATCTTGCGTCCTTCTTTGAGACTACTTTTTATATTTAATTTCATATAGTTCTAAACCTCCTTTCTTCCAGAATTCTATTAGAATTAATTTTCCCCCTGTGTTTTGGTAATATTTGCTTTTACCCAGAATTCACATACCAATACTACTAGAGCACAATATATAATCAAACTAGAACTGGAATACTATTCCTTATCCATGGATGCTATATACATTTCTATGTTCAATAACTGGATGTACTAATGGCAGTTCACAATGTGTATTGATAACCGTTATGTTTCCTGAACTGCTGACACATTATCATATATTTGTTATACTTAAACCCCCTACCAATTATTATTAGTCAATAAGTGTACTTCAGGTTTGTGCATCTTAGTTAAGCTCCCGCGACTTACATATCTGCTTTCTATATTGGATGATCTACTGCTCTCTACTACTACATAATCCATCCTAACCAGTATAACTATACAACCCCTTAAAGGACAACTATAGTGCCAGGAAAACACACTCGTTTTCCTGGCACTATAGTGCCCTGAGGGCGCCCCCACCCTCAGGGACCCCCTCCCGCCCGGCTCTGGAAAGGGGAAAGGGGTTAAAACTTACCTTTTTCCAGCGCTGGGCGGAGAGCTCTCCTCCCAGTCGGCTGAATGCGCACGCGCGGCAAGAGCTGCACGCGCATTCAGCCGGTCACATAGGAAAGCATTCATAATGCTTTCCTATGGACGCTGGCGTGCTCTCACTGTGAAAACCACAGTGAGAAGCACGCAAGCGCCTCTAGCGGCTCTCAGTGAGACAGCTGCTAGAGGAAATAGGGGAAGGCTTAACCCATTCACAAACATAGCAGTTTCTCTGAAACTGCTATGTTTATGAAAAATTGGGTTAACCCTAGAAGGACCAGGCACCCAGACAACTTCATTAAGCTGAAGTGGTCTGGGTGCCTAGAGTGGTCCTTTAAACAACAGTCGTTCTGTAAAATTAAGTAAATCCATTTATATTGTTACATGTCTAACATGCCAGTATTCCTTAAAAATATTACAGGGAAGCCGAGCTCCAAGATTTGCCTCAATAACAAAGGCTTTCCTAGGGATTTACAAACCCCTCCCCCCCTATTATGAGGATGCATGCATTTTAGTTAGCATTTTGTTTCTATATGCAATATAAGCTACTTATGTGTAAGAGAAAGTGGTCTCTGCACTCAAGTGGACATCACTGCAAAAAGTTCCAGGTCTAGTACTACATGACAGAAAGCAGGTGCTCACAGACAAAAGCAGTCAGGAACTCCGCTAAATGCAGACATTCCTCTGTAAAGGATATGGTTCTAGAGAAAGTGTGTTTTTATGATGAATCTAACAAAAAGTGAAATGGAGTATACAGCACTACATCTGCAGAGGATAGAGCCACTTGATGTAATTAATAAAGTAAGTGCTACTATTGGCTGTATGTGTGATGCCTGATGGAGCAGATTCTATTAAAATTTCCTCTAACCTGTTCAAATCTGCTTCAATATGGAGGTTTTATGTGTGCAGATAAAATTAGGTACTTCCTGTGACTACTCTAGTAAGTGCTTTTTATCTGCATATCTGAAGCCTGAGAGCAACTGGTGTACAAACAATGAAATGGGGCAAATGTTTTTTGTGATGTAAATACTTGAACTTACATAGAAACGTGAAAATTCTTCTGTAAAGAATATGGTTCTAGAGACAGTGTGTTTTTAAGACGAATCTAACAAGAAGTGAAATGGAGAATACAGGCACTACGCCTGCAGAGGATAGAGCCACTTGCTATAATTAATAAAGTAAGTGCACTATCCGCTGCATGTGTGGTCCTGACCACGCAGAATCTATGGAAATGTGTTACAAATGTTTTTATGATGCTAAATCAGGGGTAGGTAACCTTCTAGCAGCACTGTGCCGAAATAGGATTGTGATGTCCCGTAGCGTGCTGGTCCTATTTTTTTTTTTATATTGAGGGGTGTATGTTGCCGTATCCTGCTTGTGTTATTTATACTGTGGTTGCTTTGTATCGTTGTATTTGTGCGTACATGAGCTATTATATTGTATATGTTCAGGAGTAGTTTGTGGTATTGTGTATGATACCTATGAATGTGGGCTGTGTATGGGGGCTGCTTGTGGAATTGTGTGTGTGTGTGTGTGTGTGTGTGTGTGGGGATGGATTTGTCACATTGTGTGTGTGTATGTGTGGGACTGTTTGGGATATTGTATGTAAGAGACTGCATGTGGGGTTGTGTGCATGTATGTGGATTGCTAGTGGTGTTTGAGTTTGTGCGGATTGTGTGCGGTCTGTTTGTATTATTTGTATGAGGGGAGGGTTTTTCTGCATCTCTGTGTATATCTAGCAGTGTGGGCAGTGGTACACACAACCCATGGGGTCCCGGTGCGAAACTGATCCATGGGGCCCCCGCCCTCTAACTCCCCCCTTCGACAGACACATACATACATACAGAGACACACACATTTAGACAGGCACACATATATACAAACAGACAGGCACACATACATACATACATACATATAAACAGACACATACAGACACAAACACACACACACATAATATTTAAGTCACCCTCCTGTTTTCTACCTTTTAAGTGCAGGAGCGTGACTTTCCCTGGGGTCCAGTGGTGGCTCAGGTTGATGGGAGTCAGAGTTCCCACTCTCACTCCTACTGCCCCCCGCACGGGCTCTCAGTGATAACTTAGGAAGTGACTCCCCATCACTCCTCCCTCAGCATGTGATGATCTCATCACAGGTGGCCCGGTCGAGCTGTTAAAGTGCCCAGCGCTGACCGAGCCCCCTGAAAACCCATACCCGCATGGGCACCTTAACATGCGGCCCCTCCTTCTGCTTTGTAGGACATTTCTATGCTTGATGCAGAGCGTGAAAGTGAGCTCTGCACTCAAGTGGACATCACTGCAAAAGATTCTAGGTCTTACTATAGGATAGAAAGCAGGTGCTCACTGAAAAGCAGTCAGGAACTCAGCTGAATGCAGATATTTCTCTGTAAGGATTATGGTTGTAGAGATCGTGTAAATGTGAAATGGAGAATTCAGGCACTACGTCTGCAGAGGATAGAGCCACTTCCTGTAATTTATAAAGTAAGTGCTACTATCCGCTGTATATGTGGTTCCTGATCGCGCAGAATTTATGAAAATGTGCTTTGTATTCAAAGTGGCTTTAATATGGAGGTTTTATGTGTGCAGAGAAAATTAGGTACTTCCGGTGTCTGGTGTAATAAGTGCATTTTATCTTCATATCTGATGCCTGAGTGCAACTGATGGTGAGTACTAACAAAAGGTTTGTTTTTTGTGATGGAAATTCCTTAAAATTGTCAATAAAAAACATGAAAAGGATATGGTTCTAGAGAAAGTTTGTTTTTATGATGAATCGAACAAAAAATGAAATGGAGTATACAGCACTACGTCAGCAGAGGATAGAGCCACTTGCTGTAATTAATAAAGTAAGTGCTACTATCCGCTGTATGTGTGGTCCAGATAGCGCAGAATCTATTAAAATTTGCTCTAACCCGTTCAAAGCTGCTTCAATATGGAGGTTTTAAGTTTGCAGAGAAAATGAGGTACTTCCTGTGACTACTGTAGTAAGTGCTTTTTATCTGCATGTGTGAAGCTTGAGTGCAACTAGTGTACAAACAATGAAATGGGGCAAATGGTTTTTTGTGATGGTAAATCTGTAAACTTCCATAGAAACATGAAAATTACTTTGTCAAGAATAGGGTTCTAGAAAAAGTGTGTTTGTATGATGAATCTAACAAGAAGTGAAATGGAAAATATAGGCACGACGACTGCAGAGGATAGAGCCACTTGTTGTAATTAAAAAAGTGCACTATCCGCTGTATGTGTGATGCCTGATAATATTTTCATAGATTCTGCGCTTTCTTTATGGTTTTATTATGGTAAACAATAACCCTTTGACAGGGAAGTTTAAAGCGGCTTCAATTTTCAGGTTCCATGTCTGCAGAGAAAATTAGCTTTTGAAGCATTTATGGTTTCTGATGGCAACAAGTCTAGAAGATATCACAGCTTTATAGCTAGTATAGCTACTACCGAAAATAAACGGTTATAGGACCACTATAGTGCCAGGAAAACACACTTGTTTTCCTGGCACTATAGTGCCCTGAGGGCAGTGGCGGATCCAGAGCCTGATCTCGGGAGGGGCACTTGTAGATTATTTAATTAAATAATCCAGACACAATAACCACTACAGCTCAGTGTAGTAGTTATGGTGTCAGTAGTGCCAGGATTCCACCCCAGAGTAAGTAGTTATACCGTTTAAGAACAGTTTGACAACTTACCTGGGGTCTGCTGGGATATAGGGTATAGGAGCAGTGGTGTGTGTTAAGGCTGAAGTGTGTGAGTGCAGCAGTGTATGTCAGGGTTGTAGTGTGTGTGTTAGGGGGCAGTGTATGTATGGGGGCAGTGTGTGTGTATGAGGGACGGTGTTGTTTGTGTGGGGAGCTAGTGTGTATGGGGGACAGTGTTTGTGGGGCAGTGTGTATGGGGACAGTGTTTGTGGGGCAGTGTGTGTGTGTATGGGGGGCAGTGTGTGTGTGGGGGCAGTGTGTGTGTATGGGTTAGTGTGTGTGTATAGGGGACAGTGTGTGTGTATAGGGGGACAGTGTGTGTATGGGGGACAGTGTGTGTATGGGGGACAGTGTGTGTATGGGGACAGTGTGTGTATGGGGGACAGTGTGTGTATGGGGGACAGTGTGTGTGTATGGGACAGTGTGTGTATGGGGATAGTGTTTGTGGTGCAGTGTGTGTATGGGGACAGTGTTTGTGGGTGTGCAGTTTGTGTATGGTGACAGTGTTTGTGGGGCAGTGTGTGTATGGGGACAGTGTTTGTGGGTGTGCAGTGTGTGTATGGGGACAGTGTTTGTGGTGCAGTGTGTGTAAGAGGACAGTGTTTGTGGGTGTGCAGTGTGTGTATGTGGACAGTGTTTGTGGTGCAGTGTGTGTATGGGGACAGTGTTTGTGGGTGTGCAGTGTGTGTGTGTATAGGGGACAGTGTTTGGGGCAGTGTGTGTAATGGGGCAGTGTGTGTGTGGTGGGGAGCACTTTGTGTGTAATGGGAGGAGGCTTTTAAATAATAAAAAAAAATTTTTATTTAATAAAAATAAATATTTTGTGTCCCCCCTCCCTTCTTACCTTTATTTAGGAGGAGGGGGGACATTTCCCTGGTGGTCCCAGTGGTGATTCCCTGGTGGTCAGAGTGAACTCTAGCCCGCGCTCCCGGGCTAGAGTTCACTCTCACGAGATTTGGAGCGTTGCCACTGTAACCGCGGCAACGCTCCAAATCTCGAGAGAGGAGGACCCGGAGGAGCTGCAGACTGAGCTCCGGGTCCTCTCTCTTACTCCCTCCCTCCGCCGCCGGCTGTCAGCACAGTGCCTGCGGACCGGGGAGAGAGAGCTCTGATCTTCCTCCCCGGTCCGCAGGCACACTGCAGGGCTGGCACTTGGGCAATGCCAGCCTGCTTTAGCCGGCAGGGGGGAAACTCGGGGGGGGCAATTGCCCCATTGCCGCCCCCCCCTGGATCCGCCAATGCCTGAGGGTGCCCCCACCCTCAGGGTCCCACTCCTGCCAGGCTCTAGGGTGAGGAACAGGTTAAACTTACCTCTTTCTCCAGCGCCGGGCAGGGAGCTCTCCTCGTCTCCTCCTCGGCTGAATGCGCATGTGCGGCAAGAGCCGCACGCGCATTCAGCCAGTCTCATAGGAAAGCATTCACAATGCTTTCCTATGGACGCCGGCGTCTTCTCACTGTGAAAATCAGAGTGAGAAGCACGCAAGCGCCTCTAGCGGCTGTCAATGAGACAGCCACTAGAGGCTGGATTAACCCTAATATAAACATAGCAGTTTCTCTGAAACAGCTATGTTTATAGAAAAAAGGGTTAACCCTAGCTGGACCTGGCACCCAGACCACTTCATTAAGCTGGGGTGGTCTGGGTGCCTATAGTGGTCCTTTAAGGATATACTTCAATTGTACCCTGGCAATGGATATGGCTTCAAGAGGAGTTGTTTTTTTATGTATTTCTTCTGTTTGCATCATTTTATTTTTACTTACATTTGTTTGATTCATTAAAAAAAAAAAAAACTTTCAGGATTCTCAAAAAATCTAAAATGGACTTGGTGCCAGTTGTGTGCTATTAGTATACAGCGAATTTCAATGAAATAAAGGCTAAACTTCTAAAATACATTTCTTGCACAAAATTATATTCACATTTTGATTTTCTTCTTTGTACCGTGTTTACATCTAGTCTGATCTAACATTCATTCGTAATAATAAAATATTAACAAAACACCGAATTGAAATAGGAAACCTATCCAAAACCACTTGCCAAAGCCAATACATCCACACTATAATTTCTGCTTATTATTCCTTAACATCACATACGTAAGTATTTGTTCTGATTGGATGCCATCTGTACTGTGCTCACTACTCCCATAGCTTTAACATTTTACCTCTCATGCTTCATCCCAGTGTTGTTTCAGGATCCTGTCATCAGTAATGACAGGATCCTGGAACACAGCTATTTAAACTCTTTACAGAGCACAATATATAACTACAACATAATTACAACTGCTGGAGATGTTTTCATTTGGATGGTTCTAGGACACACATATGGTGGAACTGTCCCAGAATTCAACCACTATGGGACCTGGCATTTAAAATAATAATGGCAATAATTAATATCCAATTAAATTTTACTCCAGAAATAGCCCTATTCCACATGTATAATAATAAATTAGACAAGAAAAATTAAATATTACTCACTCATTGCCTTATGGCTACTAAGTTGCTGATCGCAAAAGCTTGAAAAAAAAAAAAAAACTGATATCCCTAATATATACCAATTAAGGCCCAAATTCAAAACCAATTGGAGATGGAAAAGTTAGTAATATGGTACACTATTCATAAAAATAACATTAAGACAGGGGTATAATACTCTGATAATAGATATTAATCTTATGGAGAGATAGAAAATAATTAAGGAAAAAAAAGGGAGAAAGAAAAAGAGGGAAAGGGAAAGGAAAGAAAAAAAAGAAGAAAAGAAAAGGCGAATGTGAGAGGATAAATAGAAAGGGAGAAGGAAAAAATAAAGGGAAAATAAAGGGAAGGAAGAATGGGGAGAGTAGAAGGGAGAAGAAAAGAGGGGAAAGAGAAAGAAGGGGAAAAAAGGAAAAGAAAAAAAAAGAAAAAAAGAGAAAAAAGAGGAAATAAGAGAGTGAAAAGAAAAAATACACATGCAAGGTCATAAGAACTAACCTAAATTGTTGGTATGGATGAGAATTAATCACAGAAAAGATAAAAATGTATGGGTAACAAGATAACCAATACAGTTTCACAGAAGACTTATAAGAAATAAATAAATAAAAAAGGTAAAGGAGAGAAAAGAAGGAAAGAGAGAAGGGAAAAAGAAAAGGAAAAGGAGAGAGAAAAAAAGGAAAGATTTAATAACAAGAAATTAAGAAAAGGTTAATCGATAAGCCCTAAATATTAAGGTCATCTTATATATGTAACTTGTATTATTGTATAGATATGAATGTCATTATAACAACAGCTTGTATAATGGTTAAAATTGTAATGCAGTATCCATCTGTGATTATGGTATGTTTTTTGTGATGTATGATTCTAGAAGGAATCATCATTATTTTTTGTTGTTTGTATATCTATGTTAAATGTTTTATGATATATAATTTAATTTAAAAAAAATTACACAAAAAAAACAAAAAAAATCTCTTTACAGAATTAACTTGCTGAACTGGAGCTTTGGGAAGTTTAATATGCTTATAATACAAGGAAAATTGCAAGCAATGTAATCAGATATCTATGTAATGGGCCAATTACATGTACAAACAAATAATTTGATAGAAAGGTAGCGTGGTGGATTTGTGTCTGACCGCCTCTCTGCCATTTCTACCTGGAAGGCTGTTTACTTCCTTAAAGATAACCTGTCCAAAAACAGAACTTCTGGTCTTTCCTCCCTCAAGCTACTCTGATGTGTGTTTTCCTCCAAGTCAATGGCACTACCATCAGCTCCAGTACACAGGCTTGCTGACTAGGTGTTCTCTTTGACTACAACCGCTCAAGCCAGTAAATGGCCAAATCCTCTATAGCGGATGCGGCTTAGGTGGTGGTCCATGTCGCTATCCTCTCTCGCCTTGACTACTGAAATCCGTTTCTCTGTTGTCTTAGGCATTCCCAGCTTGCCCCGTAACAATCTATAATGAATTCAGTAGCTAGGCTTCCTGTCCGCTTGCACCTCCCATGCTTTCCATCTGTCAGTCATAACACTAGATTACCAAAACATAAGGTTTAAATTAAAATTCTGGCACTTGCTTACAAATCTCTACTTAACGCTATGTCCCGCCCAGGCTCCTACACTCTGAAGATCTGGGTCTACTCTCTGTTCATACGCCCACTTCCAACGCCCACTTTCAAGACTTCTCTCGGGCTGCACTGTCCCTACTGCATTAGGCTTTCACACCCAGACTCCATTCCTTCAAAAAAAACTCATTAAAAAAAAACAAAAAAAAAAAACCTACTTTAGGAAAGCATTTCAATTAAACTATTAATAGTTGTCCCTCCCCACACCTTGTTTTCCCTCTTGCAACTGTGTAATCCAAAAACATGAAATACATTCTACATCCTTACATATTGTGTCATTAACCCCACTTTCTTTAGAATGTAAGTATGTTTGAGCAGGACCCTCAACATATGTGCGTCTAACTTATTAGTAGATCATTGTACAGCGCTGTGGAATTTGTTTGTGTTTTATAAATGATAAATTCTGAAGGATCAAGGACTAGGCTCTTCCTTGCATCTAAAACTACTATAGATACACATTTCGGATCAGACAAACTAACTCCTGTTTACAATGATTACAGAAATATTTGATTTAGATTATAAAGAGTTGCCCTAAATATTCTCTTACGTTTGGACTTGGAGTGTGGATGGAGTTTTATTTTTCTGTAAACTGTAATCTGATAATCACCAAAAATTGTAGTCAATTAGAAATAGAATATACATTATTCCTATGTGTACTTGAAAAGACATCAGAAATCCTAGGTAAAGGGGAAATAAAAAGGTAAAAAAAAAAAAACCACTAATCCTTCTACAAATAAAAATCTTTGTGCTAAATAACTAATAATACACCATAATGTACTACCCTGAGTGCTCGAAAGTGAGGGAGGAAAAAAAAGAGAAAGTTTCTGTGTAAAGAATAGAAAAAAACCAAAGATTATTCACTGTGGAAATGGCCCTTGTGCTGTTTATAAACAGAATCCACCCAGCAGAATGTGTATTTGATCATTTGAGATAATTGTTTTGGATACATGTGCAAACACTTGCGGAAAAAAATTAAAAAAATGGACTATTAACAGATGCTTGGAGTAATGTTACAAGTTATTCTAAAAGCTACCTATGCTTTTATCTTTAGTACTTTAGCCAGTTATTGGCATAGAAGTCACCTATCATCTGACACAAAGATACAAACTTTCTACTTATAAGTATTTGTAAAATTAATATTAAAAAAAAAAAAAAAAACACACCACACAAACTAGAATTTCAGGACTGACTATTGGTTATTAAAGCTTGTGCCAAAAACAGATAAAACTATAATTTCTACGGAACTTCCTTTTGCAAAAAACAATATAGAACATTTACACAGAAGGTTGGGTGAGATGAGGTTAGAGTGTGTCAGTACAACAAATATTTAAAAGTCAACATGACCGTAATTAAAGCTACACAGCATTAGAACAAGGAACCCTAGTTTAAACGATTAGAAACTGATCTAACACCACTAGTTAGTTTCTTGATAACTACCAAAGTCATCCCATCATTCTAAATCAAATATACACGCGCTCATTCATCGACTCTTGTCAGATGCCCACAAAGTGCAGCAAAACATAGGTTTTATAGTTGTATCATACATAATAAAAAGGAATGAGCTGTGAGGGTGCTGTTGACAATCCATTATATCACTACATTCCACAAACAGGACGCACCACACCCCAATTCTACCAGACAAACAGGAAAGATTAAAAGAGCACTTCCGAGGTAATTGAACGTAAAGAAACAATCCAAGCAACAAAACCACTGCAACTCGCTGTAGTGATTCTGGTGCCATGTGTGCTCTGGCTCTTCAGGTTTTGTAGTGAAGCCATTTGACAATTTGCCCATAGCCTCCTATTCTTTAGTAGGTAGCCTAGTGGTACAGGGAGACTCTCCTTGGCTAACAGAACTCAGCTGATGCTCTCAGCCTCACAGGAACTAATGGCAATCACCTAAACTAGTGTAGTTATGCCATAGTTGTAAAGGTGCTCTGAACAATCCTTTAAGGCAGGGGTTCTCAACGTTAGTCCTCAGGACCCCCTACCAGTCCAGGGTTTAGGGATTACCTGGGTGTGTCTCAGGTGTTTAGAAAAAGAAAAGAAAAAAAAAAAACACCTTAGAGTCCAAGGTGTTTTTTTCCCTTTTTCTAAACACCTGAGACACACCCAGGTAATCCCCAAATCCTGGACTGGTAGGGGGTCCTGAGGACTGGGTTGAGAACCCCTGCTTTAAGGTGAAAGTTGGCAAAGTATTTTATGCACCAAATAGCATACAGCATACAGCTGCACTAGACTTATATCTCTACATACTTATAAAATTGCATACACACAGACACAGATTGACGTCAACAATAGACCGCTAAATAAATGCATAAAAACACACACACAAAAATCATAAGTAGTAATATATATTCTATATAAAAAAATAAAAACACACACCAGAAATGGGCAAAGAGGACTTACTTTGACAGAACTCTCAAAGGCATAACCTCTTCACCGACACGGTGTCTCTCTTTGTGCTTCTTCTTATGCTTTCTCTTCATTTTGGAAATAGACATTTCCTTCTTATCATTCATGTCTTTCTCTTCTTCTGTAGAAAACTCTGTGGAATAATCAGAGACAATCGGTGAACAAGATGGCAGATGCATTTGACAAAATACAAACCTTTTAGTTTTTCTCTAGTGTTATCCAAAACATCCTACCCATGAGTGTCCCATCTTTAAGATGCACCCACAAGGTGAAACAGCTACCTTAATTAGGAATTTGTCTAGCTCTGTGAGATCAGAGTATTTTGCTTTACTGATGTTACATTCAGATATAATGCTGCAAACACTCAACACAATTTACAACTATTAAGTGTAAACGAAGTATTAAACTTGACTGAAAAATAAAGCGAAGAAGAGATGTATTGTGCGGAAAATTAACACTCATTCAGGTAGGTATACTTTTAGCCTATTTTAGTTGTGCAAAACCACCCACCGTTGTATACATTAGAAATGATATCACCTGGAGATACAGTACGGCAGCACACAGTCACTGCAGTCTTCCATATTTGTATCTTTATGTTGAAGTCACAGCAAATAATAAATATTAAAAACAAATATATAGACATACATATTAAAATAAAATAATATTCCATCTGGATATCTGATAGCAACTGAGCTGTACATGTGAAATGTACTGAGCTATACATGTGCACATGCATCTGTGAAATTGTATTCACAAACATGCCCACACTAGTCATGTCAGGTGCACATTAAAAGTATCAACAATTTTAGGAATATACACATGTAGCCCTAAAGCTAGTTCCCTACTAACTGTTTATTTACCACACCATAAGCAGTACAAAGCCAAAATGTAATTGCCTTTTCCCACCTCTCCGCACTGTCACCCCACCTCCCTTAAGACAAGCATTGGGAGGTTAGTGCGGATCACTGCAAAATGCTGCTCTGCACAAGTCGGCATTTCCTCATAGAGATGCTTTGATTCAATGCATTTCTATGAATAGAGTTTAGCATCTCTATGCAGAACGCAGAGATGATGAATGTAAGTCTTGCAAAGAGGAAGGACTGAAATATTGAAGGTTGTAGTGGTTTTACTAGGACACACAATAAACACTGCCTTTTCTTTGAAAATGCAGCATTTACATTGAAAAGACTGCAGGGAAAGGCTATAGACACCATAACCACTACATTAAGCTGTGATTCCGGTGACTATAGTGCTCATTGAAGAGTACAAATAGACCCTAATGTTCACAAAATGTACCCAAACTGAATAGGAAAGTTCATCTTTAGGTTTTAATTGTAAGAGTTGCAGAAAATAGTTGCCTTTTGAATGGCAACTACAGGTGATACTCGAAAAATTAGAATATCGTGCAAAAGTTCATTTATTTCAGTAATGCAACATAAAATGGGAAACTAATATGAGATAGATGCATTACATGCAAAGCAAGATAGTTCAAGCCGTGATTTGTCATAAGTGCGAGGATTATGGCTTACAGCTCATATTACATGAAATCTATAAAACAAGGAGTGTACATAGAACAATTTTGGACCTCTGAAAAGTATAAGCATGCATTTGGACTCAGTACTTGGTTTGCAGCAACTACTGCCTCAATTCAGCGTGGCATGGAAGCTATCAGCCTGTGGCACTGCTGAGGTATTATGGAAGACCAGGATGCTTCAATAGCGGCCTTCGGCTCTTCTGCATTGTTCGGTCTCATGTCTCATCTTTCTCTTGACAATGCCCCATAGATTCTCTATGGGGTTCATGTCAGGCAAGTTTGCTGGCCAATCAAGCACAGTAATCCCAATGTCATTGAACCAGGCTTTGATGCTTTTGGCAGTGTGGGCAGGTGCCAAGTCCTGCTGAAAAATGAAGTCAACATCCCCATAAAGCCCGTCTGTGGAAGGAAGCATGAAGTGCTCCAAAATCTCCTGGTAAACTGCTGCGTTGGCCCTGGACTTAATGAAGCACAGTGGAGCAACACCAGCAGATAACATAGCTCCCCAAATCAACACAGACTGTGGAAACTTCACACTGGACTTCAAGCATCTTGCAGTGTGTGCGCCTCTCCATTCTTCCTCTAGACTCTGGGTCCTTGGTTTCCAAATGAGATGCAAAAGTTGCTCTCATCAGAAAAGAGGACTTTGGACCACTGAGCAACAGACCAGGTCTGTTTTTCTTTAGCCCAGATAAGACGCTTCTGACGTTGTTTTTTGTTCAGAAGCGGCTTGACAAGAGGAATACGACATCTGAAGCCCATGTCCAGGATCCGTCTGTGTGTGGTGGCTCTTGATGCACTGACTCCAGCCTCAGTCCACTCCTTGTGAAAGGTCATCCCTGCTGCTTGTGCACCTTTTTCTTCCACACTTTTCACTACCACATAACTTTCTATTAATGTGCTTTGATACAGCACTTTGGGAACATCTAAATTCCTTCACAATTACCTTTTGAGGCTTTCCCTCCTTATGGAGTGAGTCAATTATGGTTTTCTGCACAACTGTCAGGTCAGCAGTCTTCCCCATGATTGTGACTCCTACTGAACCAGACAGAGACCATTTAAAGGCTCAGAAACCCTTTGCAGGTGTTATGGCTTACTTAGCTGATTAGAGTGGGACACTGTGAGCCTAGACTATTGCACCTTTTCACAATATTCTAATTTACTGAGATTGTGGATTTGGTGTTTTCATGAGATGTAAGCCATAATCTTATGACAAATCACTGCTTGAACTATCTTGCTTTGCATGTAATGCTTCTATCGCATATATTAGTTTCCCTTTTTATGTTGCATTATTGAAATAAATTAACGTTTGCACAATATTCTAATTTTTCGAGTATCACTTGTATGTACATAACAGTTTAAGATGTTTTCTACAAAGAAGTAGGATAAAAATTACCTTTAGATACGAGGAACCCTGTATCTGCTGTGATACATTCTGAATCGGAAACTTTTTTACTTTCAACTTTAAGGTTTGTAGATGGCTCCTCAAGATTTTCAGAGTTACTACGTTTCCTCTTGCCCAGTCTGCCTTCTTCTGATTGGTCAGAGCTCTCTGCTCGGTCACGCTTTCTCTTTTTTTTCTTGGAAGACTGCTTATAAGTCTCTGAGGACTCGGTCATTGAACTTTCAGATTGACTCCGATGCCTCTTTGACTTACACCCTTTGTCATGGGTTATGTCCATAGTTTCCGTTTGATTTTCCTCTTCTACCATTTCAGAACTTTCCTTTTTGTTTTTAGGTTTCTTCTTTTTTTTCTTTTTCTTTTCCTCTCCTAAAAATGGCAAAAACACATGGTATTTAAAATATGGAACAAAAATAAAACAAACAAACTAAATTGCATGTCACCTTATGCTTTGGATAACATTACAAAAAAACAAAATATATACTGATAAATTACGAATAATAGGCATACAGGTCTCAAAAAAAAAAAATCTAAAAAATTGGTTAGGTGATGCCTGCAAGGACTTACTTCCATGAAAGTACTGTACTTCCCCCACTGTCTCATAAAGAACCATCTTTAAGCTCTCCATAAAGATGGGCGTTTAGAGATTTGTGTAAAAACCAAACAAAACATACTTTAAAATAACAAGCTAATGCAGCCCTAAAGTATTTAAAAATCACTAAAGTCACCCAGATCACTTTATCTCAATGAAATGGGCTATATGCAAATGATCTATCAATTTAACCATTCCATGTAAAACACTTCTGTTTTGTAAATGTAATGACGACAGCCACTAGAAGTGCTTCCATTCACATAGCCAAGCTAAACTCGGCTATTCAATCAGAAGGTTACAGAGCAGCGTATTGACATGCACTAGCCTCACAACTTTCCCCTATGGTGAACATCAGACTGGCCAAGATCCTTTTTGCCAAGCGGCAAGAGTAAATGTGTGTTTGTGTAAATGTACTTTTAACACTTTCATTTAATTTTTATGGGTCCACTAAAATGACGACTTGCCACAGAGTTGTAATGAACTCAAACTCTGATAAGGCTCTGACATCCACTGCATGAGGTTGACTGGATCTATATTACACATAGGCCATTTAGCCAGTGGTTGATTCACTATCCCCATTACATCCGAAATAGATTTAAATTTTAAATTAATTATATTTTCAGCCAATATATGGTCAGTGGGAAAGACTTCTAGCTTTTTCAACTCTGCAAAAGCCAGAAGTTATCACTGGCCGCAGGAAGACCCTCTGTGACAGCCAGGGACCCAGGTAAGAGGGCATACCGTTCCAAAACAATTGGCCCCATTACCATTGAATGGCATCAAAACCACTACAGCAGGCTAAGACAAGTCAGCAGAGGGTTGGCCAACATTTAAACAATCTCGTACCAAAACAATCATTTTTAGATATGGGCAGATCCGGAAGAAGTTTGTTCTTTACGGTTTTCGGAAACATTCCAGGTTTTCTTGGTGCTTCCTCTGGAGGATTATTTAATACCTATATTATAAAAAATAAATAAATAATAAAAAAAAAAAATAGAAAAACAGAAAATATAGTTTACTTGAATGGCTATAATTAGTTTGTATATTGGAGAGAGATATTTTACATGCTATAGAAGTTCAGGATACAACAAAACCACAAATGAAGATTACCTCTATTGCTTTAGCAGCTTGTTTCTCAGTTTCAAACTCTATAAATGCAAATCCTTTGGTGTCCCCAGTGGATTTGTAGCGAGGGATACTTATGTACACAACAGTGCCACATTTACCAAACACTCTCTCAATCCAGCCATGGTTCACATTTTTAGGCAGCAGCTCCTGAATGGGACAGAGCATATAAAACAAAGGTTAGCCCTTTACACATGATTTAATGCAGGGCATAAAGAGCCAATACTACATTACAAACCAGGCCTTAAAACCCGCCATTGCAAATCTGGAGGATCCATGGTACACTTGCATTACTCACTAATGGCAATTGCAAATGTTGAGCCCTGATTTATAATTTATGTAATTCAGAAAGGTTCACAAACGGTCTTTGTGGGGAGATTAAAAACATGTTTTACCTTGTCTATGCAACACAAATTATATATCATAAAGGGGCAGCATGTGCCAGTAAACCCAATACAATAGAGTCAATATATAAAAATAATCACCAAAATGTTCAATACAAGTATGGAATCCAACAGGAAACTAGCCATCATCTCTCCTAAAACGTGTCAGTTATTTCATCTTAAAATTATCCAACCATATATCCTACACTAAATGCCAATGAATCTAACGGAAATATACAAATAAATAAATCTAAAATAATAAAAATGAACATTAAACCAGAATATGTTTTGGTGATTTTCAAGCATGTCCTGTAATCTAAAGCTTTAGTTATCCAATTTATTCAAACTGATTTTATACCAGGAATGAAAGATTGAGCTGACCTAGCTGAGAATTTAATCGGTAACTGTAATTCATTAAAGGACCACTATAGTGATAGGAAAACATACTCGTTTTCCTGGCACTATAGTGCCCTGAGGGTGCCCCCACCCTCAGGGCTCTAAGGTGAGGAAGGGGTTAAACTTACCTCTTTCTCCAGCGCCGGGCGGGGGACTCTCCTCCTCCCGTCACCGGCTGAATGTGCATACGTGGCAAGAGCCGCGCGCGCATTCAGCCAGTCCATAGGAAAGCAGTCTCAATGAGACAGCCACTAGAGGCTGGATTAACCCTATTATAAACATAGCAGTTTCTCTGAAACTGCTATGTTTATTTTAAAAAAAAAAAGGGTAAAACCTAGCTGGACCTGGCACCCAGACCACCTCATTAAGCTGAAGTGGTCTGGGTGCCTATAGTGGTCCTTTAAGCATTCTCACATGACTTTTTCAGCACCACTTAAGACGACAATGAAAGAGCCATCAGTAACCGTAAATTATCCATATATTTCTAGGATATTTTATTGAGGGGGTTTAAGGGTCAGTTGTACTTATTGGGTTAATGGTGGCTTGGATTATTTTTGCAGTGTCATAATATAATGCAGTTTTACAAGCAACTCCTATTGTCTTTAACAGGGGAATTAGAACAACCAACTAAAGGCAATTCTGTAGTTTGTAAATAGCCAAAAATCGCCCATGTGGTATGGAGTTTCATTCGATAAACAAGCAGCTGGGCTGCAACTTAATAGAAGTGCAAATTTGGTTGAAAGAAAACAGAATTTGCCTTTTTTGAACAACCTAAATCATTTAAAAATAAAAAAATAAAAGTCTAAGTGACAATAGAACAGCATTCAGCTGCCATTTAGAGTTTAAGTTGTGCCTTTAGGTTTCATATAGGGGTCTATTCACTAAAGACCCGGGGTTACTCAAAGGATTATAGCTTATGGTAGGAAAACTTAAAACCAATGTGGCAGAATGTTTTGTTCATTAAAAAATAAAAAAATATTATAATATTATAATATATATATCTCAGCCAATGAGCTAAGCCATAAAGCGATGCAATGAAGAGCTTAGTTCGGGAGAACAAATTGACTACATGCAATAGCGGTGCCAGGGCACTTCTGACACTATAACCACTACAGAAGATGTAGTGGTTATGTGATTTGAAGTGTTTATTTGATGGCCATTACAGTCATACCAACAGTCATATTTAAATGTACAGTTGAATAGTGCAGAGGCAACTATTTTAGTTTTGTATTGCTTGCATTATAGCTGATGAATCCTAGGAATACTGATACCCAGGAGTTCTGGGAGTTTGAGCACAGAGCTAAATTTGTGTTTTGTTTTTTTAACCTTGCCTTGAGTGACCCTTTAAAACACACACACTTTTCTAAAAATGCAGAAGTCTACTTACAAAACAACATTTGCTTCTACAAATGTTTAATTACTCTTCAATCCTGTAAAACCTACAATAAAGAACAATAGCAATAACATTTTAACAAGATAAAGCATCTATAGGATGGCAAAGGGAATTTCATCATTTTCTAACAAAGAAAGATTACAAGGCTGGTGCTTGGTTTAGATATGCTAACCCTTGCAATTGGAGACTAAATACAGGGAACTAGAGCATGCTCAGGTGACCGCATCATGACCTCTAAATTGTACATCAACATTCTACCCCCTCAATTTCCTGAAGAGCCCTCTATTACCACTACAGAGCAGTTTATACATTAAAGGCTAGATTGTTACAATCTGCTGAATAATCACCTACTTGTTATACTTCTAGCAAACTTGTTGATTATTCACATTTAAATATAACTATATATACACACACACCACATGATGTACCAGTTACTTCAAAGTGCAGACCACATTTAAGAATTATTTCCTGTAATAAACCGATAATGCACAGATCTGCAAACAGTTTGGAGCATTTAATCTTGGGTAAAAACACGTGTGTGCGTCCTGGTCTTCACAACATTAGTAAAGGTTACACTGCTGAGTCAAAGCTGAAGCCATTTTAATGACAGCAGCTGACAGGGATATAACTCACACTAATCTCAAGCTGCACTGGGATACTTATGTCCCATTGCTGCCCTTACAGTAAAGTACTCGCCTTATCCCCTACACTACCGTAAGATGTACATTAGTCTTAACATAAAAGTATCACTGTAGTTCTTTCGAGCAGGGTCCTCATCAACTTATTGTCCCGGTCACATTTTGTAATTTATGATTTTATTATTACATTTCCCCTCATAATATTGTAAAGCACTTGAATGCCAATTATGTAGAAACAGTTATTTTATACATCAATTGCAAAATATCCCTATTGTGTACATGGTCTGAGTGTGCCCCCTCAATTCCTTTTACTGCGCATATTTGGTATCCAAAACAGATTCCTTTTGGGTTGAGAAACCCATTTCTCCACTATAGGTGCTACTTTGGAGATGACCAGAACATAGCATAATTTGAGGCGAGTCTCTGAAAACATTTAGCATGTTTAACTCCCATGTTAAAAGTAGTGTAGGATCCACCTATATTGGGGTACTGTGACAGTGTTGGGTTTAACACAATATAGTGTAACTGAATCCCCATATTTGTTTGCCAAGGATTTTAAGCAGTCTTGTCAAATTGAAAACTGTATATTTTGTTTGTGTGCGCTGTTCCTTAATCTGTATTTTGTGTTTATATACAGCTGGGATTTCCTGACCAGAGACAGGTTTATCATTTGTACCTCCTCCCCTCTGACTTCAAAGGGAAATTTGTTATTCAATTAAGAGCATTAAGATTATCTCTAGTCATAGAAACTTGCCAATGGAATGCAACATTTACTTACCCCTTTGAAAGGCATCAGAAACTAAAATCACCACTTACTATCATCGGTGCCTTAATAAAAATGTTATTTTAAAAAGCCACACACAGACATTGAAACAGCTGTGTAAATAGGTAAGCAATAAGGCTTGTTAGACTTACAAAAAGTAGCTACATCTCACACTGTATATTAGATACAGGTCACAACGTTATACAAATAGAGAAGAAAAAAATTTTTTTATTTTTTTTTTTAAATGCAACAGCATAACCTCAGGAGAGGCTCAAATTAATCCAGAAGGTTTCCAAGGATTCTCCAGAAGCAGGAACAAACAGTAAAGTATAATAGGCAAAAAAAAAAAATAAAACCATAAAATCAGCTCACACCAGGCTCGTCTCTCCAACCTACGCGGTTTGTCCGACTTCGGACTTCGTCAGGGATATCCCAGCGTCTGTACACCTAGTTCATGCTGCGTCTATATTTTAAAGTCTCTTTGATGCCACCCCGGATAGCCATAAACCAATCCAGTGTGCGATTAATAGAGTATCACCTGTCAACAGCTACTTATAATAACTTCCGTGTTCGGATGATAAAGAGATTATGTTTCTATACATTTCATTCTGCTAATTGCAATTTACGTCTGTGAGTGCATTATATTAATAAGCCATATTTGGTGTCAGTATCCATTACACTATTGTGGCCATGTTTGTATTTTATATTGCAGATTGTTATTTATACTTTGCCTATTTAGAAGAAATGTAGGTATTTTCTTTTAACCTGCATATTTTCAATGGTAATTTTTTTACCTGTTTCCACTGGTGTTAATCTTATTGGGTATTGTGAGTTACTTTTGATATCTCTTACATCAGCATTTAAGAGAGAATTGCTGGAGTCGTTGATCTGATTATGTGCCCACCTTTGCAATTGTCCCAAAATAGAGCAGGGCAAAGAGAGAAAGGAGGAAGAGAAAGAAAGAGTCGGTGTTACTATCAGAAGAGAATTGAAGAGAGTATAGTAGGGATATAGAGTAGGTTATACCATTAGGAAGGTCCGGGAGTCGCCAGTAAGGTACCCCCCCACCGGAGCGGAGGAGCAGAAGTCAAGTTGCATCAGTGGCGGATCCAGAGGCTAATCTCGGGAGGGGCACTTGTAGATTATTTAACCCCTTAAGGACCAAACTTCTGGAATAAAAGGGAATCATGACATGTCACACATGTCATGTGTCCTTAAGGGGTTAAAGAAATAATCCAGAGACAATAACCACTACAGCTCAGTGTAGTAGTTATGGTGCCAGTAGTGCCAGGACCACACCCCAGAGTAAGTAGTCAAACCGTTTAAGAACAGTTTGACAACTTACCTGGGGTCTGCTGAGATATAGGGCATAGGAGCAGTGGTATGTGTGAGGGGTGCAGTGTGTGTTAGGGGGCACTGTATGTGTGGGAGAGCTGCAGTGCGTGTGAGGCTTGCAGTGTAGGTGTGTTTGTGGCATTGTGTGGGGGCAGTGTATGTGTGGCAATGTGTGGGGATAGTGAATGTGTGTATGGGGGCACTGTATGTGTGTGGCGGGCACTGTATGTGTGTGTGGGGGGCAATTGCCCCGTTGACCCCACCCCCTCCCCTGAATCTGCCACTGAAGTGCATCAGGTCTCATCTGTCACCCCGCCCAACCATATTGCAGGTCAGCTATGGGTCCCATATTTTTAATCAAACTTTGTCAATGGGTTTCTAACCTGGGCTGTTAACTTGTCCATTATCTATTTATTATTTTTGTAACTTGAGTTAGTGTGGGGACACTCATCAAGTAGGGCATCGTTTTGATATTGATAAGGGTCATTCACACTTATTTATTCCATTTATTTCTCAAATTGGTAAATGTGCCAGAAACTGTGCTCTACTGAGGCCTCAAAGATATTACAATGTACATACATCACATGGATTACTCGAGATTATAGAGGATATTACCATGCTCCGTAAAGGCTTCCATTTTAATGAAGACCACTCCTAATAAGGATACTGTAAGAGAGGATCATAGAGGCAAAAATAGGTCCCCATTTTCTGTTGGGGAAAGGGACTGAATTAACTGCAACAGCTGCAATCAAGGAAAAAAAAAAAAACTACCTTTAACCTCAGGGGTGTGTGTGTAATACTAAACTTAGAAGTGAGAAAATGAACAGTGGGTTTAACTCTGGTTTTTGAATAATATGGCTTTTAGCAATGTTTCCATGTATAATACTAGGTTTTTCTACATTTCTTTAGTCTAAAATTAGGGGTGGTCTTATACACGGAATGTCACTGCAGGAATGTTCTTAACGCTTGGCCTGACAGCCAACCAAGCTAGTCCCATGTGGCTGGAGCTCCTTCACAAATCTAATTATTAAAGGAGCACCATAGCGCCAGGAAAACAAACTTGTTTTCCTGGCACTATAGGGTTATTAGGTGTGAGGGGGCAGGGACTGGTGGGGACTTCAGTGCTATAGATGTTGAAAATATTTATTTCTTAATTTTGGGCTCAAAAAATAGGTGTCGTCTGATACATGGGGGCATCTCATAGACAGAAAAACGGTACATTTCCACATCTCCTCCCTTCCCCTGGAGATGACCAAGGGTAGAGCAATTTAATCTAGCAATAAAAAAAGTTATTGTGTTAAAAGAAGATTATGTATATGAAAGCATTGTATTGAATGATAGTAGTGTTTGCCTCACATGCACAACTTGTTCCTAATGCTTGGCTTGAACAAAAACCACCACAACAGATGATCTTACAGAAGACAGAGCTGCTCACAATTTTTTTCAATGACCTACTAAGCTCATTTGTGCAGATAGATATATTATTTACTTACCACATACACTGTACGGCAATCAATGTCCTGTGGTTTCTCTCCCAAGGGAAGTCGTCTTCTTATTTTCGTACATTCCAAATTCAACTTTAAACACACACACACAAAAAAAATTAAAAAGTTAGACAAATGCTAATTCTCCTTACCAAATAAATGGAAAATAAAGGTTAACCTACCTCAACTACAGAAGAGTTCTTGATGGCTCTTGCAATGAGCTTTACATCTGTGGATAGCTTTTTCATTTTGTTGAAGGAGGCCAATAGCGATATGTCAATGTCTAAAAAGAGAAATAAGGACAAAATATTAAGAAAAAACAAAACTGACCCATGCACAAACTAGAATAAAAAAAAAATGCACCATGCGCCATCACCGCAATCAACAACTGTGAATAGCCTTTAATGAGGCAGTTTCAGTGTATATGAATTAGTTCATATTTATTATTTATAAAATATTTTACCAGGAAGGATACATTGAGATGTCTCTCGTTTTCAAGTATTTACTGGTTTCACAAACATTGCATTACAAAAACAATAATGCATAACACACATAAAAATGTTATAAAGAACAGGTAAGAAATATATAAAATCAATCATGACAGGTGCATTCTATTTTGAGATATGTAGAGATGGATCTCTTAAAGGATTTTATCATACTATTCGGTTATTACTTTGACTAATGTAGTGCCAACTATATTTAGAATAAAACAATTCAGATATGTAATACACTTGTGTATTACTGCATACATCAAGGATGCCCCTTGTATAACAATGATCCCATACCAGCCCTATGAAACACAATTTATCAGCAATGGAAAACATCATATTAGTTGCTTAACTGTAAATGGCAATAAAGGCACAATAACTTGTAATTATGTACTTCTAGTAAGACACACGGTATAGTATGGAGAAGCCAGACAACGTGTTAAAGTACCAAAAAATAAAAAATAAAAATTGGTGCAATTTGGGGACTGCTTCATTTTTAATAATGAGTATATTGCTTTTCAGGTTTTAAATCCAATGTTATACAATTTGAAAATATCAGTACTTCCACAAGTAGGGCTATAATTAGGACGTAAGAACATGACATTTGTGTGCACTTTAAAAAACTATTTTAAAAAATTGGAGGGAAAAAAGTCTTCATAAAAAGGGGCAAGGTCCTTAAAGGGTCTAAAGGTTAATGATTTGTAAGGCTATTGTTTTTTTCTTACTGAAAACAAAGCTGGGAAGTTGAACACTAGATAGTCAGCAAGGATGGTGACTAAGAGGAGGAGTAGATGTAGGGTGTATATTGGGACACACACAATGGCCTCCTCACATCCTCTGCCCTAAAGACATTCATTCTGGATTGGACATTTCCAAAAACCATCTCAGCATGAGGTCAAGCTGTCATTCAACTCATATACCTTAAACAATGCTCCTAGAAGTAAGAAGGACATCTGAAAGTTTAGATAAGAGACACCACACTAAGCAGCCTTTCCATATGTGGATTTCCCAATCAGTTCTTACATCGTTAAATTTAAAGTGAGAAAACATTTTGTATTTTTTTTTTTTTTTTAAAACACTCTTGGCATTATTCACCGACCTCTACAATGTGTCAAAAGATTTGTCTTTTTTCAACCCTAAAGCGAGCAGGATAAGAAAAAACAAAAAAACTAAATCTAAAACATTACAAACTTACCTATAGTAAAAATGCCACTGTCACATGTTGCTGTACGTGCTTTTTTCCCCTCCTCTGAATATATTGCTGAGTAAAGTAGTTTGACAAGCATTACAAAATGGCTGCTGAGGCAAGGAGTTTTCTAACTTGATATATGGATATAGTAATTAATATGGACTTAAATAATAATAATAATAATAATAAATAATAATAATAATAATAAAACTACAAAGAATGTAACTAGGAAATGTACATTCAGATATTCTCTGGTTTCCAAGTATGTCCTGAGGATGTTACTATTACCCAAGTTAATGGTACTCATTTTATTTATCTCAGAAGGATGAAGGGCTGAGTCAACCCTGCCGAAAATTCCACCTGCGATCCACAAGGGTTGAACAGATTCTACTGATGATGCATGAGCCCACTGAGCCATCTTACTGGCCTAAGTGTAGGATTATAATTGCTCGAGTCAATGACGTGCTGCCAGCATGCAAAAATGTGCCAAGCATCATTATGAGAATTGGCATACTATTTATATACAGGCAAAGCTACTATGATGCAGGTAACCAACTATTTTTTTTATGAAGGTCACTGGATCTTGCCAGTTTCAGATTTGTTCGAAATGACCACCACCAGATGCATTGGAGGCCTTGTCCATTTTGAGACAGAATAAAATACAGTATATACAATTTAGTAAAATTACCCATTAGATTTATTGTATCTTAATTCTATACTTCAACCAGCTACACTGTCAATTAACGCTATACTCTTCATGTGTATTCTGGAAAGACAAAATTACATTTAATAAAAATATTTCCCAACCATTATCACACAACAAAATATTTTCTAATGTGACTTAACTAGCACTGAACCCCACATTTCACATTTAATGAGTCACATTTCCCCTTATCAAAGGGGGATCAATGTTCACGATAAAACAAAAGCATCATCAGTAAGAGGGACTAATTTCTAAACAGGATGCTTGACCTTTGAGGGTTGCTATCTTAGCACTGTTACTTTGGCATTTCATCTTCATTAAAAAAGAGAAACACATAAGTGTAATGTGCATCTGGTTTTTCTTGTTTTTGTTGCAGCAGACCCACATTACTATGGAAATAAAATCAGGAATCACACCTTTTTGCTTCCTTTAAATGGCTAAATGCTGCCTTGAGGGGTTTAGTTAAGAGACTATGCATGCACATTATTCTAAGAGGAATATTTTTAATTGCCTAGCAAAGGCAGTTAAATTCTTGCTTGTAAGAAACCAATGTATTGTACTCTATTTTATGTTTGTCACTTTGTGTTAAGTGACTGCCCAGAGTTGATCCAATTCTCATGCTATATATCCATCAATAGTGTTCTCTATAATAGATAGATTGCATGATTGAAAAAATTTTTTAACACACACACATATATTTCATTCAAGAGTGTACAGCCCCAAACACACAATGCAGCCCCAATAAGTCTACAAACACGCACAACAGCTCCTTTCCCGCTCAAAAAAACTTTACAGCAGCTATTCACATGCACAAACTCTAAAAACCAAAACAAACAGGCCCATCCACACACACATCTCCACAACAATCTCCCTCCCACACATGCAGTCCTATAAACAGCATCGCACCACATAAACATACAACCACCCAAGCAGTATCCCCAGAAACAAGCAACGCCACAAGCAACATCCCTCTCAAAGATACAACGCCACAAGCAACATCCCTCTCAAAGGTACAACACAACAAGCACTTACCTGAATTCAGCTCTGATGTCCTTCGGCACTGGATCAGGCTCCATCCATGCTCCTCCTCACCGACAGCAGCCGGTGGGTGGAGACCCAATGCACATGTGCAGCAATGGCCGCATGCGCATTGGACCTACCCATAGGAAAGCATTATTCAATATTTTCTTATGGGGAAAAATCTGATGCTGGAGGTCCTCATGCAGAGCATGAGGATGTCCAGCGTCAGATAAAAGACCAAAGGTCTGTTTGAATTCCGGAAGTGCCTCCAGTGTCTGTCTGGTAGACAGCCAGTGAGAGCAGACTTAGTGCTGCAATGTAATACATTGCAGTTCCAGAGCACTAAGTGCAATAGGGACACAGCACCCAGACTTCTTCAATGAGCTGAAGTGGTCTGGGTGCCTACAGTGTCCCTTTAAATTGGTATATTGTCCTGTAATCCTTCATTTAAAAAGAAAATTTGTTGTGCATGATGTACAAGTCAGTATATCTCTACACAATGTCTTCTTGGCTTATACTGTTGTATTTGTTACTCTAATGCTGGTAATTTCCATCGAATCACAGCATTAAGAGTGTTTAAAACTAATATGCACATATATTTCCTCTTTTAAAGGAAAATAAAGAAAACACCATAATATTATTTAGACTTGCACAAAAATGTTTCCTCTTCATTCGTCTAGGATTTAAATACCACATGGATCAAGAAATTTGGGTGTGGATTAAAAAGTATTTGATAAGATTCACTTCTTTGAAGAAGACTCCACAGGTAATTTTAGGATGCGTGTGAATTCGTTCGTGGATTAAAAAAAACGTGATTCAGACGAACCAGTTCAAACTAATTTGTGTACAAGACTAATACACATTCATTATCTTAAATTATAAAAAGAGAGACCAGTTTCTGATATAGAAGCATATATTAAATTCTACAAAAGGATATCTATGGTATTAGTCCAACATAATGTTGGAAGCATTTGTTTCATTAAAAAAAAGCAAAAAACAAAAAACAAAAATTAGTGCATTTTATTGCGCACAAACTTACAACCATCCCTGGTCTTCTCTATTTGTTCTCGCATAAATCTATCTTTGTGAAGATTGACGTCGCTGAACCAGAAGTCCACTTGCTTTGCTATGTCTGCAAGTAGCTGTTTCACCCTGGTACGCTTTTTCTTCTCACGGTCCTTCCGCAGCTCTGTGCTTTCAGTTTCCTTAATTTTGTTCCTCTGGGCTTCAGTCTCCATCTCAAATATATTTGCAGCCCTGCATACATCAAATAAAATAAATAGAGCATTCAAGTATTAATAAATCACGTTTAAAAAAAACAAACAAAAAAAAAAAAAAAAACACAAACACAACAACTCCTAAATACATAAAATTCTGCACACATTTCACCTTCTGAAATTCTGCAGCAAGATGAATGTTAATCATTCCATAATCAAATATTCCCAGTTTGTAATGTCACTTGAGTAAGTTTTTTACCTTGTGCATCGCTCAATATATTTGTCTGTCATCTACATGTTAAATAACAGCACTGTATAACTATAAAGCAGTGGAGAAATGTTTGGCACTGCATAAAAGCAAACTTATTTATTTGGGAGTGAAAATTCAGAACGGACAAGCACAAAATAGTTAGTGTAGACTCTCCAGTCTTGCAGAGGCCCGACTGGCAAGCATGCGGCTTGGAAGTTTGGGTTATAACAAATTAGTATGAATGATTGATAGTACAACAAATTAAGTTCAGCTGATTAAATTACACAATAAAACGGATAAAATTACACCATAAAAACATATTTCCAAGAGCAGGACTTGCTCTAGTATAAACAGCATGGGTTGTATAATCCCCACTTAAGGATGTAGTGTTATCAGGAATTGAGATGGTAAGTAAATAACAAAAAGTATATTTTGTTTGTACTGTACAAGTCCTGCTCTAGGAAATGTAAGTACATTCTTCACTTCCACCTGAATAACAAAAATGATGCTTACTCCACCATTGAAGTTTCTTCTTCCTTCTATCTCCACATATATTCTGCATATTACGCATTACTTGGAGAATAGTTTTTTGCTCCTGTACCATTGAATATCCTAAGATGGGGATTATACCGTCCATGCGCACAACAGCAGAGCTCTAAGTTGGCTCTAGTAAATGTGAGTTTTTTTTATAGAAATTATAATGTTACATAAATATTACATACCGTATTGCACTATTATCTTGTTTATTTTGTTTTACTCTGAAGTCAATCATGTCGGAATAACCCAAAGACCAATGTATGTATAAATTTGCACTATAACACTGGGTGCAGTATATCTTGTTTCTTTTAGTAAGAATTATTGGCTTGTTGTCGGCATGTTCCTCTGACACCAGAATGTAAATGATCTACTGAAGTTCAGTTTTCACATAGTTCTTAAAACGGTTCTTAGCACTACACATAGAAAATGTTCGCTTATAAGAAAATTACACATTGTGTCTTCTGACACAAAACAAGGCCAGTAGCTTTAAATAATTTTGACGAGGGGCTCATTGAAATCAATGATTATTCTACATCATTATAATGCAGGTCATGACCAATTAAGCGATGCCGTGCCAAGTTCAGGCATTGAGGAACATCAAACACCACAGAGGCAGCCTCCCTCAGCCACACAAGCAGCCTTGCAACCAAAGTCTACCGCACAGAGGTCTGATAAGATGTAGTAAAGCCAAAGTTGGTAAACGTTAGACAGTGGTTTAGCTCAAATGTGACCTGGTTTTTAAATGGGTTAAATGTTGACAGTGAAGGGCAAAAAAGTGTCTATACACCAGCAGATGGCAAATATCTAAAAATAACACTGCCCAAATAGACCAAGTGAGTAAACGGATAGACTCTTAATATAAATGTTTTAAAAATTTTTTATTTTTTATAAACAGCACATTTAACACAGATATATTAGGTTTTAATTATACCCCATGTATGTCACTCTGGGGTTAAATCAGTTTCTTGGCTGACATGAAGCACAGCTAGGTCATTTTGAGAGCCTGTAATGCTGATTGACACCTCATGCTGAGAAATTTAAGTAATTGAGGAAGGAGTTCACAGTGCAATACTCTCTCCTGCCCCCCACATAGATGGGAGATAACGTACCACAGGAATTCTTCTAAAGAAGAGCTCTAGATAGCTTAGCTTATGTATAAATTCAACATGATTTTTATAATTTGAAAGGGGGAAAGAGACTAATAATTATACAAAAATATACTATTTTACCGTTTGGGACAGTTGGCTTGAATTCCCTTGTTAATTATCTATAATATTGGGGCTTTTAAACCTTCAAACCATTTTACTGTTTTCCTTTGTTAGTAATCTAACAGAAACAGGGCGTCACTAGATTTTTACTTTAGCAATGGATACTCAAACACACACTTTCACTCTAGACTTCAGTAATCAGGAAGTCTCTATACGAAGGGTCTCTAGAAGGGTCAAAAAGCAGCAAGAGCAGGATACTATAAGGTGCTGTTGGGGTAAATTACTGAATTGCATATTATTGTAGGCACTTAGTTGTTAATTACTACCAAAGACAGGAGGGGAGGTGATAACATCTGCTTTAGTTTACAGATGCCGGACACTTCATCCCATAGCCACTGCACAATACCATCTGGTCACACTGTTAAAAAGTATGCAGGAAACATTTATAGATAGAAAACTGTTTGAAAAGTAATTCTAACTAGTCATACTCATTCATATCTTTACAGACTCAGGACATCCACAATGCCGATAGAAAAACCAGAACAGAAACAAAACAAAGACTCTATTTGTATACCTTGCAGGAAAATGTGTATTTACTGCACACACTAACTGCTGTGATGTTACATCAGGGTTTTCAAAAGGAGAATTTCCACAATTGAACAGAATTGAGTAATCCCTCTACACTGTCTACAGTAAGCTGTTGGTGGCCTGGTAGGAGACAATTAAGAGCTACCGATGTTACAGAACACTGAACCTACAACAGGAGGTTCCCGCCACTATAGTTTTCTAAATTGCTACTCCTTGTTCATGGTTAAACCAGGGTATGGAAATATTTTTTTAAATGAATCATAGATTGGTATATTTTGTTTGATTTACATCCATTTAATGGGACATTTATTGGTACCCAGACCACTTTATCTCAAGACAGACCATCTGATTCGAACAGAGTGGCATTTTCCTTTGGGAAAGCATTAGATCATTTTTCTCAATCATCTCAGCAAGAGAGGTGGAGTGACACGCCAGAGACTAGCACTGCATGGGAGAAAAGGAAAGTAAGCTCACCTTTTTAATCCTTATAGCGGGTGGCCCAGTCACCTAAACAGTGACTAGGACACTACAGGGGTAGGAATACACATTTGTATACCCAACGCCATAGTATTCCTTTAAACGGTCACCTGAAAACAATAGTTTTATTTTTTTTTAAATGAAGTATATGCAAGAAATTAGAAAAACTCATCCCTACCTTTAGTATAAGACAGGGGCATTGAGCCATATACTGGATCAGACGGAAGCAAGGAAAATCATATACTAAAGAGAAGGATTGGTTTTTATCCTTTTAATTCCCCCCCCCACCCCCCCATATACTTCATTCAGAGAAGGAAAAAAAAAAAAAAACTTGAAAGGATTATTATATTAAAAATGCCTTTAAGGTCCTTTAAAAATACCATTTTGTTTTTATTTATTTTTACAACTGCTGTACAGAATGTTCATGTGTAAAAGCATAGGTGTATATATAGGGGATGTCAAAGATTTTTATTTTTTAGTGTCGTCAGTCGGGTTTAAAGGACAAACAGATGGCAACTAATTACATGAATACAAATAACAAATATCATAAACAAGGAAAAACCTTTGTCGGGGAACTAGAAGTCAATTTAAACTAACCAATTAGTCTGTGCTGACAACAGAGGCATGAGCACAGTATTCAGGGAAATGTAAGCACTACATTCAGAGGTAAACTGCATAAGGTCACAAAGTATAACGCCACATTGAAATATAACAGTTCTGATCTCGTTCCCATGACAGATTGTTAAAAAGTGCAAGAAAAGTTGCACATGCACGAAGAAGCATTTATTTCAGTGTATTCTATGGAGCTAAACAGAATATAGTCAACACAGACAACATGCATGTATGTTTCCCGCAAGAATAAATAGGTCAGCCCAGTTTACAGGCATGAGAGAGGCCAATAGCAACCAAAACTCACTTCTTCAATGACACTACTTTGTGGTTCTGGTCTTTCACCTGGTTTCATACAAATAAATAAAATTCAGGTTCAAAATTAAGATTTACAAACTATGGCCTCAATGTAAAATGTTTGGATGAACTTCTAAAATATACTAATATTTTATATATTGATATTTTAAAGGGACACTCCAGACCCCTAAAGCACTTTTGTTTGCTGAAAAGCTGTGTGAAGAACATGTCCTATTTTTTAAATTTTGCACAAAGTGCAAATTTCAGTAGAAATTGATATTTTAATAAGTTCACTTGGTTACACCTCCTGGTTTTCAAGTTGGCAACAGGTCTTTTTGCTTTCTGGTTGGTAAGCTCAGTGGAGCTAAACTCAATAGGCAAACAATTGTTCCGAGCACCAGCCTTGCAAATACTTCTCATTAAACTGGTTTGTAAGTCTGTGATTGGACAGCCACAGAAAGTCTGGTCAGGGCTTGCAAAGGTAGCAGACAAGGGATCTACAGGTTTTGCAAGCTGTTTTTAGAGACAACTCCACCGAAAAAGATACATCTACCAAAATTATTTTTATTTTGTTTTTGGGCAGTGGCGTGTCCGTTTAAAAAAGTTTGGGGGGGGAAAAAAACAACACTTTAAATATTTATTCAGAAATATTAAATTAAGGCCTATGTCTGGTCAACAAATATAGACAAATTATTTAACATTATGGGAAACCTATGAGACCAGTATGGGCTGCCCATAAGGATTTATACTTTGAATTATTTTTTAAACTAATTTATAACTTATTTTACTGAGGGTACTGCAAACTGCCCCATTACTTGCATATGCACTTTAGCAACTTCTTGTTATCAAAACGCATGAGAAAGACTCACGTGTGAGAGAAGCGGGTCGTGAAATCTAGCTCTGTGAGTGCAGTTTAATTAGCCAAAAGTAAAAACCATCGGGTAAAAAAAGTCCACATTTTATGGAGTGACGAAGGCTGCCTCCTCCTGATCTAGGTCACTAGTAATGCAAATTTAACTATTTACCTAGTAAAAGGTAATGCCATATGCCTCCTCATGCTAAAACAACATATACATATAGAGTAGAAGCAATGGCTTGGAATGGAACGGGAAAAGCTTGTAGACTATGGACTGCAAAGTTTACAAATTCACACACAGGCCTATTAAGTCTTTAAAAATGGTTAACCTTTTTCATCTAACAAAGTCTCCATCCACATCCTGTGTGAGGTGACAACATATGCATGTGTAAATAAACAAGGGTATGACAGCATTTGTGCATGTAATGTGTGATTTATTTATTTTTGGTGGTAGGGGATTTGGAATATAACTGATGGGTAACAGAGTGCAACAGGATACCAGGAGGATGGAAGTGGGTTGGGTGAAATTTAATTGGTTGGGGAAAGTAATGGATCGATAAGACAGGGATAGGTGGTATCAGGTGGTGGGTATGTGATAAAGGAAAGCAAAGTAAATGAGAGGGGGAGCGTGTGGATTCAGGTGAGCTGCAGTGTGAAGAACAATTCAGGGGTTTAATGGAGCAGTATTTAGGCAGAATGGAAGTAAAGGTCACTAGGTTAATAAAGGGCTGTATGAGAGGTAACTAGTCATAGAAGGGAGGTGGGACTCACTTCCTGCAGGCCAATCCCTCTCTGCTAAAGGGCTCTTGCACTCTGACTTTGAGATTACCTGCACGAATCACAATGTTAAAACTAAACAGCTCTCGACCTTCTACAAACTCATTCAGGCCGACCACACCACCCAACTACCCCACTACCCAGACTCTTGGTCAAAAGACCTCAATGTGCAGCTCACACTGCCCCAATGGCGGACTGCTTTCACACAAATTCACACGACATCCACCTGCACCAATGTAGAAGAAAGTGGATATAAGACAATATCCAGATGGCACAACTCTCCCTCCAAACTCCACAAGCTTTTCCCAGACACACCTGATGTGTGCTGGAAGTGCTCTCAACCTGGAGCATCCCTCGCACACATTTGGTGGCACTGCCCACTAACCCATAGCTACTGGGCCAATATCGTGATAATGTCCAAAGCAGAAAGAGGCATACAACTGCCCCACACCTCACAAGCTTTAGTGCTTCTGATCCTACCAAGATCAATCCCCAAGATACAAAAAATGCTCTTGACCCACCGCCTTACAGCAGCCAACATGCTCATTCCAGTAAAATGGAAGAACCCTGCAGTTCTAACAGGGAATGGATTGCTAAAGTGGACTCAATCAAAACCATGGAAGAGATCCATGCCTCCATTTCCCATAGATATCCAATCTTCCGGGAGACATGGGAACCAATGGCCGACACCCAAGACTGACCACCTGGATTGCATACACTTCCCTGACTAGGCATCTCCCAGGATGGAATATAAAATCAGCTGAGGAATAACGTCCAATCCCCAATACTCCCCCGACCTTTCTGTCCACCAACCCCATAGTACTTTTCCCTTGCACCCACCCATCACACCTTGAGATACATCCGACACGCACAACCTCTTGCTATAGCCTAGATGTGTAATATGATGTTAATCCCTACTCTAGCCCGAGCTTCAAGCTCCAGCAGAGACTCCACGTAGTGGCTCATACTTCTCATCCTTGAGGGTCACTTCTGGTTAAACAAGGTTACACCCAACAATATGAGGGCACTAGCGTAGTATTTTGTAACCTCAGTTATGACCCAGATGAATACACTGTGGCAGCCAGCTGAGCTGGGCAACAAGAAAAGGGGCTCAGTTAGAAATGTAGCGAGTAATATGCTTGTATTCTTGATCATCATGTTGCAATACGTGTATCCATCTCAATGTAAGTCGACATCCTTGATGTAATTTTGTATACACTTTTTGTACCCACTTACTACAAATGTTTTGAAAGAAAAGAAAACCAATAAAAACAAATTAAAAAAAAAAAAGGGAGGCGGGAAGGAGTTGTAGCAACAGGAATGAAATCTGCAGAATATGTTGGTGTTTTATGAATGCCAGTAAGAAAATGACACAATCATGAAATATATATGTCTTGTATGTCAATGGCAGGTTTGATGTACACCTTGGTTTGCCCTGAAAGGACATTTTGTATTGCAACTTCGTTATAAATAAATATCCACAAAAACTAAACCTGACCAATGGAATGAGTCTGCTATGGGTTCATCACTGCACCACTTATTTCCAGCTCATTTTACAACCCATTGTTTTGTATGGAGACCAGACGTTGGTACTTTGCCATTGTTAGATACGTGGTATTTGAAACTGTTAGAAAGAAAACAAACAAAAACTAATTTTCTAAATAGTTTTAAAAAAAAAAAAAAAACAATACATTGAGATATATTTTCATTTATTTTTACAAAAGTTATTAATGCAAAAAGTAATAGATCCATGTTAAGTGACCAAGCAATGGAAAAAAAAAAAAAAAAGCATGTAAAAGCTAAGTAGGATGAATGAAGCAATTATAAAATAGGTGGAAATGTAAAAAACAAAACAAAATATAAAAGTACTTTGGATTAGATTTTGCCGTGACTACAGAGTTAACAGGAGTCTTTTTTTAATTTGATAAAGTAGAGGTAGGTATTTTATAGTTGATATCCTGTGGAGGGTATAAACAGATGTCAATGACTCCAAGGGGTGGGCTGGCCACCTATACACAATGCATCAAAGAGATGCTGCTGATTGAAGGGTGTTTACAGAAGGGCAGTCAGATAAGATTATTAAGGAATTCTCTCAGTAGTGTGAGAAACAAATATTACACACAAAAAAGCCAATGTGTGAATTAAAAATTTAATAAACAGTATAACCCAAAGTGATGGCACTAGCCTTTTGGTCTTTGATTAGATGTGCAAGAAAAAAAAATTAAAATCTGCATTTCCTTATTTTTTTTTTTAAACTCCAGGCCCCACACCCTGACCTCTCTGGAAATCACATTGCCAATTTGACATGGCAGGAACCACAACTGACTACATAAAAGCATATGTAGTCAGTTGTACATCAAGATATGTCTGCATGCTATCAGATACGCAAGAATACATGGAAAAAGTAGTAACTCCTATGTGGCCAAATGTATTTCTGTCAGAGAAGCTGTAATGAGCATGTCATTGTATGTTCATTCACTAGTGCACAAGGCCCGTACTAGAAAAATTGTCTTTGAGCACCAATCCACTTTATGGATAAAGCTGGTATCAGAATAGGTACAGGTAAATTGAATCATGTTGCCTATCCCTGCACTATATAATGCTGGGCTTGCCATATTTCCATAGAATATAGGAGTTGGTGCCAGGTTAGGAATCTAAATCGGGACACAAACTTATTTATCCAGACTACCTTATATACAGCCTTTAGCCAACTCTTAACCATACACTCCAAATGAACCACACAAATTAAACTAGCTACTCCCAAACACACATTCGTGCATACAGGACAACTGAAATATTTCCTCTGTGTAGACCAAAACATTGCACATTCAGTTTTCAATAAGTCTGCCTTTTTAAAGAAACATTGAGTGCCTGGACCTACTTTTTAATAATATTTCAGTCACTTTTTTGTCTCTGATATCAAATTGAAAATGGCTTTTTCTTTGTGTTCTGATAGCAAAGTTTAGTACTGTTGCTCGGTATCCTCTTTCAGGGCGCCAGATGCTACATGGCAGGATAAACTTATGGAGTACAAGAGAGTACATTACACAAAACAGGGTTCCATTTTCCATTTGCATCAGTGTGTCAGAATATATCCAGAAGATATCCAGAAGATATCCAGTTTGTATAAAAACCTTTTGAAGAAAATGTAAAACATTTTGAATAAAACATACAATAAAAATATACAATCGAGTGACAGTGACTGTTTAGAGGGAACACCTAAAGAAAACTTTTTTTTTTTTTTTAGTAGATATATCCCAAAGGAAAAACTGTATACTGTACATGCTGAGTGCATTATTTGCAAGCCCTTGCCTCCTTCTCCATTCTGTGCCAGAGAATACACCAATCAGTGCCTTCTTGTTGAAAAGCCTATGTGCGCTGGATCGCCATGCATGTGCACGGATTGTGGCTTCCCTAGGTTTCAGCATATTGAGTATGCTGTGCAATTTTGGGCACCTGTTCTAAAGAAGGATATTAAGACACTAGAGAAAGTGCAGAGGCGGGCTACAAAATTAATAAAAGGAATGGAACATATCAGCTATGAAGAAAGGTTAACAAATTTAAACCTAGTTAGTTTAGAAAAACGTCGCCTGAGAGGGGATATAACATTTTACAAATATATTCGGGGCCAATACAAACCATTGTGTGGAAATCTATTCACAAACCGGACTTTACATAGGACACGAGGCCATGCGTTTAGACGGGAAGAAAGAAGATTTCGTCTAAGGCAAAGGAAAGGTTTATTTTACTGTAAGAACAATAAGGATGTGGAAATCTCTGCCTGAAGAAGTGGTTTTATCAGAGTCCGTACAGATGTTCAAACAGCTACTAGATACATACCTGCAAAAACAGAATATTCAAGGATATAATTTTTCAATGTAGGGTAATAAATGCTTGATCCAAGGATAAATCTGACTGACATTCTGGGGTCAAGAAGGAATTTTTTTTCCTAGCTTGTTGCAAAATTGGAAGTGCTTTAAACTGGTTTTTTTTTGCCTTCTTTTGGATTAACAGCAAAAAACAAATGTGAGGAAGGCTGAACTTGATAGACGCAAGTCTCTTTTCAGCTATGTAACTATGTAATATGCTGTAATAAACGCACAGAAACAGGGGTAGGAAGGTGCACTGCAGCTTAGCAAACTTGTGCTTTAGACCAGTGTTCCCCAACCCAGTCCTCATGGACCACCAGTCAGGTGTTGTCAGTATCTCCATTGGAATAAAACAGGGAAATACATAAATCCTGCACTGTTGGTAGTTCATGAGGACTGGGTTGGGGGAACAATGCTTTAGACCATTATGTGAAGAAAAAGGAAGTGGCAAAAAAAACATTCCTGGTTTCCAGACACAAAGCACTTCACCGTTTTAGAATCATATTCTCATTGACCTAAAATTCTACCTTGTACACCAATTGGTTCTGCTTTAAAGGGATACTACAGTGCCTGGAATTCAAAGCTGTATAGCTCCCTCTGCCTCCCCCCGGTGAATAAAGGAGTAACCCTTTACTTACCTTATCAACGCGCCAATGTCCCTTGGAGCTGGGTCGCTGCTCCACCCTCTGTTTTGTCTCGCGATGAGAGGATGCTAATGTGCATGCGCATTAGACCTCTCCATAGGAATCAATGTTTTCCTATGGGGAAAAAGCTGGCGCTGGATGTCCTCATGCAGAGTATGAGGACGTCCAGCGTCAGATGCCAGACCAAAGGTCTGTTCGGATGCAGGAAGCACCTTCAGTGGCTGTCTGGTAGACAGTCACTGAAGGCAAACTTAGTGCAGCAATGTAGACAGTTTCTCTGGAACTGCAATGTTTTACGTTGCAACACTAAGCAAAAGGGACATTCCAGACCACTTCAATGAGCTGAAGTATGCTGGGTGTCTATAGTGTCCCTTTAAACAAATAAGCATTTTATAAAGGGGAATGCTAATTTGTCCAAAACAAATTTGAAGCAATTTTGCCTAGTTACCAATTCTATTATAGAATATGTATATATTCTATAGATTGCAAGTTCGTTTGAGCAATAAATCTATTGTTTCTGTAACAGCACTGAAAGAGAATTAAAATACCCTTTGTCACTTACCTGATTCCAGCGCCGATGTAGAAACATAGAATGTGACGGCAGATAAGAACCATTTGGCCCATCTAGTCTGCCCAATTTTCTAAATACAGTACGACCTTGGTTTACGGATTTAATGCGTTCTCCGGGATGTTTCTTATTGCGAAACATTTGTAAATCGAAATGAGGATTCCCATAGGAATGCATTGAAAACCAATTAATTTGTTCTGGAGGTCAGAAAAAAGTCAAAATGAGCTGGCATGGAAACCAACCCACAATGCAGAACACACAATAAAAGGCATGCAAACTCAGCTCCATACCTATCCACAGCTTGAGAAATGCACCAAAAAGTCCCAAAACAACTGCAAACAATTTCCAGAATGGCTCCAAAACTCGATGCAAAAGGCGCTCCAACACCTCCACACTTTACGCCACGTGCTACCCACAGGCTCCAGCATGCAGGGGGCGGTGCTATACACCTCCTAGGTGCAATGCATCCTGGGGAAACTTGCTTTGTATTGCAAAATTTTTGTAAACCAAGGACTTATTTTCAATGGATTTTCATTTGTAAACTGAAAATTATGTTAACCGAGGCATTTGTAGACCCAGGTCCCACTGTACTCTCATTAAGTCCCAGGTCTCATCTTATAGCTAGGCTAGCGTTTTGCCTATTCCATGCATGTTTAAACTCCTTCAAAGTATAAACCTCTACCACTTTAGCTAGAAGGCTATTCCATGCATCCACGAATTTCATAGTAAAGGAATACATGCTGATATTTTTTAAACCTTTTGCCCCTCTAATTTAAGACTATGTCCTCTTTTTGTGGTAGTTTTTTTTGTTTTGTTTTTTAAATAGGTCTCCTCTTTTACGGTGTTGATTCCCTTTATGTGCCCGTTTTCCTGGCACTAGAGAATCCTGGAGTGCCCCCCTCCCCATGTCACTAAAAGGGTTGAAACCCCTTCAGCTAGTTACCTGAATTCAGCACTGGTTACCTGTCCCTCGGCGCTGGGTCAGGCTCCGCCCATGCGCATCCCCCGCCATCAGCCAGCAGGGGAAAGACCCAATGCGCATGCGAAGCAATGGCCACACGCGCATTAGACCTCCCCAATGGGGAAAATCTGACGCTGGAGGTCCGTGAGGATGTCCAGCATTGGATAACCGACCAATGGTTGGTTTATATTCCGGAAGCCCTCTAGTGGCTGTCTGGCAGACAGTCACTAGAGGGCATACTGAGAGCTGCAATGTAAACATTGCACTAAGTGCAAAAGGATCACAGTGTCCCTTTAAATAATTACAATTGCAGGGTTAACCCCTTAAGGACACATGACATGTGTGACATGTCATGATTCCCTTTTATTCCAGAAGTTTGGTCCTTAAGGGGTTAAGTGGACAAGGCCACTGTTTTAATCGTCTCATTTATTGTTAAATTCACCCTTTATAATATTACAGCGCTACAGAATAAGTTGGCACAATATAAATGCCTTAAATAATAAAATTCTGAATATGAATTAAACAATTAGCAATGTCTGTCTATGACTTGCACAATTTGTATAACACAAAACCCTATTTTACAATTGCTTTAGTGCTTGATCTGTGCAAACTATAATAAATAATAGGTCACTTTATAAATATTAGCTATTCTATACAAATCGATAATGTATACAAGTCACAAGTAAAGGCACTTTCTAAAAGACAAAACCTGATAAATGGTGCCATCTTGTGGTAAAACTGCAGTTTTACATTTAGGAATACCAGTGTTTTGGAATGTGAACAAACACAAAAGAGAACTACCGTACTTAGCTTTTTTAGACAAGCTAACATTACATATGGATTCACATTGTGATATTACAGACTGCTGTATAAAAACAATCATTCTGCTTCCAGTGTTAAATTTGTAGAGCTAGTAAACTTAAGTGCAGCACATAATTTGAGGTTCTAGCAGACTGAAGCCACTATTTTGTACACTACTCCACTCTCATAATGTCCAAGATTTGTGGTGACCATGTCCACTCCAGGCAAACACTTAAATATAGGTTTTAGTAAATCAAGAATCACAGAATGATTATAATCTTCCTGACCAATCTATCCTTTTACACCATAACCAAATATTTTCTAAAGTAATCTTCTGGCTTGGCATTCACAAATCTATCACTAATGAACATTTATCAAAAATGGAGAAGTAGGTTTGGATCAATCATGTGTTTGGAGCCCTGCTTGTGAAAGGTTGCTTGTTGGGATGTGTGTGGGTTGGTAGTGGTGTTGTGAGGACTGTATGTGTGTTTGTAGGAGTTGGAGGCTTCTTCTGCAGCTCTGTTTATTTCCAGCAGTGTGGGTGGCTTCCCTGGGGTCCAGTGGGGACCACAACGTTCAGGCACATGTTAAGGGCAGGAGCTGCGATAGCTGCTGCGGGCTGCTTTACTCAAGAATTCCTGTTCACAAGTGCTTGGATAAAAAAAGATCTGAGATCACTTCCTCTAAGTGCTGCAGTGCGTAAATAGATTATTGCCCCATACCACCTGGAATAACCACTCAGTTTGCACTAGCAGATATATGAAGTCCCACTGTTTGTCTCTGGCAGCCATGACTGCTGTGCCATAGGTTGCTGACCCATGCATTTATAAGCCATTATTAAATTACACGTGGACTCCAGATACAGTAGCATTGAGCATAAGAGTGTTGCAGTAAATCGATATTATTCAAAAGAAACAGTAATAAAGAGATAAATAATTCAAATCCAAGCTCAGCTCAGTTTCATACATGCATTACGCTGCTTTGCAGAGTATGCAAAAAAGATTGGCAGTTGCCTTCCCACAGGGATTAGAGGAGTAAAGCATTAGAGTGGTCACGATGATTTGGGTAGAAAACATTTTGAAAGTGGGGAGGGTGTTGGATCCAAAGGCTGAAAGCACTTTTAGATGAAGCTAGACGAAGCAAAGCCTCAGCAAAACACAATGTAACAAAGGATTCCTATTATACAGACAGGAAGAAAGTCTAATAAATTTCAAACTAATAGCAAGAGAATTTAAAAATTCTACGAACGGATACTGTGAGAGACCAGGTGTAAGACAACATAAGAGAAATCTCTCAAAAGGCAAGTTGCCAGGAGCAATAGAACACATAAAACACAATCCATTACCCATGTCGTTCTGCATCAGGTGTAAATGGTATGTATATTGAGCCATACTCCCCAGTGTCTAGATAGGAAGCACTCCTCAAGCTACCAACACACAAGGATGACATGTTTCCATAACTATGCATACAATGTAGATAGTTAAATGCCCCCCATACCTTTACAGAGCTTGTTAGATCAGTAAGCTTTTGACACTGTTCAGTTATGTTTCGCTTGGCTTATTGTGAACTCAAGAAACTACTTGACTAGAAAGAGACACACACAGATTCCCCACTCCGGTGGATAAACCAAAATATAAATTTTAAGAGTCTTTAAACAGGTGGTCCAGACATGTATCTGCAAAGCAATAACCTATATAAAAACACATAAGCCCCCAATTCCACCCCTGGTTACACATGAACAGTGAAAGGATTTTTGCAGACTATGAAAAGGGGAGAACTGGCAGTTGTAAGGTTTAGGCCAAAATAGCAGAACTGGATAATAAAAAAAATAAATAAAAAAAAGTCTGTTAAAACCATTATGAATTTTCCCATTCAAATAGATTATAGCATCTAGTACAGGGATCCCAGATCTTTTCCCCCCAGACATCGATGGCCTACATCTTCCAGAATTCTCTGGCTGCAATGGAATGTAGGAGAAACTGAAGGAATCAGTGTATGAGATGCCTGATCGAATACAAGTAAAATTCAGTCACTCAATACATTTAAATGATGAAATCAAGTGAATGAAGCCTGCTGATAGCGTCTATTCACTCAAATAAGAGACTCATTCATTTTTGATCAAGTTACAGGCAACCTGTGAATAGATGCATAGGCTATACGCTAGTTGTTTCACATAATGGATTACTAGGCATCACATGCATTGCATGTTCAGATGTTCCTAAAGGGTCTAAATTAGGGATCAACCGATAATGATTTTTTAGAGCTGATACAGATAATCTTTGAACTTTCAAGCCAATACCCGACAACTTACCGATACTCTGTACATTTACCATTTTGAAAAAACAATCAATTAATTCTGTGTCTGGTGGTCTAGTTTGTTTTGTGAGGGCTTTTTTTTGGCTCAAATAGATTGAAGCCTTTTAAAGTGAGTCATAACCTTTTTATATCTTGTGAGTTTTTTATAATCTACTGTGTGGTAAAATCCCTAAGGGCATACTACATTATTAGCATGCTTAACTTGTAGCTTGTGTCATTACTACCTTTCGCAGCTCCCTGTCATGGCTTCATGTGCTATGTCTTCTCGATCCTCCAGTGAGCACTCCCTCACAGACGCAGAAACTACAGACAGGTAGATGGTGAAAGGGCGTAATCCCCCATCTCTCGAATGCTGGGCACAATCCAGTGACGGTGAGCACCTTAAGGGGCCTTCTCAACAAGCTCAGATGCAACATCGCACAAATAGAAGGTAGAAGGAGGACTGCACTCCTTCAGCTCCTCTCTAAAGTCTTGAGATTTGCGCACCTGGTTGTGCCGCACGGAGCGTTGCCACGGTAACTGGCCAGAACACTTTGATGGTCAGGGCTTCGTGAATCGCGAGACTTGGAGATGGGACAAATTGGTCACGCATCGTTTATTTCAAAAACCCGGAATATCGGCAAAACCGATAATCGGTCGATCCCTAATAAAATATATATATTTTTTGGGAATAAAAGAAAAATCTAAATCTGTTTGATGGAGTACAGCATTGAAGTTCTGAATGCTTGACCAAGCGCTGCTGATGTATTGTAAGCTACAGGCTAGCCTATCATTATTTTTGTATATGTACAGGAAAGAAGACAGAGGTAGAGCCAACTCCTAGATACGTTAAAGTGGGGGGTAACCCCAAATACCCCTATTCTTATGAGTCTAGCACATGGTCCTGCCACCGTGCTATTTTACTTATTAAATTTATTCATTTTGAAAATACTCCAATAGTAGCGTTCACTAGATCAGTGGGACTAGTGACAGGTGCCCTTGAATGCACAGGGGGAGAGCAGCCTTAGTTAGTTGCAGGTAACTCTGCAGCAACTAATATTCAGATGCCGTTTTCATTCATTTATTGAGATGGTTAGATTTATTGAATAACTCGGCGCAAGAAGGAGTAACACCAATAGATACTCCATGCGCTTTTTTGATTTAATGCCTAAAGGTCTAGAGTGACTATAGGATTTATAATCTATTTAGATTAAGGACTGTTGCTAACCCCCGTAGTAATGTTCAAACCGGCTAGTTCTACTATCTGATACAATCTGGTTCGCTCTTTAACTTCAGCAGCTATTAACATCCAAGCAAGATTTATTACACTGGTCCAGCCTCATACACGGCAATTTGCCTGCATATGTTACACCAGTCCTGAGCTAAATGATGCCTGCTTTCTAAGAATTAGTTCACTCTGCTGTAAAGTACTGATGCTTCATTCTCTGCCTACTTAAGAGATATTAATAGCTATGTGATCAATAGTTAGCACTTATCAGAAGGATTTGTAAGCTACCTAGTTTTTGGACTTGGGCCAATTGCTCTATATCATTTAGCTCAATTTCTAAAGCATTTTTTGCTATCACTTCTGTTCTGTAGCGTCGGAATGTTTTCTCCTCAGCATTGGCCGTTATTTAACTTGATCTTATTGTTAACATACTTGCCAATGTATCTGTGAATTTCTTATCAGTCCTGCTCAAACGGACACAGTTTCAGTAGCTTTAGCACTGATAAGATTCCAGTTTTCGAATCCAGATACATAGTTACATAGCTGAAAAGAGACTTGCGTCCATCAAGTTCAGCCTTCCTCACATATGTTTTTTTCTGTTGATCCAAAAGAATGCAAAAACACTAGTCTGAAGCGCTTCTAATTTTGCAACAAACTAGGTAAAAAATTCCTTCTTGATCCCAAAATAGCAGTCAGGTGTCTCCTTGGATCAAGCAGCTATTACCCCACTAATTAGAAATTATATCCCTGTATGTTATGTTTTTGCAAGAATTTATCCAATTGCAATTTAAGCATCTGTATAGTAGGACAAAACCACCTCTTCAGGCAGAGAATTCCATATCCTTATTGCTCTTACTGTTAAAAAAAAAAAAAAAAACTTTTTTGCTTAAGATGAAATCTCCTTTCTTCCAGCCTAAATGTGTGACCTTGTGTCCTATGTTATACTAGGCAGGCTAGACATTTTTGTAATGTAATTAGAGGTCTTGCATATTTACAGATGATACCCTTCTCACATCTGATAAAATGCTTACAATCTGCATTTGCAGATTCGTGATCGGAGCAATTGTTTATCAGTTTTAGCACCACAGGGTCCTTCTTAATAGGTTATTGATTGTCAGTACACACTATATGTTCACGGTTTATACAAACACACACACTTTTTTTGTTATTAGGATTTGTAATAAAATGTATTTATTTTTGATTTTATCAATCTAGCATTTTGTCTGGCAGCTACCAGTCTGATACTGCTGACATTCAGATAGCTATGAACTTTCCAATTCTATTTTAGGTTGTCTAGATACACCATCTTTTTGCTTTTCTTTTTGTATTTGTACACTCATAGCAAAGCTGCAAACATGGAGCTCACAGACTAGCATATGTATTTATTACTGGTAAAGGGTTGATCCAAGCATAACTACTTCTGTGTTTTGAAGTGGTTATGATGCTTGGAGACTGCACATGCAGCTGCCAGAGGTGTAACAACTCAGCCGTTAGTCAGGATAGAAGGATAGTTCCAGACTTGAAGGGATACTATAGGCACCCAGTCCACTTCAGCTCATTGAAGTGGTCTGGGTGCAGTGTCAGTCAGTTTAATCATGCAATTGTAATTATTGTAGTTATTGATAAACTACAATAATCCCAATGCAGGGTTAATTCCATCTCCAGAAGCTCTTCAGGAAGTTAGGTGACTTTTTGTCGCTGGACACTGGACATCCAGCATCAGCTAAAACCCCATAGGAAAGCGTTGATTCAATGCTTTCCTATGGGATAAATCTAACTTGATCGCAGCACTTGCTGCGTATACGCATTAGATCCTCCTCGCCAGCTGATGGCAGGTACAGAGTCTGACCCAACGCAGAGGGACATTGGCGCTAAAAAGCAGTAAGGGACAAAAGGGTTTTTAACTCTTTCAACGCTGTGAGGGGTGTGAGGGAAGGGGGCACCATAGTGCTAGGAATAAAACTTTGTATTCCTAGTACTATTTATTCTCTTTAATGCTAAGGAAATTATAGCAAGTTGCTGAACCAATCAGCACCGCCTCAATGCATCTCTTTGGGGAGCATTCATAATCTCCATGCAGTGTAGAGATGCTTAACACTGGTCCTCCAGGAAGTCCCTCTAGCTGCTGTCTGAGTGACACTTGGGTGGACTTGGGCAACATTGCATGCACCACCTTTTCTCTGAGATGCAGAGCTTGTAGGGACATGCTATAGTGGTTCAGGTGAGTTTTGTGTCTCTTTAATTCTGCTCATAAGCAGATCTGACTACAGGGAAACTGTAGGAACACAAGTTAATTTAATTCTACATGGGGGGTGGGGGGGACATTGCCAGTGAGGTTTACACTGTCCAAAAACAGTTCTGTTTTTTACTAAAACATTGTTTATGTTTGGAGTAATCCTTTAAAGGCAACGTCAATTAGAACTCTTTTTTATTCAACCAAATTATACTTACTGCACTAGGTTTCTTCGGGAATATGAATACAGTTTGAAGTGGCTTGAGGTACATTAAAGGATTACCCAATGTAAGAAGTCAAACCATTTGAAAACAGTTTCACGTCTTACCTGGGGTCTTCTGGACACCATGTTTATAAGAGTTTAAAGCTCTTTGCATTGAACTAGTTTAGTGTTGCAGGGTTAGCTCACTGTCTGAGAGCAGCTGACAGGAGATCTAATGGAAGCTCCATGCTGCTGTTTCCAGCCCTCATAGAGAGAGAGACAGGAGCCCCACAAACTCCATTAAAATTGTTCACCAATGTTTTGTTAGTAACATATGGTGGCCACAGGGCACTACAGCTGTAGCCACTGTAGTGGCTATAGTACTTGGAGTCTTCCTTTAAAATAATTGTAAAATTGTAGTTAATTTAGTATTTATTGCATCAACCCCTGAGAGACTTAAAGGGACAGTATAGTCACCAGAACAACTACAGCTTAATGTAGTTGTTCTGGTGAGTATAATAGTTCCCTTCAGGCTTTTTTCATGCAAACACTGCCTTTTCTTTACATTGGCTCTAGGGACACCTCCAATTGGCCACTGCTTAGATGGCCACTGGAGGCGCTTCCTGGGTCAGTGCGCCCATGCCCTGCATAAAGAAGCTAAATTTTCTTCATAGTGATCATGAGAGGCCAAAATGGCATTTGGCCTGACCCCGTGCCGATTTTAGCCAATCCAATGCTTTCCCTATGAGAAATAGTGTCACAAAGGGGGCAGAGCCAACACCGGCAGACCCGCACAGTGCTGGAAATAAGGTGAGTTTTAAACTTTTATACGTGGGGCTAAAGGGTGGGGGGAGGCCACCTAATTGTGGTTTAAACACTATAGGGTCAGGAATACATGGAGTGTTCCTTTAAGGTGGCTGAGTCACCAAAATATGCAGACTCCCCCAAGGTGAGATCCTAGTTCTATGTGTGAGGCAGATGTTAGATATACTCACCTGCAGCACACTCTCATGGACATTGCCCTATTCTTTTTTAAGCTCTTGGTGTTTCATTCACCAGGAGCTGGAGTCAATATGCTATATTCTCATGCATTAGCGAGCTGAAAACTCTGAAGTCTATGGAAAATCCTGGTCACACCAAGGCCTCCTTCACAGTCCAACTCTTGTGATGCAAGGAAAATACCAGATTGTTATTACAGTCGTCGCTAAAGATGGTTGTTGGAAACTGACAAAATGTGAAGGCAAAATTTCACCTTTTTTAAACTTTTCATCAACCTTTCAGTTACCTATAAAATAATTACTCACTGTGTCCTCGGATAACTTTATTTCACTGGCATTTTAATGAAGTTCCAACACAGGCAATATAAGTAATTTCATAAAAATGTTATCTTTACAAAATACTCAAAAGTGATGACACAACACATGTGTTACAAACTATCCTAACAGGATTATTTACTAAAGTGAGAATTCAAAATAAATTTCAAATTTAAGATCAAAATAGTTCAACTGGAAAAATTCAGCTATACCTCCAGTTTGGCTATTCTGGTCTTAAATTTGAAATTCACTTTGACTTCTCACTTTAGTAAATAACTATCCAAGACCAGAGATAGCAACCGTTTGGCACTTAGCCAGGAACAGGCAACACCAACCCTGCATCCCAACACATGATATGTAAAATATATGGAAGAATCTGCTAATTGCCTAGTGTTCAACTCATTGCTCTTTATAACTTGCATAATAAAATGTTTAACACCTTGTAACCGTACTTTAATTGTAAAATAAATATGCTGCACACTCACATTGATTTTGCTGACTTTATGTATTATGTAGTTTTGTTTAAGATTAATTCAGTTGATTTGGTGAATGGGCAAGTATTCTGAAATTTGGTTGGTTTATGCATTAAGTTTAAAAAAAAAAAAAAAATAATGATTTGATGTTAAATAGTAGTACACTATTAAGGGAAGCTATGTGGGATATGTACAAAGAAATTATGGGGGCAAAGTTCTAAGAGTGAAGCAGTCACCATGGAAACCAACTTTGCCCTTTACATACAAACACCCTTTAAGATAGTAATGGCTAACCTTGACACCATAAATTGTTTCTGGACTACATTTTCTATGATGCTCAGCAAGCTTTTAGACTAGTTCAGAAACAATTTATGGTGTCAAGGTTAGCCATCAATGCTTTCCTCTTGCCTAACGTTTATGAGAACACTGAGAAAATTCACTCAAATAGTATTTAGTAAAAAACAACAATGGTGTACAGGAATACTGTATTTTTAAAAATTATTTAAACTAAAAGATTACATGCCTTATATGCTAGGCATATTTGGTCCTAAACTTGATCTATAAGGACAGCCCCATTTAGGTCCATTCTGGTTGCAAACACATCATAGACTAAAATCTGCAGGTAAATAAAAACGCTCTCAAGAATGCGGACATCATGCACATTGCCCATTAACTCACAATGCTTGCTCCAACACAGCAGGGAGAAAATAAACAAGTTTATTCTGGGACTTCATCTCCCTTATCCATGGCAATGATGTGCCTTAGCAAGAAAAAAAGTCTCAATCTTCCCTGAATATGACCGTTTCCATTACATCTAGCATAGAAATGTTCTTTCTTGTACATATTTCCATATTTGTCACAAACTTAGTTGCAGTTTTAGTTATTACCTTTCACAAACAGACTAGTTTAAAAATGTGTGTGTATATATATATCATTAATTTTGATGACAGTACTTTCTTTTTATATAATTTTGTTTAAGATTAATTCAGTTGATTTGGTGAATGGGTAGGTATTATGAAGTTTGCTTGTTTTAGGCATTAAGTAAAATAAAAAATATGCCAATTACAATATCTAATAAGTTGATAAGTTAGGTGGGTGTTAATGTTAAATGATGATGTATTTTCCTGTTGACTCTCCTATTTTACTCTCTAGAACACCTGTTATTTAGTAGACATTTGTTTTTAAATGTTTTTTTAATAGTTAACCGAGGTAAAGGCTACCTTTTATTTTAAGGACTACATCTCCCATAATTATGGCAAAGCATCAAGGGAGGTGTAGTCCACATAATCTGGAATTCTAAAGCTTGACTACCCTGATAACATATAAACAGAGATCATGTTTGAGTAATAAACTAATGTATACTAAAATATAGATATATGATGTCCTTCCTTTAATTTCTTTCAGTTGTGGTTAAGCTACCCCACAGCTTGTGTCCTTATGAAAGGAAGCAAAGGTTCTTAGTTCAAGATTATTCTAGAAGCCTTTTCCCACATAAGACATCTGTATTTGCCTCCTCTTCAATCTAGCAAAAGCCCTACCTAACTCAGAGAAGAAATTGGCAATCAAGTTTGACCAGCCATAGCAGAACTCAGGAACAATATCTAGCAACCTCCATATCAACCGTTACTTATAATAATAGGGAGGCTTTTGATAGTGATGGGATGACTGCCCTGGTTTACGATTACCCAACATAATTTTACAAAATCAGCAATATTTGAATTTTGCTATGCAAAAATCATTTACACAACAATCCATGTCTCAATAAAATTGTTTATGAGAAAGGCAAGCTCATCCATGGCTTACTGATGATGTAAGTCTTCCCTCTACCCCAACTTTTCTTACCCCCAATCTCATCATTTACCAATTATTTTTGCTCTGGTCACACATTGACTGTGTTTCTATTTTCTTCTTACCTTTTAACACACAGCTGCAACTCTCTTAATTCTTTTTTTAAACTATCCCTCTATAAATCAACTGATCAGCTATCATTGCCGTTCGTACAATACAACACACAGCCTTAAATGCCACCACACTTTTTTGGCTTCCTATTATTTCTGGTTTCTTCATGTTCTACTACCACATTGATAGATTATATGACATGTGCTGTGAGCAACTCTGACTACTTCTTGCTTACACTTTATTCAATATTCACATTTTCAAAATGAAAATAAAGAAAAGGGATAATTTTACAGAGTTGAATTGCGAACTGCTACATTTCCTAAAATGATCACGTCACAGTGTGATAGCAGCTACAATTTAAAATATCTTGTGTATTCTTATATTCATTTTTATTTGGTAATAAGCACTAATACACATTTTACTTTATAATTTCCTATAATGAATCTAGCAAACATGTTAAGTAATTATAGCCAAAGATTATAAACTATTAGTGACGTTTGTGAGGATAAACAAAATGTGGGTGGGATGGGCATGCCCGCTCTGCTCAGGTGATTAAGCTGTACTCCCTGCTCCATAAAAGGTATACAATGGCAATGCAAAATACCCCAAGATAAAGATGAAGACAGCTTTTGTGGTTTGTATCTTAATTACACTTATAGACCCAGTATGGAAATTCTTAGAACCAAAATCTTCATATGCTCCTTATAGTATGTGAAATGTAACTGCCAAAAATAGCCAAATCCTTTTAAAATTATATACACACACAAAACATGTCTACACTGCTAGCCAGGCTTTAAAATGGACTTGCCACTGCACGTCTGGCAAACTCACCAGGAAAAAAAAAAATAAAAAAAAAAAAATTTATATATATATCCCCCAACGCAAAACACCTATGAGATGTAAATGTAACATATTGTAGGCATTTTTCTTTAACTGTACTTGTTGTGTACTAGTTGTAAAAAGTTACAATTGAGAGAACCCCCACCCTTCCAAAGCTTGTTTGGTCAGGGCCCTCTTTATCTACAGTTCCCACATGGTAAATCTGTTTTGGTAGAATTAATTGAACACTCAATTGCTGTTCAGAATGTGAGGGAGTAACAAAGACCAGAATATTGGGGGTCACAATAGTGTAACAATGATGGATCCTCCAATGGCAAGGAAGTAGATGATTTCTTTATATATTGCACATACACATATGGTGGTTCTGTTTATTCCCACTTGCATGCTTATGCACATGGCTATATGCTCTTTTTTGCAATTCACATAATGTATGCACTCACATTTTGCACCGGATTTATGTGCTCACATCTTGGCACTTCACACACACGTATATGTTCAAACTTGGCACTTTATGCACAGGATTTATAAAGTGAAGAACTTTTTTTTTAAAGCAATTAAGTATCTAATTTACTTTAATGATAGATGTGCAGTGTTGGGAGAGGCCCATTCATTTTAAAACACACACAAAAATACAACAAAACTACTTAGATAATGCAGTACAAAATTGTGGGTCAATTCCTGCATACTTTAGTGTTGGTGTCAACTGGCATATAACAACTGGTTCCAAGAACTAAAATAAAATTCATCATACAGATATGAGACAAACATTAGTCCTTAATTTTGTTGAACTACAACTCTTATAAAGGTTTTGTAAGCCTTTAGCTGTATGGGTTTTGAGTCCATAAAGCAGGGGCATCCAACATGTAGCCCGCTGGACAAATGCAGGAGTAACCACACGTCCAACTGCTATGCGCACATGTCAATTAAAAATGAAGCAGTGTCAGAGACACAGACAGAGCACAACAGATAGTGTATGGCGCATAATCCCTCATCTACCCTGCCCATGAGTTCATGCACAAGAGTCAGTGAGGAAAATCAGGAGCACACCAGGACAGTGTGAACATCAGGCTGAGGAAAGCTACGTGGAAGAGCAACACCATCTCCAGCAAGTTTAAAGCCCACATAATCCAAGCCAATACCCACAGAGTGCTTCAGCCTGCCTAAGTCCAGCCGAATACCCACAGTGTGCTCCATCCTGCCTGAATCCACTAAAGTACGTACTCGTTTATAAAGCTGCTCAAATACAAGATGAGAACCACGTTAAGTGATGTTAACTTGGAGTCCAGGTTAAGATGTGGCCTAACTGAATTCCCTGCTTCTCAAAAATTGTTCAGTTAGTTACCAGTACTCTCATTAGACTTTGTAACCTTATTGTGCAGTTTAAATTTTACGGTTTATAATATTTTGTATTGTTAGAACGATATATAAAAGTACGATTTGTCGGCTGCTTTTGCATTACTGTCAGGTTAACCCAGTATTAACATCCATTACACAGCTAAAAGGCCATATTCTCTCTCAGTGTACAATGAGTGCGGCCCACGCACACATACATTTCTGATAAAGTGGCCCACTGCAGAAATAGCTTGAACACACCTACCATTAATAGATCTGAAGGCTGCAGCTAAACATCCCTTCTTTATGTAACGTAAGCACTCTAGAACAATTCTTGGAAGCTAATCCTAAAAGAGCAATTGCAGGCATACCTTTTAGATGAATTTATCTTTCTATGGCACCTAGAGGATTAGAAAAGAAAGAAAGAAAAACAATTCTCAGACTAGAAATTTCAACAAAAAAAAATCTGGCACCCATTTCTAGAAATAAATATCATGATTTATTTTAAAGTAAGGTGTATTCCTCTAAATTGGGAATTGTGGGAAAAGGGCAGAATTTACAAAGTTTCTCCTAAAAAACATACTCCATATAAATATATAACTCAACTGAATTCTCCACAAATTCCAAGTTACTAAACAAAAAGTAATCTCCTTGAACTAACATGGAGCAACATATTGTTGCACTGCTAACACCACCACTGCATAGCACTGGTTTATCTGGCTTATATACAAGGATATCAACAAACTGTTTCCAGTAATATCCCAACATTTATACAGCAGTAAAACATTGCACACTGTACAGATTTATTATTATTGGTATTTATATAGCTCCAACTTATTGTGCTGCACAATAAGTTGGAACTATATAAATACCAATAAGAATAATAATGGCTAACTGCGCTTTACAATATTACAAAGGTGGAAAATATAACAATAAATAAGACCATTACAAAATGTTACAGGAACAATAACTTTATGAGGAGTTTGCTCAAACAACTTTATACATTCTAGAGCAGTGCACTACCACCTCCACATCAGCCATTAAATATCCCAGCCAAACAAAAAGTGCAGAAAAAGTTACAAAAATAACCTTTAAAAAAAAATAACCCTCCTATAAGCTGGTCCTGACCTGCACTTTAACACTGAGGAATATTAATATTTTATAAAGGTGCATTGTGAAGGCTACTACTGACTGCACACCCTGCTTACACATTCACATTGTATAATGTGGCCTGCCCAGGGAGCCACACTCAGATTGCCCCCTCCATTATTTACATGCAGGAGATGCATGTCACATTACCGGTGTTCTGTCTCTGCTGCCTTCCACGCGGTCACGTGACCTCTCCCCAGGCTGGAATGTGCACGCGGGCGGGGCTTAAACGTCACCAGACGCCGGTGTCTGCGAGGACCGGAACAGCGGGCTGCCCGCGGCGCGCCTTCATCACCATGGCAACCGCATTCGTCTCGCTGTCGTAATTTCCCGTCTATGAGCCTTTACCGCTTCAGAACCATCCCTAAGAAACAAATCTGCGAATATAACTAAAAGCAGTAACGGCGCTGTTAAAATAAGAATAAAAAAATAAAAAACCGTGCCGGTGTTCTATCAAATTTCCCTACCCCGTGAAAACCTCCTGCCCTCGTCACTTAGCGGTGCTTTTATTTAAACATTTTTTTTTTTTTTTTTTTGGCGAGACAGTCGCCTTTCGATGACGTCACACAAAGCGCGAACGCTTGGAAATTGTATCAGATGTGAGTATAAACAAACGGGAAGATACCCTGCTGTACGGGGGCTGTACGGATATAGTGTGCTGGGCATTATTGTCATTTATTAAACAAAAGACCATACAGCAATACCTATAGCTACGTCTTTATTAAACAGTGTTCCCATTCTATAATATGGATTATTTCACTATAGGCACGCTGGCCCACTTAGCCCTGCATTGTGAATCATCATAGACGTGCGCAGCCTGTTGCATTAGGGTGTGCACCCTAAAGCGCAAACACACGCCGCGTATATACATACATACACACATATATATATATATATATATATATACAAATACAAATATACATAGGTGCAGTATGTGTGATTGTGAGCAGTGCAGCCTGTAAGGGGTGCAGTGTGTGTGATTGTGAGCAGTGCATGTGTGTGTGTGTAATTGTGAGGGGTACAGTGTGTGTGTGATTGTGAGAGATGCAGTGTGTGTGGGGTACAGTGTGTGGGCGAGAGGGGTTAGGGGGTAGAGGGGCAGCAACAGGGGTTAGGGGGGCAGTGACAGGGTGTGGGGTTGGAGGAGCAGTGAGAGGGGGTAAGGGGGTGGAGGGGCAGGACGGTAAGAGGGGTGGAGGGGCAGTGACAGAGTTAGTGGAGGCAGGGGTTGGGGGGTGGAGGGGCAGTGAGAGGGATAAGGGGGTGGAGGGCAGTGACTGGTAAGAGGGGTGGAGGGGCAGTGACAGGAGTTAGGGGGGTGGAGGGGCAGCAACAGAGGTTGGGGGTAGAGGGGCAGTGAGAGTGATAAGGGGAGGTGGAGGTTCAGTGACAGGGGTTAGGGGGGTGGAGGGCATTGACAGGGGGTGGAGGGGCAGTGAGTGACAGGGGGCAGAGGGTTTAAATACTTTCCTTGGTGGTCCAGTGGGCGCCCTCTCTCTTCTGTCTGCAGCTCCGCCAGGAGTGAGCTGCAAACCACATGGTGAGTCTCGCGATCTCCAGTCAGTCAGAGCATTGCCATGGTAACCCGCGGCAACGCTCTGACAGGCTGGAGATCGCAAGACACTTCAGTCTGCAGCTCAATCCCGGCGGAGCTGCAGACTGAGGCTGCATCTCCATTAGGGTAGACTGACAGGAGGGGCATCGCACCCACAATGCCGCCGGGCCCCCTCCTGTGTCGTGTCCTCGGTCATAGACCGAGGACCCGACATGTTAGTCTGCCCTAAGGCAGTGCAGCACGGAGGTGTGATTAGGGTGTGCCCAGGCACACCCGGCACACCCCGTGTGCACTCCTATGTGAATCATTACAGATTTAGAGAAACTGCAATGGTTACTTTGTAGCACTAAGACCGCCTCTAGTGACAGTCTACCAGACAACCACTGACTAAGTTAAGCGGTGCTGGACATCCTCACGCTCTGCATAAGGACATCCAGCGTCTGTGAAAACCCCATAGGAAAGCATTGAAGCAATGCTTTCCTATAGGGAGGGCCTGACGTGTTCGCCGCACACGCACATTAACCAGCCATCCTGCGTCGGATGTCGTTAGAGGAGGTTTTTTTTTTCAACCCTATAGTGTTAGATCACACAGTTGCTATATAATAACTTGTAAAATAGACTTAGTCTGGAATTAATTCCACAGTGTACTATTTCTTCTCACTGTATTTTTTTGGTAACACCATATTTTAGCAATCAGGGTTTTTCACTAAAGTGAGAATTGTTGGGAATTTATCTCTTTAAAAAAAACAAAAAAAAAAAACTTTTTTTTTGTAAATTTCTTTTTATCAAAATAGAACTTGTATCTGATAAGCATTGGTAAGAGTCACAGGTCTCCAAACAATCAGCGTCACTTTGGGATACGCAGGTCCCTTACATGGTAAACACTTGGATCTTGCATCACATCGTAGTAGGGTAATACCTCCTTATAATAACTCAGTTGGGCTTAATTTTGTTTTACATACCGTATATACTCGAGTATAAGACAAGTTTTTTGGCACATTTCTTGTGCTGAAAAAGCACCACTCGTCTTATACTCGAGTCAAGGTCTGTATTATGGCAACTTACATTGCCATAATACAGACCAGGACCGCCGGGCTAATTACAAGCCCAGCAGTCCTGTTAGGGGCTGGCAGCGAGCTGTTACTTACCTTTACAGCAGCTCCTGTCAGCTTCCTTCACCTCCGTGCAGCTCCCCTGTCAGCTCCGTTCTGCTCACAGTGTAAGTCTCGCGACACCCACGGCCATCAGAGCATTGCCACGGGTTACACTGTGAGCTGAACGGAGCTGACGGAAGCTGCACGGAGGTGAAGGGAGCTAACAGGAGCTGCTGTAAAGGTAAGTAACAGCTCGCTGCCAGCCCCCCTACTGAACAGCCAATGCCACTGGACCACCAGGAATTCACATAGCCAAGCAACTAGCACAGAGGGGGGACAAAAAAATAAAATGAAACAAAATAATAAAATATTAAAATAATAATAATAAATATTAAAATAATATTAAAAAAATATATTAAAATAATAAAAATTCCCTCCCCCCCACCCAGTTTACACACACTACACAAACACACACACACTCTGCATCATATACACACGGAGTGTGTTTGTGTTTGTATGAGTGTGTGTTTGTATAATGCAGAGTGTGTTTGTATGAGTGTGTGTTTGTATGAATGCAGTGTGTGTATATAATGCACACACTCTGCATTATATACACACACACTGCAGTCACACTTTCTAAGGTTTTTAAATTCCCGTTCACTTAAGGGTGTTTGTTTTTATTGTCAGTTAGGTAAAAAAAAAAAAGCAGAGGGCTCGCAGGACCCGTAATATTTCAAGAAGAGACACGTAGGTCCCAATACATATGTATTGCAAGTGACCCCAGCCGCTCAGCTCCCGGCGGGGCGTATGCCTCACATGTTAGGCAGGCAGATGCATCTTGGTGTGGTCACTCTCTGGGCCGTGCCCCAGGATGGAAGAGAAGAAGGTGAAGCGGGAATGAGAGGTAGGGCAAGGGGAGAATGTGGTATTAAAGCAGGTGCAGGTCAGCTCACCCGCCTCTCGGTGTCTCCTACTGGTGATCGTCAGGTACCTCCCCCCACAGCAAGTCGCCCCTCCCTTCCCCCAGATATCTGGTCTGGAACTCCTCCGTGACCACACGCGCCAGCCAGGGTACCCATATGTCCGTGTGCGTCTGCGCTCGGTCTTGCCAGTGTACCACAGCTCTTCCATAACCCGTAACTCTTCCATTTTGGTATAACAAAGGGTCAGCGGTGGGGCCGTGTCCTTTTTCCAGTACAAGGGTATTATATGCCTTGCGATGTTAAGGATGCAAATGGTCAGGGAGCATTTGTAGCAGGACATGGAGGATGTTGTGTGGTGTAGAAGATAGGGGGCTGGCCGAAAGGGTGACGTGTTATCTGTGTTTATCGCTTCTTTTACATTTTCTTCAAAAATCGTCAACATCGATAGTTATTTCAGTTTGCCTGTCTCTGCCTAAATTATGCAAATCTCATTGAATTCCCCACAATTCATAATTTAGTAAATAACCTTGATGATTTAATTAACAATTAGAAGCTCTATGGTTAAAAATTCAAAAATGAGAAACAAAGCCCAACCATAACTAAAACAGATCATTAGAAATGCTAAAATACAAAATTACAGATTTTTTAACTAATTTGAGTGGTAGGTTGGAATAGAAATGCCATAGAGCAAGGGTGCCAAAAAGGCAGATCCCCAGATGTTGTAGAACTACAACTCCCATGATGCTTTGCATGCCTTTAGAATAACAAGCATCATGGAAACTGTAGTTTTAAAACATCTCGGGATCTTTCTTTTGGGCACCCCTGGCATAGAGAATGGCCTAGTTGTTTCATCAGAATTTGTGGAAATATTTAATACTCACACTTTCTAATTTGAAACATTCTAAATTCACATATGACTTTTTAGATAAACTCTAAAATGATGATTCAACTTTGCTATAGTCTCATGTTGGCTCTGCATGAGGACACCCAGCATCAGTAAAAACCCAGAAGGCCTAATGCGCTAAAGAGCTTGCTCCTTACCCTCCCTCCCCCCCCCGCGCATAAGAGAGAGCTGTGCTTGCGTGAGTTGGGTGAGTAATAAAGGTTTGTTTGTTTTAACCCTTTCCATGCACAGGGAGGTCTGGGGGGCAGAGGGAACTATAGTGTAAGGAATACAACTTTGTAATCCTTACGAAAAGGTATTTTGCTAAAAGGTGAGCTATTGAAATTCAAAGTAAATTTTTAAATTTAGGCCAATATAGCTGTACTAAAACATATACTTTTAAAAATTAACCTTGTTACACCCCACTGGCTGTCAATCAGACAACCGGTCCTGTTACTTCCTGGTTGATTAGCTAAGTGGAGCAAAATGTAGGCACTTGCTCAGCACACCTGCCCTGCAAAGACATATTACTGAGCTGCATTGGGAAGTCTAACTGATTAGTCACATAAAGTCTGGGCTGTGTTAGAAGGGGAGGGCTTGCAAAGACTTCAGACAAGTAGTCTGCTGCTTTTGCAAGCTGCTTGTAGATATATCCCCAATAAAAAAAATACATATTTAAAGGAATGCATGTTTTCATTTGGGGTATATCTACTAAACAGTGATGTAAAAAAAAAAACCTATATAAACATGTGTCCATTTAACTGTCTGTAATTTAAAGACAAACTGCAAAACGTAGGCCAAATAGCTTTCTTCGCAAAATTCTATCATTTTGCTGCAGTACTAACTTTTAGCCTAAAATTAGCAATTTGCTACTTAACATTAAAGGACCACTATAGTGCCAGGAAAACAAACTAGTTTTCCTGGCACTATAGTGTTAATAGGTCCCCCCCACCCTCATGGCCCCCCTCCCGCCAGGCTCTAGTGGGAGGAAGGTGTTAAACGCTTACCTTTCTCCAGCGCCAGGCTCCCTCGGCGCTGGGGACTCTCCTCCCTCTTCCGACGTCATCCGCGCGCGCATTCAATCTGTCCATAGGAAAGCATTTCTCAATGCTTTCCTATGGACGCAAGCGTCTTCTCACTGTGAAAACCACAGTGAGAAGTGCGAAGGCGGCTGTCAATGAGACAGCCACTAGAGGCTGAATTAACCCTAATGCAAACATATGTTCACAGCTGCAGGGTTAACCCTAGATGGACCTAGCATCTAGACCACTATACTGTGTACCATGAATTGCTGAGTGGTCACTGACCTGAATTCAAGAACATTTGTCTAAGAAGACTTATTTTATTCTAGTTTAACACACTGAGGATGCATTCTATATTTTAACATTGCATTCTCGGTGTCCATGCATTCAAAAGAGTTGACTGGAAATTTCTCACATTTTATTTCAGGCCTTGAGAGTTTGGGAGACATTGACATCCTTTGAGACATTGAGATTTATTCATTAAACCAGAAAATTTAAAGAATTGACAAGGGGATTGCACATTTTGGTCAAAATAACTGAAATTGAAAATTTGTCTCATTTATATTTCACATAAGAAAAATCAATTTGTATTATTTTGGTAAGTGCACATAACTGAAGTGCTAAAATCTGCTGCCCAGACCTTCTCTTGAATTTTGGCAATTGTGAAATGTTTGCCTCCGTTTTACCTGTGATTTTGTTGCAGATGATTTGTGTGTTTACTGAGCATATGATTCTCCAGACATGGCTTGTCAAGTATTTACCGTAAGTACATATTATTATGCAGTTTTGAAATAGTTAAGTAATTTTGTTGTATTCATTATCTGTGATTTTGATTTTCATTTAAGGTTTTGTACACTCATCAAAAGACTAAGAAGTCCAAAGTTTGGCAAGATGGAATTTTGAAGATTCCACCAGGAGGAGGCAGTGTGAGTCACTCTGAACATTCTGTTCTTGTGTTAAATTTTATTTTTAACACAAATGGAGATTACTGTATAACATGATAGATACTTAATATTTATTTGTTTCAATCTTCAGGGTGAATACTATTAAATGTTCTCATACATCAGTAAAACCATAACCACTACCATGGGCTGTAGGTAGTGATGTCGCGAACATAACATTATCGGTTCGCAAACGGCGAACGCGAACTTCCGCAAATGTTCGCGAACCGCCATAGACTTCAATAGGCAGGCGAATTTTAAAACCCACAGGGACTCTTTCTGGCCACAATACAGGGAGTGCAGAATTATTAGGCAAGTTGTATTTTTGAGGATTAATTTTATTATTGAACAACAACCATGTTCTCAATGAACCCAAAAAACTCATTAATATCAAAGCTGAATATTTTTGGAAGTAGTTTTTAGTTTGTTTTTAGTTATAGCTATGTTAGGGGGATATCTGTGTGTGCAGGTGACTATTACTGTGCATAATTATTAGGCAACTTAACAAAAAACAAATATATACCCATTTCAATTATTTATTATTACCAGTGAAACCAATATAACATCTCAACATTCACAAATATACATTTCTGACATTCAAAAACAAAACAAAAACAAATCAGTGACCAATATAGCCACCTTTCTTTGCAAGGACACTCAAAAGCCTGCCATCCATGGATTCTGTCAGTGTTTTGATCTGTTCACCATCAACATTGCGTGCAGCAGCAACCACAACCTCCCAGACACTGTTCAGAGAGGTGTACTGTTTTATCCTTGTAAATCTCACATTTGATGATGGACCACAGGTTCTCAATGGGGTTCAGATCAGGTGAACAAGGAGGCCATGTCATTAGATTTTCTTCTTTTATACCCTTTCTTGCCAGCCACGCTGTGGAGTACTTGGACGCGTGTGATGGAGCATTGTCCTGCGTAATCATGTTTTCGGAAGGATGCGAAGACTTCTTCCTGTACCACTGCTTGAAGAAGGTGTCTTCCAGGAACTGGCAGTAGGACTGGGAGTTGGAAGCTTGACTCCATCCTCAGCGAAAAGGCCCTGACTCATCTTTGATGATGCCAGCCCAAACCAGTACTCCACCTCCCACCTTTGCGCGGCGTCTGAGTGGGACTGGAGCTCTCTGCCTTACCAATCCAGCCACGGGCCCATCCATCTGGCCCATCAAGACTCACTCTCATTTCATCAGTCCATAAAACCTTAGAAAAATCAGTCTTGAGATATTTCTTGGCCCAGTCTTGACGTTTCAGCTTGTGTGTCTTGTTCAGTGGTGGTCGTCTTTCAGCCTTTCTTACCTTGGCCATGTCTCTGAGTATTGCACACCTTGTGCTTTGGGCACTCAGTGATGTTGCAGCTCTGAAATATGGCCAAACTGGTGGCAAGTGGCATCGTGGCAGCTGCACGCTTGACTTTTCTCAGTTCATGGGCAGTTATTTTGCGCCTTGGTTTTTCCACACGCTTCTTGCGACCCTGTTGACTATTTTGAATGAAACGCTTGATTGTTCGATGATCGCGCTTCAGAAGCTTTGCAATTTTAAGAGTGCTGCATCCCTCTGCAAGATATCTCACTATTTTTGACTTTTCTGAACCTGTCAAGTCCTTCTTTTGACCCATTTTGCCAAAGGAAAGGAAGTTGCCTAATAATTATGCACACCTGATATAGGGTGTTGATATCATTAGACCACACCCCTTCTCATTACAGAGATGCACATCACCTAATATGCTTAATTGGTAGTAGGCTTTCAAGCCTATACAGCTTGGAGTAAGACAACATGCATAAAGAGGATGATGTGGTCAAAATACTCATTTGCCTAATAATTCTGCACTCCCTGTAGTGATGGAAAAGTTGTTTCAAGGGGACTAACACCTGGACTGTGGCATGCCGGAGGGGGATCCATGGCAAAACTCCCATGGAAAATTACATAGTTGATGCAGAGTCTGGTTTTAATCCATAAAGGGCATAAATCATCTAACATTCCTAAATTGTTTGGAATTACGTGCTTTAAAACATCAGGTATGATGTTGTATCGATCAAGTAGTGTAAGGGTTACGCCCGCTTCACAGTGACAGACCAAACTCCCCGTTTAACGCACCGCAAACAACCGCAAACAGTCCATTTGCACAACCACAAACTCCCCATTTGCACAAGGTTGGATACCAAGCTAGCCATGTCCGGTTCCTTGTCCTCACTGATGTCATTGAAGGTCTCTTCCTCCACCCAGCCACGTACAACACCAAGGGTCCCCAAAAGGTGACAACAAGCCCCCTGGGACGCTTGCTGTGTTTGGTCTTCCACCTCCTCAAAGCCACCTTCCTCCTCTGACTCCTCTTCTTCAGACTCCTCTCTCTGCGTTGCCTCTCTCTGCGTTATTATAAGATGTGTTAAGTAGTACTATTCCTATCAGTTTAATCCCTGTTTCATCCCCTATTAGGGGACGTGTATATGGCATCGATTTTAGGAACCGGGAGATGGAAAAAGATGCTTGGTCGGTCCTCCTACTTCAAATTTGGGGCACTGCGCGTGCAATCTAATGTGCCACCAGATAGGAGTGGTGTGTTAAGTAGTACTATTCTTACCAGTTTAATCCCAATGTCACGACTACTAGTGTGGTCCAGCACGCAGAAACTATGTAAACATATACATAGGCAAGAAAAGGAAAATAAAAGGACAGAGCGTAAACCGGACCTTAGAATGACCGGACTAATACGCTAGAGACAGAGAATGGTCAAAGGGAAAGCTGAGGTCAAGGAAGCCAGAAAATGCACAATACCGTTTACACAAGCCAAGTCAGGGAAACCAGAATTCAGAATAACCAGTGAAAAGCTAAGATCAGGATACCAGGAAATCAGATTCCCAATGATAAAGCACTCTCAGGAAACCAGGAACAGGAAACCACGACAGGGCAAGGTACTGGGGTGAGCTAGGGATTTAAATATCACGCGGCGGGCCGGCAGCTGCGACACCCTGTTACGTCCCCCTCATAAGGCCTTTTTTTTTTTTTTTTTTTTTTATTCAAATGCAAAGAGGTTAACATACAGGCCTGCAGTTCCACAATAGCATCAGGCATAACAAGGCATTCAGTGTGATAACATAGAATTGAATTGCACATTTTTGCTAGGTAAACATAATAATACTAGTCCTGCTATCAGATATGTAGGGTTAAGTAGTAATACATGGCTACAAATTTTGCAGTGAATGGCTTTTTCATTGTTCAAACTGGGGTAATGATATCTAACCGCAAAATAATATATGAAAAGATAATATAATATAGTAATATAATAATAATGGTGTATTGTTCAGGTAGTATCAATTTCTGGTTGGCCTGTAAACTGGCCTATGGTTGTGGATAGCCAGGTTGACCGTCTGGCATCATGCTTGCATGTCGTGTGACTTGTGTGGTGCATGTTGGGCTAATACACTGTCGCTATAGCTATTCATGTAAGGTTTCATGGTGTGTGGCTGCTGGTCGCGGTCTCGGTAATTCCCCTCATGGACACCTTCAGTATCAGTATGCCCCCCATGCCTCAGAGTCAAGGTCGTGATCTTAACGGGATCTGTTACCTGTGAGTATGACTGTGTGCTGGAAGGCAGGGTCTGTCCAAGTCTCAGCAACTACTGCCCTGAGGTGTTTAGATTTCAGTGCGTCTTCCAGCATAGCACTGGAGGCCATTTATCATAAAGGCTGTCGCTTGGGGGACAATAAAGCATAGAGTTGCCTAGGGAGGGATAAGTGACAACTACGTTCCTCCATATAGGTTGGTGGGTTGGCAACCGCTCCAGGAGGCTTACATGTCTGGGACAGGAGGCCCTGTGCACGGTGTAGTTACACCTCATATCGTGTGTGCTCTCCCCCTCCACCCCCTGACATCCCATCCACTAGGTCAGTGAGTGTGTTCCTTTCCCTCTGTGCCGCTTTACACCTCAACTAAGCTAACACATAAACATCTCTAACAAACTTCTATGAGCCTGTCCAAGCGTTCAATAACTATCAACTATTGGCAGGTAGAAACATTTAGAGCTCTCTGATCGGCCTGGTCGGTGTTATGAAGGGTTCTTTAGCCTGGGAGCGTCTCCGCCTTCTCTCATCCCAGGGTCCCCATCTTCTGGCAGTTTGATCGCCATGGGTCCCTGGACTCCCACCCTCTGTTGTGTTAAAGGTTGAGTGGGTTGAGAGGGCAGCTGAAGTTGCTGCAGAAAGTCTTCTGGGTCCTCAGTGGCTGATAGGACATGGACCTCCTCCCCCCCGTGGCACCACCAGGGTTCCCAGGACTCCCCATCGTTACCTGATGCCGTGCTCCCTCAGGAGCCTGGTGATGAGCAGGAACTTGCGTCTGGCCAAGAGAACTGAGAATGGTAAGTCCGCATATACCGTTATCTTGTTGGCATCTACTTGTACACTGGGGCTCCTCCTGGAGCAGGCCATGATGGCCGATTTTACTGTTGTTTCCCGGGTTACTGCAATTATGTTCTTAGGTGCATCCGCTGGGGCGGTCGGAGCCTTCCTTATCCTAAAGGCCGTCACAAATAGCGGTGAGTCTCCTGCTCGTTTGACCCCCATTGCCTGTGTCACCTTGTGGGCGAAGTCCAGTACGTTGTCTGGGTTCACTGTTTCTGGTGCTCCCCGGATCCGGACATTCCTCCAGCGGTGTTTCGCCTCCAGTAATGCCACCGTACGGGTTTTGGACCTGTTGTGCGAGGGCTTCCACCTGGGATTGGGTGTCAGTCTGGCGCTGTTCCCGGGTTTTCTCTCTGGATTCCGCTGCTGTTATGCGCTGCCGCAGCCCGCCAACCTCCACCTGCACCCCTGCCAGGTCTGCCTTCCACACTGCTCTTAGGTCTTGAGGGAGTTTCTTTATGTCTCCCTTCGTGGAGGGAGAGGCGTCCGAGTCCGAATCCGCCTGTAGGTGTACTCCACTGGTAGGTCGAGGCAATCCTCTTCAGCTATGGAGTCGCTGGAGCCATGTGGCCTGCTTGGCGCCATTTTGTTGCGGGCCTGTGACCGGTCAAAAGAGAGTCTTATATCGGGGTGAAATGCGCTCTCTGGGCGAGCGTTTTTCTTATGTTTGCGCCCCATTGCACTTTGGAAGGCAGTGAGGCGTTTTTGGGCTCTTTTCCGAGGTCTATTTAGTAAAAAAAAAAAAGCTTCTTTTTTGGTGTTTGGAGCTGGAGCTACACACGTGCACGTCTGCTCTGTATCTCAGCTAGCCACCCCCCCCTCATCAGGCCTTTTTTAGTCGAATGTATCGCCCAGTGTCAGTCCCGTCGGGATCCATCCCTCATTCATCTTAATAAAGGTGAGGTAATCTAGACTTTTTGGACCTAGGAGACTTCTCTTCTCAGTGACAATACCTCCTGCTGCACTGAAGGTCATTTCTGACAGGACACTTGAAGCGGGGCAGGCCAGAAGTGCTATCGCAAATTGGGATAGCTCAGGCCACAGGTCAAGCCTGCACACCCAGTAGTCAAGGGGTTCATCACTCCTCAGAGTGTCGATATCTGCAGTTAAGGCGAGGTAGTGTGCTACCTGTCGGTCGAGTCATTCTCTGAGGGTGGACCCCGAAGGGCTGTGGCGATGCGTAGGACTTAAAAAGCTCTGCATGTCCTCCATCAACAACACGTCTGTAAAGCGTCCTGTCCTTGCCGGCGTGGTCGTGGGAGGAGGAGGATTACTTTCACCTCTTCCCCTGTTAGATTCCAGTTGTGCTGTGACATCACCCTTATATGCTGTGTAAAGCATACTTTTTAATTGATTTTGGAACTGCTGCATCCTTTCCGACTTGCCGTAATTCGGTAACATTTCAGGCACTTTCTGCTTATACCGGGGGTCTAGTAGCGTGGACACCCAGTACAGGTCGTTCTCCTTCAGCCTTTTTATACGAGGGTCCCTCAACAGACACGACAGCATGAAAGACCCCATTTGCACAAGGTTGGATGCCAAGCTACTCATGTCCTGTTCCTCATCCTCAGTGATCTCACTAAAGGTATGTTCTTCCCCCCAGCCACGTACAACACCACGGGTACCAGATAGGTGACAACCAGCACCCTGGGATGCCTGTTGTGGTTGGTCTTGCTCCTCCTCTTCCTCCTCCTCAAAGCCACATTCCTCCTCTGACTCCTCTTCCTCACAATCCTCTTCCAGCATTGCCACAGGTCCAGCAAGCGATGCTGATAAGGCTGTTTCTGGTGGTGATGGTGACCACAACTCTTCCTCTTCCTCTTCACGCTCATCTACGGCCTGATCCAGCACTCTTCACAGGGCACGCTCCAGGAAGAAAACAAATGGTATGATGTCGCTGATGGTGCCTTCGGTGCGACTGACTAGGTTTGTCACCTCCTCAAAAGGACGCATGAGCCTACAGGCATTGCGCATGAGCATCCAGTAACGTGGCAAAAAAAATTCCCAGCTCCGCAGAGGCTGTCCTAGCACCCCGGTCATACAAATACTCGTTAACGGCTTTTTCTTGTTGGAGCAGGCGGTCGAACATTAGGAGTGTTGAATTGCAACGTGTCGGGCTGTTGGAAATCAAGCGCCTCACTGGCATGTTTTTTCGCCGCTGGATATCTGAAAAGTGCGCCATGGCCGTGTAGAAACGCCTGAAATGGCCACATAACTTTGTGGCCTGCTTCAGGATGTCCTGTAAGCCTGGGTACTTATGCACAAAGCGTTGTACGATCAGATTACACACATGTGCCATGCACGGCACGTGTCAACTTGCCCAAATGCAATGCCGCCAACAAATTTCTTCCATTGTCACAAACCACTTTGCCGATCTCCAGTTGGTGCGGAGTCAGCCACTGATCCACCTGTGCGTTCAGGGCGGACAGGAGTGCTGGTCCGGTGTGACTCTCTGCATTCAGGCAAGTCAACCCCAAGACGGCGTGACACTGCCGTATCCGGGATGTGGAATAGTACCTGGGGAGCTGGGGGGGGGTGCCGTTGATGTGGAGCAAGACACAGCAGCAGAAGAGGACTCAGCCGAGGAGGTTATAGAAGAGGATGGAGTAGGAGGAGTAGAGGAGGTGGCAGCAGGCCTGCCTGCAAGTCGTGGCGGTGTCACCAACTCCTCTGCAGAGCCACGCATTCCATGC